CCCCGGCAACACCCCCACTACTAATCACCAACCCCCTCCCCTTCGTCGCCCTCACAATCCCCACCACATTCCCAATAAAATTCCTCCTCTGCTCCTGCCCCATCCCCGCACCCGTAGCCTGCGCATAGCAGATCTCGAACCGCACCCCCCGCGCCACAGCCGTCATAGCCGGTTTCGGCTTCCAGTGAAACGGGAACCTCTGCGTCAAGTCCAGCGAAATAATACTATGCTCCGTAATCGAATTACACGCCGCCAGGTACGCCTTCTCCGTCGTAGGGCGCAGTGCTAATATATCGTACGCCGCGGCCAGGGCGGGCAGGCGGTGGTTCTGCGTCGGGTCTGAGAGCGTGAGTGTGAGGCGGCGAAGCAGCGTTGTGTTGGCGGGGAGGGGCGTGGAGGGGGTGAGGGGGATGGGGTTTGATATTTGGGCGGGGATGGAGGTCGCGGAGAGGGAGTGCGTCAGGGCGAGGGTGTGGTAGCCTAGGGAGGTGAGGAAGGAGATTGTGCGTGAGAGGTCTGCGGGGGAGGTGCTGGGGGTCCAGGGGACGTTGAGGTCGTAGAGCATTTTGGGTGATAGCTGGTGGGTTGTTTAGGTTGATTGCATGGTCGTACAGCTTCTCGTGTGGGTAAAATGAACGACTGAGGTGGTGGTTGTGTTTTATCGCGGTTTGGATGGTTAGAGTTGAGGTTGCGAACTACTTGAACTTTTTAGAAAAGAGACGAGGCTGAGTGACTCACGTGCTACAACCTTGTTGGAAAAGACACTTGATTGGCTGGAGCTCAAGCTTGATATAACTTTTAATTCAATGAACTGCCCTAGCGAGCCTAGATAAATCGGCATGAGTTACTCTGTAAATATAGACCGCTAGCATAGACGCGCGATGCGCCAAAATAAGAACCATTGTCTCGCTGGCTCTTGATTTGAACATAAAATTCAGTCGATAACACAGTGTTGGCAGGTACAATGAAGCTCTATTCTGAAAATGGAAATATTTGGAGATGTCTATAGTATGCATTCGTTAGGCATCACATTATTCGTGTCTCAAAAGCGTCAAAATATCTCTATAATTTCCATCGAAATCGCCTATTTGACGGAAATACTGTACAATCAATGCATGTCAAGCCAACCAACCACAAATAATGCAACTACCCTCCATTCCCATAGACCAACCGACATATAAAAGGGTATAACACCTAAAGCGTAAGCTTCTCCTTAAACCACTTCTCCGCAACCGCAACCCCCTCGTCGATCTTCTCTGGCTTCGTGCCCTGGCCTGTTCGCGTGGGTTCCTTGCCTCCAGAACGACCACCTACGACTTCGGACACGGCAGCAACCCACTCCTCGGCTTTTACACCTTGAGATAAATGGTCCTAGATTTTGTTTGTTAGTCATGTTACAATTAGAGAGGGGTAAAGACTTACAGTGCCGACATAGACACCATGATGCACAACAGGGCCATCATCTGCAGCAAAAACAAAGACAGACTTATCCTTCGCCTTGGTCTTGAAATGGTTCATGACATCGGTGACAGCCTTGGCATTCGCAGAGATAGGTAGCTTGCCAATAAAAATCTTGCTATCCTTATTATCAGCGAAGTGGCCGGTGACAGTGTCAAGCGCGGTCTTTGATTCGGCCTTTTGCTTCTTCTTTTGCTCATCCAAAACATCCTTTTGCACTTTGCTAAAGCGCGTCTTCAACTGCTCCTTCGTCAGTGTTGAAATGGTGAGCTGATTTAGGTCTTGCTGCGTCGCCTTGACTTCAGCCTCTTTGTCAACGCCATGTGGCATCTTCTCTAGAGCCTCAATCCGATTGCCGAATTCAAGTGCCTGTCTTTGGACTTCGTGCGCAGCATCGCCAGTGTAGGCAATGATACGTCGGATACCCTTTGCAATACCGCTCTCCTCGACAATGACAAGATCCTTGATCAAACCGGTCTGGTCTACGTGAGTGCCACCACAGAACTCCACACTGACCTTTCGCCATTCTGGATTTCGGGGTTCTGCAAGCAGAGTATCTACTTCGACACCGACCGAAACCACTCTGACTGGGTTGGGATAGGTCTCTCCAAAGACAGCACGAACACCCTCAATGCCCTTTGCAGTGTCAAGATCAACATCCTTTGAATATATCTTGCAGTTTTGTTTGATATAGGAATTAGATGAGTCCTCGATCTTCTTCAGTTCTGGATTGGTGACTTGGGCCTTGTGAGAGAAATCAAAGCGCAGCTTATCCTGGTCGACCAAAGAACCTTTCTGGTTGATATCGTCACCCAGGTGCTCTCGTAATGCGTGATTGAGAATATGTGTTCCGGTGTGGTTGTTGCGGATAGGTGATCTCCGTAGCTCATCATATTCGCAAATAACCTCGTCTCCAGCCTTTAGGTGACCATACTCCAGATAACCATTGTGGATAATATATCCACCATATGCCTGAACGTCCAACACCTTGAACTCAGCAACATCGTCGATGATAATCTTTCCAGTATCGAAAACTTGACCTCCTTGCTCAGCATAAAAGTTCGTCTTATCCAGCAAAATACCAAAAGTCTTGCCCGATGAAAGTGCCTCAGTAGACTTCAAGAAATCCTTGCCGTCATAAATCAATTGAATCTTGCCTTTGCTGTCGCCTTTCGAGAACTTGGCGTCGTCATTTGGCCTGACAATTCCAATCTTGTCTAGCTCAGCAATTTGGTGTACGTCCAATTTCGCAAAGGTGTGAGCAGCTTCCTTAACAGACTTGCTTGCCTCACGAGCCTTCACCTTTGCGATCTCGATTTCAGCATCATCTGTCTCAAGACCTCTTTCTTCCGCCATGATCTTAGTCAGATCCTCTGGGAAACCAAACGTGTCGTACAAACGCCAAACATCCGCACCAGAGAGCTTCTTCGTGTTCGTCTTAATGGCCTGAGCAGCGTACTTCTCGAACATCTTCTCACCACGATCCAATGTTCTCGCAAAAGCCTCTTCTTCCTCGTCCAAAATCTCCTTGACATCTTGCTCTTTCTTCTTGATCTCTGGGAACTGTTCGCCCATTTGAGCAACAAGCGCAGGGAGAATCTGAGAGAAGAAGCTGCCAATCTCAGCGTTGAAGTATTTGCGAGCATAGCGAGACCCTCGCCGTAACACACGCCGAACGACATAGCCTCTTCCTTCATTGTTGGGCACACCTCCATCAGATATAGCAAAGGTTAGCAGACGAATGTGATCCGCAACTACACGGTAGGCAGTATCGATTCCGTCAACGTCATCTTTTCCGTATTTGTCAGAGTATGACCTAGCCCCTGTAACTTCCTGAATTCTCGCAAAAAGAGGCGAGAAGACATCCGTGTCATAGTTGGATGACCTGTCTTGCAATACTGAGACCAATCGTTCGAAACCCATGCCAGTATCAACATGCTGCGCAGGCAGAGTCTTCAAGGACCGGTCCTTTTGTCTGTCATATTGAATGAACACATTATTCCAAATCTCCAGGACATTTGGGTCATCTTCGTTAACTAGGTGAGCAGCATTTCGACCGCCTCCTAGCCTGTCATAGTGCACTTCGCTACAAGGCCCGCAAGGACCTTGGTCACCCATTTCCCAGAAGTTGTCCTTCATGTTTCCGGGCAGAATATGGTCATCCGCAACACCGACTTTACTCCAGAGACCCTTGGCCTCCAAATCTGGCTCAAGACCAGCAGCCTCATCTCCCTCAAAGTAAGTAACGTAGAGACGGTCAGGGTCGAGACCATAGACTTTTGTAAGAAGCTCCCAGGACATCTCAATAGCGCCTTGCTTGAAGTAATCTCCAAACGACCAGTTGCCTAACATTTCGAAGAAGGTGTGGTGATAGCTGTCCTTGCCAACATCGTCGAGATCGTTATGCTTTCCGCCCGCACGTATACACTACGACTCGTCAGCCTGCCCCCCATTCTACCAGCAGCACTTGGGTTGTATACCTTCTGCGAATCGGTAGCTCTCTTCAGCTGCGCCATATCGTCGGTCTTGCCTACAGTTCCGAGGAAGATTGGCTTGAATTGGTTCATACCGGCATTGGTAAAGAGGAGGGTAGGGTCATTGTGGGGGACCACAGAGGACGAGGGCACTGTAATTCTCCCATATTAGCTGAATGGCTCTCGAAAGATAATAGAGCAAGAGCCAGATCATCAGGAACTACAATTGAGCGCCTCAAACCAAGTGAGAAATCCGTTGAAGAGAATAAACGTCCTGTAAGAAAATTACCCCGCCACATACCAATAGTGTGACCCTTTTCCTCAAAGAAGTCCAAAAATTGCTTTCTGACCACCGTCGCAGTCCATTTCTGCGTGTCCGACATCCTGAATCTAGAAGCCGAGAAGTGCCTGCAGTAGAATTTGGGTGTCTGCGAAAGTGGTGTTGTGACGTGCGCGCTCAGAAAGTTGGGTGCCGGTGGAGGTCTCCAGAATATTCTCTGACTCAATGCGAGTCGGAGCTGGCTTCCACAACACCGCAGCTCATTCATCCGTCTGCCTCAGCTCCCCGAGTCTCGATGACCGTCCTGCGCGAAGTATTTTTCTTTTGCTTTAATTGAATCGACGCGCACGTCAATTCTTCTTTGTTTCTGGAGCGAATCTGCTTTTGTTGTGGTAGAGAGGTTTGTTGTATTGGTTGGAGGAGGGATGGGATGGAGCAGTTGCAAGCGCCAGGTAGGGTCAGGAAACGAAAGGCGGAGAACCAAAACAGTGAACGACTAAGTAAACGACTGAGTCTACTCAATCTTGGTTTGTATTCTCTGATCAATCCAACCCTACTTTCCAAAACATTTCTAACTAGCTTGCAGAGCGCGATGGCCAGCGGCTCTACGTTCCTGTTGAACAGCCGGCTTTCAACAGCCCACCACCGGACCGGAAACCCTCAGCTCTTAAAGATGTAGATGTAATGCAACTGGACGACTCGAAGCATAAGGTCTATATATATGACCTCGACGCTGAGCTATCAGACAGTGGCGAATCTGACGATGGCAAGCTAGTCTTCCTGCCTGATATCAAAAAACACCTCCAAGTATCACGAATACCCCCCTCCATCCTAGCGAACAGCGACGGCGAATTAGCAGGGAACAATCAGCTAGTGCTCTATAATATCCCAAGCTCTCTGACGGTACCCGAGGCACAAGATAGCGTGCGCAAAGCTATCATTGAAACAAGGGCCAGGGCAAGAGCGAAACAGGACGAGAAAGGGAACAACGATAACCTGAAGACTCCGACAATCATCACGCCTGTGGAGAATGGTCTGGACTCTCGAGACTGGTATCGTGGCAGGGTCAATGTAAATGCGCCTACTCCCACCGAAAGAATGGCAGAGGAACCGGCAGCTGTAATAGCTCAGACAGCTACGGACGATGACCCAGACGCTATGGATTTAGGATAAAGTGTTGCATACATAACCTTATATGGAAGAAGTAAATGTTTGTAAAATAGTGTTCACTACTGTTATTCTGTCTATTCCTGATAGTACGTAGTACATTTGCCTCCCAACCTTTCGTCAAGCAGTGCTGTCCGAGAATGGAATACCCATTACGCCCACTTGTCACAAATTAAAACATTCAATATCCCGAAATACCCTGTCCTAAACCCCGCCAGCGAGGAGCTCATAGTCTATATGGATTATTGGTGCTGCCCGTATGATTTGCTTGGACAGCGGCTGGAGGAGGTCCAGGCGGTGCTTCGTACGCCGGAGAAGGACCCCCCGTTTCTGCCGGTCTTTGAGTTGTTCCCCATTGCGATGGATCGACTTTCGTGGCTCCGGCTGGTGGTTGGTATGTAGGTGGTAAGGGAGCGTTTGGGTCGTACATTGGTGGAGGCATCGAGTGAAGGCCGTACTGTTGATCTTGAGGAGGATAGGTCTGATAGTATACAGGGGGATTCTGGTATAAGGGATCGTATCTGGCTCGTTGTTGTCTGTTTAAAAGCCACTGTACAACGTTAGCTATCTGAGCATATAGCTAAGTTGAAATGATCTTACTCTGTGATACTTGAGGGGTGGCAGGCCTTTGTTAATCCTCCTCTTTGCATGCCAGTATCCGATGATTATGTAGGCCATGATTAAGGTAAAGATGGCTAAGAAAATCGACCACCGAACTATCTGGCCTGTCTAAATGCGTATTAGGTGCTTGTCATCCAGAGGTTCCGCACATTACGTACCCTCGTCCACCAGAAATCAGTCCTCCTATCATCCTCGAACTCAATATCGTCGCCATCGAGATTTTGACGAGCTTGGATAGAATATGCCATATTGCCGTTCGTTCGTACTTTGATAACGTCCTAGCTCGAGTATATAAATGATCGAGGCAGTTTGCGTTATCGAAGTATTGGTGGATTGGCTTCAAATTTGGTCCAGAAGAGAGAACACAAGCGTTTTGCTAATGTCTACAGAGGTCAGTGACGATGTGGCGCTGCTGGGAGTTGAGTGCCGCGCGATATCCTCTTACAACACTCTTGCCATTCGACGTTTCAGTGCGTGTCAAACTATCCCTTCCGGTTACAGATTCGATTGGATGATGTCTTCTAAATAAAACAATGGGCGGAAATCAATTTCGAGTGCTGGATTGCGAGTCGTGAAGAATTTCAATAGTGTGACGAGTTGAAAGGATCGACTTTGTTTGTAGGAAGGGAAAGGGGATGGAATAAAGAATGCAAGTTGGAGCTCCGGTCTAAAGTAAATAAAGTAGTACGGGGTACGTACCTTACATTATTGACACTCCCATTTCAGGAAAAGCGGATGCGGCTATGCCCGTGCACAAGCATTAGCCTCTGCTAACCCTTCCCCTGATGTACGGAGTAGGTACGGCGGAGGCGGAGAATGGGGGATCACGTGTGTAACACTCAAATTGAAATCACCAGAAACCGGAGTGCAATAGAGTACGATAGGGACATCCTACTGCCATTTTACTTGCAACTCGTCGTCCAAATAAGGAATACTATAATAGCAAGTGAAAAAGAGCGATCCTGTTTGTTCTATAAAATGCGGCGGTTTTGTGACAGGTTTATTATATGTAGCTGCTGTGTACCCATAATAATGACTGAATTTACATTTGGAGATATTAGGGGTTGCAATCGTGAACAAACTGGTTATTATCATATAAACAGCGTATATACCTTTTTAGGGGTGAGATAGGGCTGTCTCCCGCTCATGAAATATTACCCTTTCTGGCAACATTATATCCATAATAATCGCAACAGGATGTCTTTAATCATCACTTACGTCCATTGGTCCAACGTTGGAGGTATTTGACAAGACATGTCTGGAGAACGTCCTCGGCATTCCTTATCCAACCTATATCTTCGCTTTGAGTGCTGCTATGAATATTTCTGAGGGCAGCGCGAGCAATATATGGGTACATTGGAGGCATCGCATCAACCGTGTCCGTCGCCGCGTTTCCGGGGGATGAGGATATGAGCCACTCGGCAATATCTACCACCATCTTCGTAACTGTGTCAAGCGCTTCTTGCGATCTCTTATACCACTTCTCCAATGGTTTAAACTTGGCTACGACAACTTGCGGAGGCTGGCCGAGGATGTGCAAATGTAATATGAATAGAGCTCTGTTTTGAGGGGAGTTAGGATGGGCTAGAGTTGCTATCCATGAAAAGGGCAAAAAGAGGGATGGACTGACCTGATGGCGATATTTACTGCTCCACAAAAGACGCCCGATTGCCCCTGGCACTGCGGCATAACCAACGAAAGAAAGGCTTGGATATTGGTATCCAGCCTGTCAAGCTGGAGCAGCTTAGAATTAATGTCTGCAGTGTCGAAACCTTTGAGGACTTGATCCAAAAGACAAGTCGCTTGAGCTGTCCGACTAAATCCTCCAACTTTTGGCGACGTCAGACAAGACACGGGGATGTTGGGTAGAGACTCCGGGTTTGAAATGTCGAGCTGGTCGAGGACTTGAGGTTCGATCGGCAGTCGAGCATCTCCACCAGGAATGACAGTAACCAGCGGTTGATCGAACACTGTCATTTCGCTGAAGAAGGTTCTGTCATCAGAACGGCCTCAGGTTAATTTGTGTCGATGACTTTCCAACAAGCAAACTAGGAGAAACATACCGCTCACAGATAACAATTCCCCACCACGTATTCGCTGCTTCTTCAGCCTGCAGTAGGAGGTCGGTATTCGCATTGTGCTCGGGTGTGTGTCCTATTTGTATCTGATGACGATCGTGAACGTGGATGTGGGCTGCGTAGGCCATCCGCGCACTACCTGCAATGGTCACAAATGCATCGTCCGGGCGGCCATGTATGTACTCATACAGGGCTAGCAAAATACTGGCTTGGATCAGAGGGACGGAAGGTGAGCAAGATACCTGGACCTGGGCGAAGAGGGATCTCGCGGTGAGATAAAGGGTCTGTTGCTCGACTAATTCAGTGGCTCCATTTCCGGAATAATATCCAAGTGCCGGAGCGTGTGTGATCAGGCAGATAGTCAGTAGCAATACGGAGAAGTCGGCGGCTGGGGCTGTTCCCAAAGTGATAAGGTTGTTATAAAAGCGTGTGCGGGAGATTATGGGCAGGTGGCAGTTAAAACCCCGGAAATAACGGGCGCTGATATCGTCCACGAATTGCCTTGTCCCACGAATAATACCATGGACCTCTAGATACACTTGACCGCTGGTTTCTGCTGGTCAGCTACGTGTCTAGACTTGCAATCAATCGAGCGGGCGAAACTATTCAACAACAAATGACCGAATGTAATCTTAGATAAACAAAAGGGACGACTAAACTGGTCAACCATTGTCTGGTCTGAGTCTGACGGTAACTTTGCGGATAGGACCATGCGAGAGGAGACGATATTCACAGACGGCCTTGCACCCATAATCGACTCAGCATGGGAGTTCTTGGCGTTAGGGACGACATGAGCATAAACACAGTCCAGCTCTTTTCTGTAACGCTGGTCAGCATTATCACCATTGCCAGTTGGCGATTTGGGTGACTAACCGGGTGCAATATCCACAAGACGGCAACGACTTGTTACACTTTTTCTTTCTGTTCTTACAGATTACGCATGCCTTGGATGCTATACGCAGTCGACCGCCATCGGCCGCCATTGTGACGGTTTGTATCGGGGACCGCTAAGCTAAACTAGCGTCGTGAGTCCTGGAGATGACTCGAATATATTCCGATGAGATTAGAGGTGGCTTGTAGGAGTCCAAAGGCACCTGTCGATGTATTATGAAACCTGCATTAGCCTTTCCTTCTGCCCTGCCCTGTTATTTGACGAGTTCGGCAACGGGAATGGGTACGAGCGAATATGTCGGTCGTTGAGAATTAAGCGAGAGCCCCCTTTTGTGATAATTGGCTTCGGAAAGTCCACTATATGATTGGCTACTAGGTCCGCTATGGCAGCTTAGCGACAAACAATTGTCGGGTTCGTCGGGCATGCTGTCGGACTTGACTTCGGATACCGCCACTTGCTTCCAGGATATGTAAATCGGTAGGGAATTTCAAAGAGGGGTATCTGGGAAGTCGATAAATGTCGCAAAAGTGTGGTTCAACTTCCCAGATGAGCCTTTCGGCTTTCCCCCCTCCCCCGCTCTAAGTGGAAGTTGAGGAGACTAAGAATCGAATAGTCCCGATTGGACATATCCTCAGCAAGTTCTGGGTACATCATACACGGATTATAGATAAAAAGTGTTCATCTAAGGCACAAAATGATCGAGTACAGAAGTACAAGAAGCATCTAACCACCCACAAGAGCTTTCGATACTTTGATATCAATCGCACCCACAACAGCTCCCATCATGGGACCAACTAGTCACATTCTCTCCGATGTACGCATTTTCACCGGAACTGACACTATCGACGTGGGCTATATCGTTGTCAAAAACGGACTCATCTCAATCGTTTCTGCCGGCCCACCACCAGTCAATGCCGATGTCCCCATCATCTCTAAGCCTGGACACACCGTAGTTCCCGGCTTCATCGACGCGCACATCCACGCCGACAAGGGCCAGGAACTCGCACTATACCAGTCCCTCAAGTTCGGCATCACCACCGTCATGGATATGCACAACGAGACGGTCAACGTGCACAAGCTGAAGAACCTCGCGGCTGACAAAAGAGACGAAGCCGCCGACTTCAAGGCCGCCGGCTTGGCAGCGACCATTGACGGCGGGTGGCCCATGGCCGTAGTGACTGCGCACGACAAAAGCGAAGAGGTGAGATCTCGGGCCAATGATTCCCCTATAGCAAGCCTTTTGCCCCTCATCGCAGAGCTAACCTCCAATCTTATAGACAGCCGCTGAAATTGCAACCTGGCCTAAACTCACCTCCCCTGCCGACGCCGACGCCTACGTAGCCCGCAATCTGTCTCCCGCAGGAGGTGCAGACTACACCAAGCTAATGCACGAGTCCGGTGCCGCCATGGGGCAAGTCTTCCCCAAGCCATCGCTCGACATCCAGAAGGCCGTGATCACCGCAACCCACGCGGCAGGGCACGTCGCCGTGGCGCACTGCCTCTCGCGCGGCGACACGCTGGAAATGCTGTCGCTGGGGATCAACGGGCTAGCACACACGTTCATAGACGAGCCCGTGAGTCAGGAGATCGTGGATGGGTACAAGAAGGCCGGGGCATGGTGCAACCCGACGCTAGCGGTGTTGGGGAGCTTCACGAAGGAAGGGGCGGCGCTCGCAGAGCGATTTGCGAATGATGAGCGGGTGAAGAGTAAGCTAACGGAGAAGGGCCATGCGACTCTGTGCCAGTGCATGGGGTTTTCGCGTGAGGGGGCTACGGTAGAGAATGCTTATGGGACGGTGCGGAGGTTGAAGGCTGAGGGGGTCCCGATTATTGTGTAAGTGATAGATGGTTGAAGACTGGTTAAGGTGCGAGTTATGGTGTTGACGCTTCTCAGGGGCTCTGATTCTGCTGGGCCGGGCTTGGGAACGGCATGGGGTGTGTCGTTCCACCAGGAGTTGTATCTGCTTGTCAAGGAGTGTGGCTTCTCGCCCAAAGAGGCTCTCCACGCTGGGACAGCATTGACCGCTAAGCTCTTTGGCTGGAAGGACCGAGGACAGCTTGCTCAAGGACTCAAAGCCGACATTGTTCTGCTTGAAGGGAATCCTTTGGACGACATCGATGCTACCCTCAATATTAGGGGTGTCTGGCGTGACGGCATTCTGGCCAAGGACTTCCAGAAATAAATAATGCGGCTAGGCAGATTGCAAAAGATATAATACTGGTTCTTCTACTCTTTACATCCGAATGGAATTAGCATATACAAAAAGAAGGAGGCAAATGGACTTTATCTTGTGATACTCCATGTTCGCCACAGTAGCAGAATTCTTCATCTAACATATATTACCAAGATTTTAAATCTCATCTTCTATCAGAAAAGACACCGTATTCCACTGAGCGGCACATGCCGTGGTATTAATTAAGTAAATTTCATCTATATACTAGCCATCTATCGGACATCTGAACTCCCTATCTGGAGACTCATCAACCTGCATAGCTTCTAAGCAAGACTCGTGATAAATATGCCTACACGCCAACACCACCAACGGGCCGAGGTCTTGCTGAACCACAGTTTCATCCTGTCCATCTGTCTCCTGGCTCTCCTCGGTATCTACAGCGCCATCAGTGGCAGTTCCTTTCCCCGTTCTTTTAGGTGTTTCAACAATGCTAGACCTGTTGCGCACATGGGCCCTTTCTTTCCCGCGCTCGACTTGAGCCCCAGCTAACTCTGATCTCCGCTCTTTCCTTCGCTTTCTATCCAGCTCTTGGCGCTCTTCCCACTTAGAAAATACATCGCCTGAAACACCATGACCCCAGACGCGACGGCCACAGCCCTCGCAAGTGGAGCCTCGCGGTCTCCAGCCTCGCTGGCGTAAAGTACTTGCAGACTTGACATTGACAAAGAGGTCCTTGTCTAGCAGGCGATTTGCTAGACTGAGGATACTCTCTTCGTAGGCGTAGGCTGAGAATATAGACGCCAAGACAGCTCGAAGGTCACTCAGGTTTGGCGAAGAGACTGATGCCCGGGTTAAAAATGCTCGGAGGATTCGGAGAAAAGATAGATTGGCGCCAGAGGGCGTTGGCGATGAGGTGGAGTTTAGCAATGCAGTAAAACAGCGCTGTACAAGTGTCCGTAGTTGAAAGAGTAGTTTTCCATGGTCGATTACCGTTGCATTTGAGCTCGCAAGATCACTCAGACTCGCAGAGAGTTTACGAGTGATCTGAACGGTAACATCAATAAGATCAAGCCAAAGTACTTCGTCTCGAAGTAGCTCACTCTTTGATGAAGACTTTCTCTGAACGGGAGAAGTGGTGGCTCTCACAGATTCCGCCTTTGCTTGACCTTGGCAGAGCCAGATTCCGACGTTAGTGTACTTCTGTAGTGCTTCGAGAAGATCTTCAGTGGCCTCTTCCATTTGCATAGATTGCATGTCCTCATCCGAACTAGCCAGGAGACCTAACAGGGCAGACTCGAGCTTCCTCAAATGCTGGATCAGGCGATCCATAGCCTCACGCATCTGACCCTCACGAGCCATCAGCACCACAGCAGCATCAATGACCCCGCTTTCTTCCATGTACGGTAATACTTTGTCAAGACGCAGATCACTGGCCTGAATCAATTCCACGTAATCGGCTACATGCGTAGACTCAAATTTACACATCAACTGTACGTATCGTTCTGTGAACTTGTTATGTGCTGTGTTCTTCGGTTCTTCAGTGTCATTTGCCTCTGGCTCTAAAATTGTATGGAGGTAAGCGTATTGCAATTGGGAATCCATTGGCAAAGAGTCCAAGAACTTTTGATGCATGGAAGGTGCATAAGATTCGATTGCTTGGGCTGCTCTCACAGCATCAAGATGAACAAGGTCGCTTGCATGAGCTTCAATAACTTCATGAACATCTCGAATTTGCCGTTTCGTCAATCCGGAGCGTGGCCTTAAACAGTCGGCTACGCAATTAAAGACATCTTCTTGATCCTCCGGATCCTCAAAATACGTCTGGATTAGCTTATTGTATTGCTTGTCGGCTTTGTAGATGCTTTTTAGAACTCGGTAGAACCCAGCTTTCTCGAATAGTGGCATAAGAGACAGCAAATCAGGAGGATGGTACACTGAGAGTAGGTACTCAGCGCTCAATTGTGCGTCATCTGCTAAGTCGGATCCAGGATAGCTGCAGAGACCAGTCAAAACCTTATGTAAGGCCGTGCCGGAAAGAAGCAGATATTGTGGGAATTTAGGGAGGTTACGTGCAATGAACATGTCAAGGTAGATGGTGTCCTCGGAAGCGAACTCGTTGGGGTTCATCACTTCCAGCAAGATCGTAATGATGTATTGCCTGTTGACAGAGAGGCCAAAGACATGTTCTTCCGACATGTTGCGAGTAGAGCCGCCATTGACCGCTCGCTCGGGGGTATCATTAAGGAACGAGTCCTCAAAAGCTTCATTCAAGGAACTCAAAAAGCTCGGCGCGTCAAACTTAAGAATCATCCTGAGGTACGGAAATGATGGCTCGTCTTCTTTGTTGGGCTGCGTCAAGAAAGGGCTTCCAGTACCCCTCGGCCACGTAATTGTTCTACCGGAAAATAGAAACCAATAGAGCTCCGCCTTGGCATTCATGGCATCTTCGTCCTCGAGGTTGTCTCCAGTAGGATATATGCGGCCAGTAAAAGTATAAGACAAATACGGGAACATCTTCAAGGCATTGACCCCGAAAATCGGGTCTTCCATAGGCTTGCCGTCCGTAAAGTAATCTCCATTTTGCACAAGAGGTATCAGAAGAGCTAGGAGGTCGATGAGAGGTGTGATATAGTCGTTCAGCGCTTGGTTCCAGACGTAGATTAGTGCATCATACAAGTTGTGTTGTTTGCATAGAGTGGTGACTTGGTCGATATCCAAAGTTATTGTCTCCATGTGACAGATTATTTCTTCTAGGCGACTTTCTAGGCCTTTGCTCACGTAGTGAGTGACCATGGCTTTGACAACTGTTGGAGGGGCAGTGGTAATTTGCTTCTCCAGTATATGAGGCTCCAAGGTCTCCAAAAAGACTCCTTCTGATTCCCCATCTTCGTACCATTCATATGCCTCATCGAAGAGGAAATCAATGTCCCCAATGCTGAGACATGCCTCGAAGCATGCTTCAGCTAGTTGCTGAAGATGGGTATCATTCGCGGTTACTGACTGCTTCTGACGCTGGCCGAAAGCAAACTTCAAGGATGCTGTCATGATTTCTATCAATTTGTCTTGTACCATTGAATGCCGTAGCTTGGTATCTTCGGGGAGCCCGATCGTGAGCTTATCGGCATCTCCTGTATAATAAGATGTTGCAAGCTGGATAGCACCAATATAATCACCATTCTCCATCAAAGCTATCAAACGGTCTGCCCAATTTGACAACGTTCCAATGGAGACATCGTTAAACCCCAGGAGGAACATCCGCCCTTTGTATGACTTGAAGCTCATATAAAATGCATCGGCAACAACTCCATGCATTGATGTATCCTCCTCATCGAGTTGCTCTACAAGATTATGCAATTGTTTTGAAAAGAGGTCTTCGTGATAAATATGCTTGTGGACCAGATCAAAAGCATCCGTCATGCGCATACTCCCATCTTCAAGGATAATCAGACGTTGGGTGATAGTCAAAACTGTCAAAACGGAACGACTGAGCCACTGCACAGCGACTATTGCTTCATCTGCTTTCCATCGGCTGCGAGGCTTGAAGGTAAGATTGGGGGGTTTGTCTTTATCAGGAGACGCTGTCTCCTCCACATCGAGAACTGTCAAAACATTTGACCAGCAATATACCAGCTTGACTTTCGATATTTCACTGCCCGTCTTAGGATCCTTGACTTTTAACTTGACTGCTGGGAACCATGCCAGACATCCACTCATGGCACTATGAGCCGCCACTTCTTTTGGTCTGGCAGCCTTATGTTGTGTTTGGGCCACAGGAGTCGTGGAGACAATGACCAGTAGATACGGAGTAAGCATCGCAGTGAGTCCCAGATTATCCGTTCCACGCTCGACATTGCCCAGAGGAAGTGGTGCAAAAGCAAGTACCGTACTGGGTTTTCGGGCCTTCCCAGAAGTAGAAACATCATTGGGATACCGACCCAAAATTCGAGTGGTCCTGACAGATCGCCCAACAGCCCCCAATCCTCTAGTTGCAAGATGGGAAAAGGCCATGCCACGATCATCAGCAGAGACGAGCGCCGTATGGCGAGTTCCTAGAAAACCTAGATGTCTGATAGGAAGGTTGGGCACATGGCCATCAACACTTCGATTTACCATTTGAGAGGGCTGAAGACTTGGTATGTGAAGAAAGGGGCGAGCTGTCTTGGCCATTTCCCACGTGAAGATACTTCCATTTGCATGCCCTCCAGCAACAATCAGATGATCGGCTGACATTGCAATAGAGGTGATAGCTCCAGATTCGACAGCTGTAATTGTCAGCTTGTGTTTTCTTGCAATAAGGAATCCCGCGACTTACCCTTTGTACCAGGTCCAATAATGGACTTGAGATTTTGGTGATAATCAAATATTAAAATTATTCCTTTCGACGTTCCAAGCACAATAGATGCCGAAACTGATATACATGTCGGCATGCCAAAACTGCGTTTGCCAACCTCTGAAAATGCTTGCCCATTCATTTTCTTCAACTTCGTCCATCTTACAACCTCCCATGGCGGCGACGGTGTGTCTGTGTCTCCACCATCAAGTATCATCTGACTGCTAATAGAGTCTTGACGTCCACGGGCTTTGAGATACGATGGGGTAGGGGACGCAGGACGCGGGGAAGCAAGGTTGTAGCTCGAGAGTCTGGACTGGAAGCGTCTGTCGAAGGGCCGGAAGGATGGGGTAGGGCTATCGAGGCCTGGCCTCGAGGCTACAGAGGGCAATATGCTGCTTCCACCAGGAGATGACAAGATGGAGCCCTAGAAAAATGGTTAGGAAATGCAGAGGTAGGAGGCTACCTGACCTACCTGAACTGAGGGAGAATCATCTGGTATGGATAACAAAGATTCGATAGGACTCGCAGCCCTCCGAGGTACAGTGTCCATAGATCCATCTTCAGAGGCACTTTCTACAGGCTCAGTAGCTCTGTATCTATTCGTACCATTGCCCAATTTCTGAGGGGGTGTTGGAGCGTCTTCTTGTTCTTCCCGTAATAGCTCGACGATTCGCCCTTCCCCCTCCCTCTCACTATTACTCTCTTCGTCTGCGGCCGCCTGCTGTCCTCCGTTGGCTACATCTCCATTGACCGTATCTTCCTCCGCGCCGCTATCATTTTCCGAGGAGGAGCTCATCGAGAATGGTTCATGGTTCCACTCCTCATTCAGGTCGATGCGCCGCAGTCCGTAGACTCATGAATACCTCAAATCTCAGCACCGCATCAGTACCAGTAGGAATCTAATCTTGAACTTTGTGATCTGCCGCTTTCCGAGAGTTGGCTGTAGCTTCGAAGCTTGGGTGTAGAGGTTGACAGCTGTTGCCAGGGTTCACTTGATAGGGAGCTCGCTTACAATCGGATTGGATTGAAGGTTAGATTGGAGTGGAGTGAACTGACGTTAAAAGCTTCCAGTTATAACAAAGTCTCAAAAGATGAGAGTAAATTACGACAGGCTACGACGATAAAAAATACAGTACTCCATATACAGTGAGAACAGAGAAGGAAGCCTAGCTCGTTGGTGTCGCGGCACAGCTTGACGCGAAGCTCGGAACGTCCCGAATCGAATCTGCAAGCTGCATATCAAATCTGTTTTGATTTCCCAATTCTACAACTATACAACACCAAATCCCATAATCATCACCATGCCTTCGGTAGGCCCCGAACTCCCTCCTCATCTTGCAAAGCGCAAGCGCTCCATCGACGATGATGCAGAAGGACCCAGTTCCCCTCCGCACAAAGTACAGGCAGCAATAGCTCCAGAAAGACGTACCCTAGGTCCCTCGTTGCCTCCTCCAAAGAACCCAGATGAGCTCGAGGTAGACGACAGTTCAGATGATGGCTATGGACCCTCGATTACAGCCACGAAGCCTGCAAATGCTCCGCGACCAGCGGTAGGGCCATCTATGCCCCCACGAGCAATCGCCGGCCCCGCCATGCCACCATCCAAGAACCCCGATGAGCTCGAAGTAGACGACAGCTCAGACGATGACTACGGCCCCTCAGTTCCCAAAACTACCGCTGCATCTATTCCCCCAAAGAGAGTCCTTGGCCCCGCTCCACCTCCCGCTTCTCTCGCGGAAATGCCTCGCACCCCCCCGACGACTCCTCAGACTCCGACTCCGACTATGGACCCTCCCTTCCTCCAGCCCCCGGCTCCGCAGCAGAAACAGCCTACCTCAACCAACGCGCAGATGAAGCTCTCGCAGAAAAAATAGCAGCATCACAACCAGCGAAACCGCAGCGCGATGAATGGATGCTTGTACCCCCTACGGACAGCGACTGGTCCACCCGTGTAGACCCCACGAAACTGAAGAACCGTAAATTCGCCTCGGGAAAAGGAGCGAAGGCGCCAGCGGAGAAGAGTGGTATAAGTGCGATATGGACGGAAACGCCCGAGGAGAAGAGGAAGAGGGTTGAAGATCAAGTTTTAGGGCGAGTGGAAGCTACGTCTCAACAAAAGGAGAAGGGGAGAGGGGGTGGAGAGAGCAAGCAGGATGAGGAAACCAGTAGAAGGATCAAAGAATATAATGAGAAGAACCGTGGGCAGAGTTTGAGGGAGAAGAGGGTGAAGGAGGGAGGTGTAAAGGAGGAGGAGGATGACCCGAGTAAGAGGGGTTTTGATCGCGAGAAGGATATGGCGTTGGGGGGACGGGTGGGACATGTGGCAAAGAGGGATATGTTGGCCAAGGCGGCGGATTTCAGCACGAGGTTTCAGAAGGGAAGTTATCTTTGAGAGCCTGGATTAGATGCGGACCATCCTAGGGCATGTGATAGTAAGGGGGGGCAGTACCCCCCTATCTGAGCATCATAGGCAAGCGAGGAAGTTCACTAGGCTTAAGACATAATGGCATATAAATGCAACGAATGTAATGAGACCGCTCTTTGCTAAAACGACCGATCGCCTTTGGCATTTATTGCACAACCATCTATTGCAAAAACATCTATTGCATTTGCACTTCTTACAATCTCATCCATAAACGTCCCTCTCCCTCAGCACCGTTCAGTGAAATCATCCGTAGTAAATCAAAGCATCTCCTTAAACAAATGAATCAACCATAATCCATGCTACCAGACAAGTCCCCCATTCCTCTCTGTCTCTCCCCCTTCATTCATTCATCCTTCACACCATCTCAGCGTAACTTCTCTCATACCTCGTCATTTACAAACACAAACACATATCCCCTAAATCAAAATCAGAGCCTAGACAGAAGCCTAACTGATATTACAACTTGAAAGGAAAACTGTCCGGACTGTTTTAAGAAGTCTCGAGGATTGGATACTTACCTAGGTACTTACCACCTAAAGATAGCAGGCCCTGCATTCACTTAATTAGAAGGCAAGAAAGACAAGCTTAGAAAGCAAGGCTAATTAGAAGGGAAGGAGAGGGAAGGGAAAGGAAAGGAAAGGAAAGGAAAGGAGAGAAAGCTGGATTTTGAAGGGCGGCGTAAGCGTACTGTATCAGATGAGGTAGGCAGTTGATGATACGGGAAGAGATGGATGCTAGAAGGAATGGAAAGAAACCAGTGCTATTAAAGTCATGCATAGATAAGCCTTGTCAGATATCGGCATGGTAGGCTTCCTGAGACAGAAATAAGTCTGTGCTATACTGAGTCACTGCATTCACATAGATCTATCTGACCTCAGCAAGGCTCCTAAACGTGCACTTCCCAGATGTATCTCATTGTCACTAATACCTAGCCTAAAGCCATGCTTCCATTGCCCAACAATCGACCTCGCGTTATTCACATCGTAGGATCCCCTACTCCGAGTTTTGCCAGACCTACTTCCTCCACTTCCCAGCATTTGAAAAAGTAAGGAAAATCGCTAAAGGGACATTCTGCCTGGAATGATATGATTTGTAATGTTCGTCAAAAAATCAAGATCATGTACGTGGTTCGTTGGAGACTTTGTACAAATGGCAATGCCTGAGGATGACGGTCAGGCATGTGATATTGTGGAATGGGTATCTCGAATCGGGTATCGACAGTCGGAGCAGGACTTTTAGAACACGGCGATAGTATGTGCCGCTTCTGATGTCCTGGACCGAGCATAGTCATGAAATGGATTTGAACATCAAAGAAAACACTGCGATCATCGTACAACGCCAGCTTCAAGTTGGGAAGGTGATGGATCGGCCGTAGCCGTAGCCGCAGGAGCCCCATTTTGTTCCGTAGGTTGGCGATTACGCCCTGGGAAATGCATGGCGGGCATAGCAATCCCACTGAATGGATTCCGAGGTCTCCATCTGCTTGGTTCAGCAGCGTTGCTGTTCGCCTGTGCTGAAGTAGCTGGAGTAGCTAGAATAGCTGGAGTTACAACAGCACCGGCTGCGTCTCCTGGAGGTGCTGCCCTACGAGCCCGTCTGGCAGCCCTTCGTTGATCATTCGTACTAGAATTACGATTATAAGTATGGTAGGTTCCAAAGCGACCACCAACACGCAGACCATTCCAAGTAGAACGAGGCTGTTGCGGCATATTCATCCTAGCATCTCTTCTTCGCCCAGAGCGTTCAGTGTCGACAGCTTCGCCTTCAGGGCGGGGCTTTGGTGTATAATAATCTGCTTTGCAAAGCGGACAGCAAGCACGACGGCTGGTTAACCATGGATCCAAGCATCCAGCATGGAAAGCATGGCCACATGTCAAGCCGCGGATATCGTCGTCCTCCTCCAATGTATCGATGCAAATTGCGCATGAATCTCCTGGGTTTGTCAGGAGCTCAGGCGGAACAGCAGTAAGGATATGATCGTCATCGTCATCCTCCTCCTCCAACTCAGTTGCGGTCGTTTGGAGTTTGTCGACAGTGCTGGTAGTAGTGGGGACCTCCTCAAGATTATTTTGTTCTTCGACTGGAGTGATGGCACTCTCTTTTTCCACAGTACTGACGTCAATGCTCTTCTTTTTATCATCAGTATGGATCTCGGGTGATGTCGTGACCTCTTCTATCTCTCGTTCTGATGTTGCCGTGGGTGGTATCGTATTGACAGAATGCTTCGTGTCAACAGGCGACGAGGGTATAACGCCTTCAGTCTCGCTCACACTAACAGCTCTACTCGGTGGTGCGGTGACTGTCACTCCTCCACTCGTCGGCAGTCCTTCCCTTGCGCGCGATGCTACCCAGGTCTTGTATTTCGTCAATGGGAATCGCTCGTTGACCTCATCCATCGTCATCAACTTCTTCTCCCTTCTCCGACGATGTGGTCGAGTAGGCATATTCTCCAAATTGATCGGGTCCACGTCCTCGCCATTTCGTAATGCACGATTGCGAGCATTGTATCGAAAACAATACTTGACGCCGACAATGATCCTTTGCATCGTGTTAATAAAAGCTTACGGAGGTTGGCAAGTCTATCAATTGGGTACTCACCATAGGTTCGTAAACACAACCCCGAATCCTAGTGCAACGAAGAACAAGAGTGGTGAAGATGTGGGCCCGCCGCCGCCGCCGCTGCTCGTAGTGGTCGCTGCCGGTGACGACGCGGAGGTCGTAGAGGGACTAGACATAGTCGATGTTGGATCAGCTGTAGTCTGTGTTCCGCCGAGGTTTCTGGGCTGAAGATGCCTCTCAGCGACGTGGAGAACCTCAACCAAGACCTGATTGATGATGGGCATCTTGTACTCGGTTTGCAAGTACGAGGTGTGCGATCTGCGGGTTTGCGGCGTAGAAGTGCAATCAAGAGGAATCCTGGCCCGTCTAACCTATGCGCGGCCGGCCGACCTTCTCTACAAGTGGCAGAATGTCGCAAACATATGGAACGTGAAGAAGGGATGTTACGAAGACAACACAACAAGTTCGTTCAACGTTGATATGAGTGATGAAGATTATTGTGGCAGGGAAGATGGCAGGTGGTGGGTGAACGGATGGACAGGTGGATGGATGTGTACGAGCACGAGTAAGTGTACTTTAAGAGGCGAAGGAAGGGAGGTCGGGGTCGGGGTTGGGAGGGTCAAAGAATCATCAACAAAGCTTCTACGAACAGTAAAGCGAGGTGAAGTAAGTTTGGTTTTAGCTGCCGATTTAGGGTGCGATTCGCGAGGCTGGAGCGTGCGTGTAGAGTTACAGTTACCAGCCCAGCCACGAATTCGACATAGACTAGTACAAGATTCGGGAGGCTTTAATAAAGTCGTGTTACGAGTAAAAGGAATCTGTGTTTGGAGTTGTGATGAACTTCTCATGACAATAGAATGATGGTACAGCAAGTAGGTAAGTAGGTAGTATTCACTGAAAGAACATGCGATACGGATGCGGGTCATAGAGCGGTTATACAGTACAGTACTCGAGTACAGCACTTCAGAACTGGTATTAAATCACTACGGACTAGAGCACCCCCCAAGCAGACAATACCTGGGTTAGGTACCTTAGCTCGCGGATGGGCCGGCGTCCCAGTGGTTGATCCAGGATAGCCTCTTCGCCATAATTGCTTATCTTAGAGTTACAGTACAGTACTGTACCTACCTGCCACCCACCCTACCTAAGTACTCGTACGATCAAACTGCTGACATGTTTTGAAGGGGAAAGTTGTGGTGATGGCACTACTAATTACACAGCTGTTGATTGATTCATCTCCTACTACTACGATAAGAACTATTCAGCAGCCGTCAGAAAACCCTCCAACATTCTGCATCTGAATGACACAGGGGAAAGCTGCAGAGGACTCAAGCCTCCCAGCCTTTGGTTTGGGGACTAGGCGCTTGGCCTGCCTCTCCTCTTTACCTGCAGGGAAAGGGTTTGAATGCACTCCGCATACACGTCAGCGAATCACGCAGGGTATGCTATACTCATCATGGAGATTGTAATTCTGGGGATCCGAAGAAGGGGTTTCTGGAAAGCAGTGCACTAAGGCAGATAATCAAGTTGAATCAGTAGCCTCGTTATGCTTGATTCAGACATCCGAGAATATCGGTACCATGTGTTTATCCGCCGTTAGTAGGTACTGTAGGTATTTATACTGTCTATTGTAATATCATACAGACCGAGACGAGATGGAAAACACGAGGTTGGATTCTTTCCACCAGAGCTTCACCCTCTCGCCACACACCCACTTCCCCCTCTCGAGTCTCGAGTCTCGAGTCTCGACATCCAACCCCACCTTCCAAAATCAATCCCCATTGAACCTAGCCGTCGATCATTTGCCCGCTTATCTGCAAGAACAATCACAAGACAAGCCCGCTTCAACCAATGAACCTTCAATAATAATCCCATAATCCAGCGTCATTCGGCAGCGAATCTACCCGATTTTCTATACGTCTCCCATCCCGCACCGAAACACCGTCGGCGTCATCAAAACTAGAAGGAAGCTGTGCGTGCAAGATAAGCGACTAGTCCTACTGTTTAGGATAGAGACCCTGCAGAACTGTTCGCACTGCACAGTAAAGCGGATCATTGCACTTCCGCGGGGGTGTTGACAAAGCCAAAGAAAGAAACTTCAAAAGGCACAAATCAATCCGTCTCATAGAAATGGCGCCTACGCAACTCCCCGAATCGGGAAATCCCCTGTAAGTGCCTCTCTATAGTCACCATCTCACCCAGCTAACATAACAATCTGCAGCGTATTCTTTGATATCACTCTAGGAGGTTAGTAGTCCTCCCCTGATCCGCCTCTTCAGTGACATCACGTGATGCTACTCTACCCTTTTAAGCCTACTCAAACCACCTTCGTTTCAATACTGATTGAATATGGCGTATAGGGGAACCACTAGGTCGCATAACCTTCGAGCTCTTCGCCGACACTGTCCCCAGAACCGCAGAAAACTTCCGCCAGTTCTGCACCGGCGAGACGAAGAGCCCGCTTGGTCGTCCACAGGGATATAAAGGGAGCAAGTTTCACAGAATCGTGCGTTTCTCGTTCTATATAATATTCCAATCTATCTTTCTTGCTTCTTATTTCAGATGGGGCACTGTACTGATTAACGGGTTGGATTTCCAGATCAAGGATTTCATGTGCCAGGGAGGAGACTTCCTGAATGGCGATGGCACGGGCTCGACGTCTATCTATGGGCTAAAAACCTTTGACGATGAGAACTTTCTGAGGAAACACACAGAGCCAGGCTTGCTATCTATGGCTGTATGTCATTCCCCCCACCACCCCTCCCAACATCATTTTCACAGTAATTGCTACTGATAACATAAACAGAACGCAGGCCCCAATGGCAACGGTTCCCAATTCTTCATCACCACCGTCCCTACACCATTCCTAGACGGCAAACACGTTGTCTTCGGCCGGGTAGCAGATGGTATGGACGTTGTGCAGAAGATGGAGAATACGAAGACGGGGTATCGCGGGAAGGATATCCCGAATTTGGATGTAGTTATTGCACAGTGTGGGGAAATGTAAAGGGTGCCGTGATTAATGAGAGGCCTGGGTGGAAGGGGCAGCCGGCATTACATTACTGGGATCGCGAGTATTTCCAAGGAGGGCCAAAAAAAAAGTACGAATGCTGCAAGCATCACATCGAAACAGGAAAAGCCGATCAAACGAGGTGGTTCACGGAAATATCCTTCACAACTCGCAAGTTCAGTTTAAACCCAACCCACGAGAAGAACGAAATAAACAAACAAAATGACGGAATGAACATTAGCTAAATAACGCGGAGATTAAAAAAGACAGTCAATCCCCCTACAAGACGAGGCCTTGTCATCAAGTTCCTAGTACTCCTGAACGACCTTCACTCGCCTATACCCCATTGCTTGTCTCGCCGATCGACCAATTATAAGAAGTTAAAAAAAAAGTCTTAGATGACATTTACAAATCAACATATAGCTCCGATCCTCCCACTCCCCCATCTCCCCTCCACCCCCCAGAGTCACACATGCCAACCACCCCTTCCCCTCTCGTCCTCCAATACTAACACTAACAGCAACGCTCAATCTCCCCCCTGTCGTACCTCAAAGCTGCATCTACTTCCACCTCCACTCCCACTTAACTTCAAGCCACAAACCACTACCTACAGTACTACTCGGTAATAGATTTGATCAATATGAACGAACTCGGCTTTCGAGACGTTTATTAAGGATAACATGAGTATGTACTAACCTCATAGGTATTTTCCTATTAGCAATCTATTAACTCGGAGTTTTCTTATACACATCGCGGTCATGATAACTCGTACTGTACTCGTAGTGTTGTTAAGCGAGATGTTGTGCACAAACAAGTATAGTAAAGTACGGTACGGTAAGATGTCATATCACATCTATATTCTTACGACCTGCAACAAAAATCCAAAAGAACTGCTTGCTGCATAATCTTACATATCAAGATATGAAAATGAAAACCATCCATCTGAACAAAGCTTTCTGTTTTTTTTTTTAAAAAAAGCAAAAAAAAAAAATATTTTAAATTCCCTCAGGCGCGAGTCGAACCTGTACAGCTGTTAGCAGCTGACTGAGAGAAATTTCTTTTATTTGAGCGGTGTACACATACGCGCGACATTCCGGTAAGACTGATAACAATTACAGCCGGACGCCATAAACCAACTAGACGACCGAGGGTGGAGATGTTTTTGTCGAAGCTTTTTGTTATTGCGGTATGTGTATAGACCCGCTGGTGGGTTTGAGGTGGGGATTTTGCTGCGTTGGTTGATTGGTTGGGCGGGCGGGTTGCATGTAGGGTGGGGTGGGGTGGGTCAAGTCTAGTATGAATGCGTACGCGTGTTTGCTTTATATGCTATATCTCTTGGATATAAGGTAATAATAGGTATACGGCGAGTATAAGAATAACATATACTATTACTTTGATATATATTTTAGTAAAGTTTAGTTAAAGGCAATAGAAGTCACGTTATGGATCGCATTCGCTTACGCTCCGCAGAGACATAGCATAGTCTATACCTGAGCTGCCACTCTCGTGGAACTGCGTCTAATTAGTAGCAGCATATGTATACCTAGGTAGATGCTGCATTTCTATAATAAGTAAATCCAGAAAAAAAAAGTTCTCAAATCGGAAGATCTATAGTCAGGCGGGAATCTTCTATATAAAACAAAAAGATAAGATAAGAAATACCATAATACGTAGAGAATGTGTGAATATCGAAAGTAAATGACGTATAAGTAAGTATATATTTGCATGATAAGTAATAGGTAGCCTCGCTTAGGTAGAAGAGTAGAGGAAAGGCTACGTAAAAATAAGTTGTAAAAAACGAAAAAATCCCAAAAGAGCAACAAAAAGGTTCCACAAGTTCCGGATCATCGCCTTCGCGAGAGGAACTTGTATAATCCTTGCTTGATTTCTTTTGGAATAAGAATAATTCATTGAGATTTTAGTTTATAGTCAGGTCTCTCAACCGCTTGCGGACTGGCCATTTTTGGGCAGAACTGAACGCATTCTCGGACCATCGTCAGGAAAAGTCCTATAAAGTCCTATCTGTGTCATACTCGAACTTGACTTTTTTAGTATGATAAAGACCGGTCTTGACCTGAGAGTAAGCCTGCATATCAAGAGGATGTTTGGCTTTCCTTATGGAATTTGTTCGCTTCTGTTCATTTTGACAGACCTTTTGCCCAAATTGAATTATAGAGGGTGTCGGGGAAATATATCATTATGCCGTCCTCGAGAGCAGCCAGGGAATGGGTGAAGCATAAATGTCAAATGCTGTGAGCTTTGCTGATTTTTGATGAAGTGTAGAATAACAGAAGTACCAAATAGAGATTGAGAGGCACTTCGAGATCCAAATGACTCCATTTGATTTCAGACAGCATTACGAGTCTCAGGACACCCTACTTCCAAAAGCAAAGAAAGATGTGCAAAGAACAGCTAACTGTATAAGAGGGAAGTTGTCCATGCATGCAAGAAAACAAAATGTCAAAAGAAGCAAATGGAAGCAGAAGATCAACGTTAAACCAGAGAGGCATTTGCATACAAATCTGCCATATATACACCATCTTAACTTACAAGCACATCTCAGTGCAAAAATAATAATCCATGACTCCATCCAATGCACCTAAACTCCTCGTCTTTCCTTTCAAGATATCCTCTCGTTCTCAGTCAGATATCACCTGTGCCTATCCTTACTCAACTCCCCCTCCCTCTCCCGTGACGGGAAGCCACCCACCCGTTCCGCCTTCTTCATTACCGCATTCCCCTTCTCGCCCTCTCGTTCCTCAATCGGCAAGCCCCACCACTCCTTATGGAACCGCTCTTGCTCCTTCCTCCTCTCTTCCTTCTTCTCCCGGTCCACCTGCCTCTGCAACCGCAACGCGAACCACTCCTCCCTCGCAGCGTCCTGTTCATCTTGGGAAGAATGAGATATCATGCATGAATTCATGACTCGGTTCTGGGCTCGACATTTGAATGGTGCTGTGAAGGTGCGGCCGAGGGCACAATCGGCGAATGCTGCAGAAACGGGAGTCGGTTAGTTCAGTTGGAGCTTGAGAACGAGGCAAGTAAGCAGAAGGGTACAAACCCTTGATCTCCGTGGCACAATAACCCCTCACTCTCGCATGATATACCTCTCTAACCTGCGCTTCCTGTGATGAACTCAATGGCATTGGATTCCTGCTGGGCATAGGTAGTCGTGGGACTTCTGCCTCCTTTTCTGCGGCTCTTGAGGGCGCCATGGCTTCCATCTACACTGACGATCCTTCTCGCTCCTATCAAAAGTGCGAATGAAGACACAATTGAGGTTTAAAGAAGACGTCGAGAAATCGTAAGGTTCGATGCCGAGAAGCTGATCAGAATAGGTTTAGGTGCCGTAGCTTGGACAGGGGTCAAAATTTTGGTGAGGCTGATAAAGTTTAAGTCGCACGGCTGGTAATTCTTTTCAACTCCAAGATACCCCACCACGATACACACCACTATAAGCAGAGTATAGATTACGCGCGATAGGATTGAAGACTCCCGTGAAATACCTAGACATCTATACACCACGACAGCCCTGAATTCCGCCCACTATGTCGTCCATGCGCAACGCCGTCCAGAGGCGCAATCATCGCGAACGAGGACAGCCTGAAGAACGCAAGAAATGGGGTCTCCTCGAGAAAGCCAAAGACTACAAACTTAGAGCCGCAGACCACAAAGTCAAAGTATGCCCAAGAACCCATAGAATCCGAGTCTTCAGCACGTCTCGAGAGCTCAGCTCCCCGACATCCATCAAAAAGTCCATGCTAATTCGTCATACAGAAAACAAAACTCAAGCAATTGAAGCAAAAGGTTCTCGACGCTAATCCCGATGAATTTTATTTCGGCATGCTGTCCCGCAGCGGGCCTGCCACCAGGGGGAAGAACCGTACAGGAACCGTGAACGGCGACCGAGGAAACCAGGTGCTGAGCCAGGAAGCAAGTCGGTTATTCAAGACGCAGGATATCGGCTACATACGCACGATGCGGAACCAAACCACCAAAGAAGTGGCTGAGCTGGAAGAGAAAGTACAGGGGATGGGGGGAGGGACGGGCAAGAAGGTCGTGTTTGTGGATGATGAGGAGGAGTTGGAGTTGAGGGTGCAAGAGGGGGAATGGGAGGTGGAGGCTGAGGAGGAGAAAGAGCAAGGATTGGGGTTTGGGGAGAAGGATTTAAGGAAGTTGCAAAGGAGGGAGAGGGAGAAGCTGGAAAATAGGTTGGGGGTTGCGAGGGAGAGATTAAGTGTGCTGACGGAGGCGGAGGAGGCATTGGAGATGCAGAGGGCGAGAATGGCGAAGAGTCCTACGGTTGGAGGGACGAATAAAAATGGTGTTAAGTTCAAGGTACGGGAACGGAAAAGATAAATATGCTTTTTGAAATAAATGCAATGATACCATATGTCGGGCTTGAAAGTCTTAGGAGTAGTGGGACTGAGAGTAGGCTCTTCAGGCTTGAATTGTCTCTCATTACGTGAATCAAAATCTTTGGATCTAGTAGGTCAACGCAGAAAATGGGGTAGTAAATATGTCCCATTATTAATTGGCCTTCAGACATGTCGAAAGCTGCATGCTGAGCTTCGTTTTCGACCATTATATACTGCATATCCAGCAACGCCTGCTCAGGTATCTAACCCGATGATCCAATCCGTTCCAGATTCCAGTCCCAACCTCTATCCTACCAGTGTCATGATTTCTTCGTCAAACATTTACTTAAAAAGATAACAATCTTCGCCAGCGCCTTGAAGCTCATCGTGATCGTCCACACAAAACACTTGATCAGCATCCATATTAGCCCAAAGAACCCCGGGACTTTCTCCTCCTTGCTCTTCTCCTTACCCCCTTTTCCTTTCAAACTATCCTGACTTTCCAGATCAAGTTCGAACGACTCCATCTTCACAGGCATCTTGCTACTCCTCTTCCATTTGCTCCCCTTTTCCTTTGGGCTTTCCTGCGGGCCGATAGGAGGAGGGGCTTCAAAATGCTCAATCTTGTGCTTCTTCTCTTCCTCAATCGCCGTAAGCAACACGGCGCAAATCGCAACATCCACAACATAAAACGCATCAATACGACTCGCAACACTAGTATCGATCTCCAAAAATCCCGTCCCGGCTCCATCTCGCACAAGCCTCACGATGTTGTGGGCTAATTCAGGGTGCTCCAACGTATACTCTACTCTTGACCACGCTGGCGAGGAAGAGATGGATATGACAAAGGGGGTGGAGAGGGCAGGGTGCACGAGGTAGTACTTTTGGCTGTCTTCGTCCCAAACTAGCCGTCCGCATTCGCGTTCTGCGACTGCGATGACGGAGGCGCTGTCGGTGCGGTGGGGCTTGGATGCCATATCGATGGCCATGTTTGCTGCGGCGCGGGGGTAGAGGAGAGCTACAAGGCCGTCGTTGGGGGGAAGGCGGCGCGCGGATCTTCGAGGGTTGTGGACATTACATCCGAGTTTGCGTCTTTTGACTTGGAGGATGAGCCTATCAACGGCGATGAGGAGGCGGCGCCTTTGTTGGGGTCTTGACGGGTCATTGTCATCTGAGCTGATGTCGAGGTTGGGACGATACGGAGCGTGTAGAAGGTTTGGGTGGCGGAGGAAAGCGTGTGGATTGGTTCTTCGGGGTGAGAAGCCATTTTCAGACAGAAGGTTCGTCCTTCTGAAGCAGAGACTCGCCAGCCATTGACAACTTTCCACAGCTCCTTCAATTCGTCCGTACTCGATGGCTCCATGATTCTTTCATCTTGCACACCACGCGGGAAGCGCCCAGGCGATTGTCCTACCGCCATGGGACTTTGTAAACCAGCTGGACTCCTGTTGATTTCGTGAATGCTGGGAGAGTATGGTCTTCGATTGATAATTGTTTTGGGTATATGTGTAGGACTAGTCTGGGTAGGAAAATATGGCTGGTGTTCGAGGGGGAGATCGGGGTTGTATTTGGGGAATATGGACCTCATCACAGGCTCCCCACGCGAGGGAGAACCATTCAAGCCAGTCTTCGCTATCGAATTGTGTGAAGAATTGCTATTACTTCGAACCAGGGTGGGGGCCTCGGAGAAGGAAGTATTTGACCTCGGAATCTCAGCAGCAATATGTGCTTGCGAGGGTTGAGTAATAGGTGAAGTCGAGACCTGCTGTGGGGTGTATCGGCCCCCAGCATACTGTACATGGTCTTGTTGAGCAACAGAACCGTCTTGAGGGGTAGACCTGCCCTCCATAGCAGCTTGCATTTGTGATGGTTCACCATTTTGTGGGAAGGAAGGAGACTCGGGTCTGTCCAGGGCAGACTGCGGAGGAGATTGGGGATTGATAGCATTCCTCCTTGTACTTGGTTTCCTCGAAGGAGTATTCTTCTTCTTCGGTGGAGGAGGAAATAATTGTAGCCCCATGTTCACAGGAGGCTGCTGAGCTTGTCCCGACATGGTGAGACAGTATACCAGATACCTCACTCTTGCAAAAGCAACACAACAATCACCAACAAACAAAAGGAGAAACCGTCACCTCTTAACTCCACACTATGAGACGCTGGAAGCTACTTGCTCCAGATATATATGCATACTTTGCTATTTGTCGTATCTTCACCAAGTAATCCCCGTAGGCGCGTAAGAGTTCATCTTGACGTGCGTGCAGGGCGTGTGATAGCGACGGCAATGGCAGATGGCTCTGAGAATAGATTACAGGTGTATGCTCTCGCCCACTCAAGCACATTTGCCGCCGAGCGAAGCGTTGGTGTTGTGCCCTTGTCAGCGGCTGCATGCACCGTGATGGAGGTGATGATTGGAGATGCAGCACTCTCGGGAACGATGTCTAGCGCGTGTTTTTCCACTGGACGCCAGAAAGGAAACCTTGCCCGCTGCTTCTGCTTGTGGCTGCCCAAACGTACCATTATCTACCAGAGAACTTACATGTTCAATTAACAAGAGATAAAAGCAGCAGTGTGTAGATCCCTAATTACGCATTTTCGCGTTTGGTGTATAGAAGGCGCGAATAACCTCTATTGGATGAACCGCTAGGAGGTATCCCATGTGGTTTCCAGCTCACCTTAGAACTTTGATTCCACAAGTTGTTCCCTTTTATAGCGATAGCGAATGCAGGCTTCTTGTTGGCCTTCGAACGGTGAAAACACCTCTAGTTAGCGTGCAGGAGTTCAGTACATTAGTGTCATTTTCCAACTTAATCATAATGTTTGTGTTAATTCTTGTTGTTTGTCTTCAATTCTCTGCTTAGTTGACCTTTCCTGCTATTATTGTTTGCAAGTGAAGAATATTGAACAACCAGCCAAGTTCTCATTTATCAAGTGGCATCTCTTGTATTTGTTTGAGGAAGAGCGATATAGTATGAAGAGAGAAAAAAATCGCAAAGATCTATACATCTGACATGTTCCCCTCCAACCTCAACTTAACCTACCTATCAATAAATTCCTCTTTCCCTCTCCCCAGCACTCTCCGCTCTCTCTCCAACTCTTCCGCCAAATAGTGACAAGTAGGGACAAGGCAAGAAGTGATAATCCGGAAGGAGGATACTTTTAGACCCCTCCAAGAGACTTGACTTGAACCGCTATAAAAGAGGTCATGCATTGGAATTGGAGCTTGGTAGTGGCACTGTAAGAAGATGCTAAGATAAGGGAGGGAGGGGTAAAGGAGGGGCCAGATGGACGATCTTTGAAATGCCTGTTGACACGTCGATCTTGCTGGACTTTGGATCATGAGTGAGTAATATTGTATCTTCCGACCACCCGAATAAGTGCTAATATTATATAATATATAATACATCCCGCAAGACAGAAAACTAGTAGTGTTATGTATGAAGCCCCTCGTGGAGCATTACTGTAGTCACACTTAACGCTTAACCAATTACTTCAATATCAGAGTGTGAGGTCAATACAAGGCATTTATTATCATATACAATACAAAGTCATAATCGATCTTCTAGTATTTCGTACTCCTCAAGCCCAAGTCAATCATCGTCCTATCTACAATAAGATCATACCAGCACCAGAGAAGGCAGCCAACAAGGTGAAGCCAGTCATGAAGGCGGTGGAGATACCCAAAGTAGCACCAACAGTCATTCCACCCTCGCTCTTCTTGGTTGTTGAGGAAGCAGCTCCTGATTTTGATGCTGTTGAAGATCCGGTACCAGCACTGGTTCCGGAGTTGGCGGATGTAGCAGCGGCGATGAGGCTGGAGCAAGTGGAAGCTGGAGAAGGGTTGCTGACAATTGTGGCGTTCCCACCAAAGTCGCAGGCAGTGTCGACACTATTCTGAGCCAGGTAGTATGCGTTCATGGCCCAGGACAACTTCTCAGTTGCATTGCAGCCTGAATATGGGCCGTAAATACCGGTTGTAGTGTTGACGACAATCCCAGTGTTGTTGGTGAAACCCTGGCCATTGTAGATTACATCGTTAAACAGTGGGCCGACGTCCGCGACCGTCACTGAAGATTTGGCAGTGCACGAGAGGCTCTGGACCATGCAGGAACATACATCCTTGTCTGGAGTTGGGGGAAGAGGAGTAGCAGCGTTCCAGTTGGTGCCAACGGCCGGGCAAGCGGCTTGGGTGTTGGTGGCGGTGTAGCTGCCCTTTGACACACCAGATGGAGCGACAGATGCCATGGCCGTTTGGAAGGCACCGAAATCATCAAGCTCGCTAACAGAGCTCGCGTCATCAGATACCTTGACCAGACCGAAGTCGTTCGTCTCTTCAAAGTACTCGTAGACGATACCACCGGAGAAAACACCAGTCATATTATCACCATAAAGAGCCGCAACTTCAGTGAACTTTCTTTCAGCAGCTCCACCGCTGTTCTTGTTGCATCCGTATTCGGCGAAGAATGATGGGACAGAGTAGGTGGAGAACTCGGTGACTCTGGTGGAGTAGCCGGAGCTTTCAAAGGTTGCATCGGTACCGCACCATTCGTAGATGTTGTATCCCCAGAAGTCGATTGAGCTATCAACATCACCACAGTTCAGGTAAGAAGCGACTTGAGCCCGGACAGTTTGGTCATCATCAGCGGCGTAGCCTACTCCCATGGTTCGGTAGTTCTTCTGCTTAATATATGCCTTGGTGTCTCGAACAGCAGCCTTCACGATAGCGGCAGAGCCGGTGTAGGTCAGGTTGTTGGGGACCTCATTTCCAGCAAAGAATCCAATGACATTGGAGTACGTCGCCATAGCATCAACAACAGATGTGTATCGGTCCAGCAGTGTGGTGGTCCATTGTGGGTCGGATCGATCAATAGAGTTAGAGGGTTCACCCAAGTCACTGATGACATAGATTCCGGCGGCATCCAGCAATGCCATGCACTTGGAGTGATCTAAGGTAGGATCGATGGCATAAGTTCGGATGGTGTTGGCTCCCAACTTTTGGAGCTCTGGAATGTCGCGAGTACAGCTATCCACATCGCCGAGAGGGTCGGTGTATTTGGTCTGTAGAGTGGAAGTTAGATAACGGAAGTATGCGAGTATGGATATGGGGAGGCCTTACAGTGCTGTTGGTGCTGGTGCTACCTGAGGTGGAAGGATTGAATCCAGCCTGGTAAGCAACGCCCTTGATGAAGAACTGGGTGTCGTTGCTGTTGAAGAAGAATTTTGAACCCTGCGAGATTCATCAATTAGCTATCGTCGGTGGTGGTGTCAATATCATTCAAAGATGCTTGGCATACCTTGATAACGATTGGATCGAGGGTGGCAGACGCGCCGCTGAAGAGCAACGATGCGACTGCAGTGAGCAGGAGAGTAGATTTGCCCATGGTGCCGGCTTGGCTTGTCTGTAGGAAAAAGGAGAGAACTGAAGCGACTGTCGAGTGTCCCAAATGGATTTAACAATGGGAAGCAAAGAAGCGACTGAAATTAGACTTGTCTATCAAGAAGAAAAGACAAGATTATGATGGAAATGAAGAATGAGGAGATCTCGGAGTTGGAGTTGGAGTTGGAGGGTTGGAGGAAGGTGCAGTAAATGAGCAGGGGTGGCTGGAGCAGCAGCGAGGCGCAGTAAGGTAAGGTCTCCGTATCTAAAATTATTTGGATAAACACGACCCACACCACACGAACTTGTGAAATACGGGGGGTGTTTGGTCTGGTTTGTTCAATCAATGACCGGGATTGGCTGGCATGGAGGAATCAACTTCAAACATTCAACGCGCTGTTCCACAAACAGGAGCTGACCTGCAGTAGTCCCGGCGTGGCCGCAACAAAACCACGAGTTATTTTATAACTCTGAGATAAATACCTTTACAATTATTATATTAGGGAGTGTCACTTCAATCAATTATCAGACGTACCATACCGTTACGGTAATAACCTTTACGTCAAGAAATGATTCGGATTGGAGAGTGAAACATCTACAAGCCTTCTCACTATTGACCGCCCAGTCCGAACCAACCCAACTTCCGAAATTATTGCGGCTGGCTGTGTCTAGAACAGTTTATTCATCGTTCAGTTTATCCGAAGAACGAGAACGAGCAACGAATGTCTTCTTAATACGAAGCTCTGCTGACCTCACTCGAAGACTCTTACTGTCTACCTGACAGGGCTTAGTGGCTCATTGTTGACCGCTTGTACTGGAGAATACAGTATCGGGGGTACGAAGTAATTCCCACGTTTGTCTTGGTGGCGGTTGGGGTTTTAGCTGAATCCTTCGAGGGATAGACTCACTCACACTCTCAAGTTAATTTACTGTCTTCTTGACGCGTCATATCACCTGAGGCAGGTAGGATCTATATCCTTCCAATCTCGTATGACTTACCTACACCACTGTTGCGGCCTATTTTTCATGTAAAATATTTCCTCGTCTCCATATAAAACGATCGTGTCAGCCTTAACGCAGTATGACAATGTCAGTTTCTCGCATACATGATCTCTGCTAGCTGCGAAGCCGCAGAACTCAAAATAAATAACTAGATGAAGACAGGTTCTTGACAAACTTTCGAAGTACGATATCTGTTCCCCAAACGCTTTTCGTTATGCTTCACTTCACTTCTTCGAATATATCGCCTTCAAACACCGTGCTGGTACCAAGCGTTGAAATGGCACTGCAAACAAATCCAAGTGCTTCACACATGGGCCTGTCTTTGTAGATTCGCTTTCATCTTTCTAATAATCCGAACATGTTTCCAGAAGGTTGGGGCTCGAGCTCTTAAACTCGTTATGCCCCTCTGATCATGTTACATCAAGCAGTACTTATGGAGGAGGCTGATTCTTGCATTTCGACCAATCAAACAATACGGTATTATTCTCTTCTAGTTAGGCCTGTCGATATTGCCTGTCAATACCTCTAGAGGAGCAGTGCGGCTCTCAATCATATGAAGTTCGACTCCAAGGAAAGATTCAGCCTTATGTCATCATCAAACATATATTTGGAAATAGAATCAGGAATCCAGATGACGTGAAGTTATATGCTCCAGGAGTATTGCCTTTTGTTATGGTTTTCCATTTTCTCCATCACACCATCTTCATATTGTAGCTTCTTCTCTCTTTACTATAGTCCTCGCCGATATGCACTTTCTTGACAGCAAGCTCGTGCCCAGACCTTATATTTTCCGGGCAGACTTACTCTCCAAACGTTACGGCGTCTAGCGTCTCTGTAAATGCTATTAAATAATGAGCCAAGAACTGCACCAACACAAATGTCAGATCCCGACGTGGGAAAAGAGACATGGGACGTGATGCAAGATCTCACAAACGTGGCCAAGAAATAGCAGAAATGTGTTTTTGAAGGCGCTACAGGGGAATAATTATACACAAATCCAGCGTGCGTAAGTTCTACCTTTTCTTCTTTCTTTACCATAGAAGGTGAGTGACGTGGCGCACGGGCTTTCATATATATACATAGAGAACTCCCTCCTTCGAATCCCTTACTTGCAGAACAAGCTTGCAGCCCCACCAACCCAAACTTGCAGCTCGTGCGAGAAATCTAATTAATACCGAGTTAAGTTGTTTTATCACCCAAACCTTTCCAACCCTATGTAAAGTATCCGAGTGGAGATTATTATATCACTCCTATAACAAACTCATACAAACCGACCCGCCCTACCTCACTCCAACACCCCCCTAACCCTAATTCAACCCTAATCCAATTCACTCCCCTTTGGACCCCACCTATTCCACCCCCAAACCCCCCACGCAACCGTCTCCGCGGTCGCAACCAGAGTAAAACCAGTCAAAAGCGCAATCTTAGCCCCCCGACTACTATTCTTATAAATATCCTTCAAGCCCGCGGATTCAAAACCCGGGTTCGGATTCGGATTCGGATTCGGACTTGGGTGTGCACCAGGTGAGGGAGTTGGGTTTTGAGATGAAAATGCTCGGTGTGATGTATTTGTGTTATGGAGGATGGTTAGAGGTGGGGGTTCTATCGGGGATGGTAAGCAGAGCATTGTTGTTGCTTGGATGTGGTGATGGTGGTGGGGGGAGATTAAGGTGCAGGCTATTTCTTGATATCAGAAAGAATGTAAAGATGGATATTTAGGGGTTCAGAGATGATGTTTGAACTTTTAATATAAAGTTTGGTTGTGAAGGGAACGTCGAGTGAGGGTGAAGTGTATATGGAAGGGGGAGGGGTGCTTTCAAGTAAGAGGGTTGATGTTACACCGTTCAGGCAGAAGGGGGCTCGCTTTTGCGAGTACCTAATTGGTTCGTTCGTTTATTACCAAGGACATTATAATAAACTTTTTGTTTATCCCGATCTCTATTGCGAACTCAACATCTCATGTATTTCAATAACGATCATTGAAGCAACGGTGGAGTCATATTCGTATATCTCTACGCAACTGGAGCACCGCTATCTTCAACATACTGCGGCCCCTCCAACTCCTCACCACCTTGCACCCAGACTTTCTCCAACTCCTTCTCGATCTCCAACTTCCTACTCTCCCACTCCTTGACCTTCTCAAGCCTCTCCCTCAGCTCCCCCAGCTCCCGCTCAACGCCCATCTTCTCCTCCTCCGTTCCAATCCTCGCAAACGCCCACTCACTACCATCCTCGCCGCCCCCAAGACTCAGATTAAAGGTATGGTATCTTTTGAGACTCGCTCGCGTACTGATCGTAATAAGGGTAATGCCCTTCTCCTTGCAAGCCTCATACAATAAGCCCTCAACATCACTGCTGACCGCACTAGTCCCCTCGTCAATAACCGCATATCGCGGCTCATGATACAGCAACCTCGCAATGCCCATGCGCTGTTTCTCGCCTCCGCTCAAAACATCTTTCCATTCTTTCCGCGTATCCCAGCCTCCTTCACGGTCAGGCAAGTATCCTAGCTTCGCTTCTTCCAAGACGTGTTTCAGCTCCATGTCGCGCCGGCCTTTGTTTCGCATCTCGAGCTCGCCATCGGGGTAGATTACTTGGTCGCGGAGAGTGCCCGGGCTGAGGTAGGGGCGTTGCGGGAGGAACATTATGCCGTCAGTTCCTGTGGAGCGTGGGCGGGATACTAGGCCGCGGTAAACGGGCCACAAGCCAGAGACGACGCGGGCTATGGCGCTTTTGCCTACGCCGTTGGGACCAGAGATCTGAGTGTCTGTTAGATGGAAGCTGGAAGAGAGTAGGCAAAACTTACGAGGAGGTGCTCGCCGGAATGAACGATTAGAGAGAGGGAGTCGATCAGCTCTTCGCCGCCGTGGGGAAAGATCGACGGGGCTACGATTGGCACGTGTTCTAAACGTACACCGTCGAAACCCTTATGTATCGTGCCTTGCACATCGGAAAGGGAGTATAATTCAGGTTGCGTTCCCCGAGGTGGGAAGTAAGCGTTTGCGTGAACTCGATGGAGTGTTGAGATTAACGTGTAGACTCGACTGGTATAACCAGCGAGCTCGGAGAGATCTTTGATGGAGTACATCATTCTTCCACCGGCATCAGCTAGGGAAAGCATAAGTCGTTTATTAGTGATAAATTCCTTCATACGACCCCTTTCTCTTCCACCAGTGATGGCTGCATCGGCGAGTTCTTGAATTCCTCCAAGGCCACCCCACGCTGGTAAGAAGACTGGCAATGAACTCAAGAGATAGCCATATGCACTCCAGCTATACTTGAGGATAAAATCTTCGAGAATGTTATAACGGATCTTCAGAGTGTAGATCCCTTCCATCCATCTCTTTAGACTCTTGAATTCCTTGTCTAAAAAGTTCTTTTCCATGTTCGCTCCACCGTAAAATGCTACTTCTTCCGCATTTGCTATGAGACGAGAATGGAGGGCTCTGAAATCTCCTTCTTTGCGGCCTTCGACAGCCTTTAGTTTTCCAAAAGGAGGAGACATCCTTCGGAGAAGACTGGCAGTGAGTAGATAGTTGCTCAGCAGGCCAGCAAATGCAAGAGGGCCGAGTGATCGATAAAGTTGGTAATTGAAAACCATCAGATCTACAAATGGCTTTCCCAACGAGGAGTAGAGACTTGCTGAAGCAGCGCAGAAGTGCGTGAGATCCTGAGTGATGAATTGGTCTATTCCTTGTCCAATTCCACCATCCAAATTTGGTAATTTGTAATAGTTGAGGTTATCATTCAGGTAAAGATCATGTATGTATCGGGTGAGACGTGTTCGAAAGGCAATTGATACTTTGGATTGTAGGAATTTGATCATGGCATTCGTGTATGAGGCAAGACTTCCAATACCACACCACTGAATGGAGTTAGCTGTAGATCATGGGATGAATCTTACGTCAGTATAGATGGGAGAGGTGATGTTTAGATTGCAGCACTCAGGAAACAAAAAGAACAGGTGGATTCCAAACAAAAAGCAGCAAGTAAGGATTCGACAGCTTACCTTGATGATTCCCCATATGAATGACCTCCCATTACCAGCAACAAGATCCCGAACAATCTCTCCGTCTAATCTAGCGACCACTAACGAAAGGTACGTCCGCAACAGCAGAAACATTCCATGACTTAACAATAGCCCTGTCTCTTTACTCGTCCATCTCGGTATCATAATACTCAGCAAACTGAGGAACTGGTGTAAGAATGCGAGATTGAGACCTGGCTTTGTCTGCGGTGGCGGTATTTGCGGGGTATCTCCATCTGTGAGCCCTGAAGCTCTCGGCGGGTTGAGGAACAGCCTGCGGTGGGCATCAAATGTAGTAGGCTTCGTAGGATTTATAGTGACTTTCGAGGTCGAGTCTTTGTATGGCACGTATATAACTCTGGATCCATCCTTGTTGAGCAGTCCTGAATTTCGCCGCAGCAGTCGTCTTCCTTGCTCTTTCTCCTTGCGCTGTTTCTTCCACCATCTTGTGGTTCCCGTACTACCTACCACTATTGAGAGAGTTAGGATGACTGCGCCGAGTAGTCTCGTTGCCTTCGAGGTGCTTCTCAGGCGCTGGCGGATGAGGTTGGAGTACTGATGGTACAGATTGGCCAGCGGATCCGCAGAATACCGCAGGGTCGACTGAGAAGCCATTGTATCCAAGAAGATTAGGTCTTCTGTCTCGCAAATTCAGTCGTCGTTCCCTTTTGCCCAGTTCACATGTTTCCTGCTGGTATGATAGCTACTTTGCTGTATTTATTGTTGTTCCCAAATCATGCACGCAGTCGTTGACGAGCATCAATTACGAGCATTTAATCCGCTGCCAGTGTGCCGGTCATTATCGTCTGAATACTTTAGAGATTCTTAATCATTGAAGTTTATGGAGTAGTCATCAACAGCGTCACCAAAAATGCTTCGAAGCTTTGTTGTGCATGTGAGTACTGCCTTTAAACCCCGGCCGAGGCATGTGAAGTTGAATCGCCCGTGACCTGATGGCTTCGCTTCCCCGCCAAAGTTCCAAGAGAATCTTCTCCAGCATCTTCTCGGCCCCCACCCCACTCAGGGTCCGGCCCGTCATCTTCAAGGGCTGTACCTCAGAAAAATAAGCAAAAGGAAATTACTTCGTACCTACGCAGAATCTAAGACACCAAGAAGAAGATGTCTCTGATGAATTATTCCCGATCATTAAACCCGCCTGCCAGTTAGTTGCCTTACCTGATCTGGGCCTTCTAGAAGGTCGAGGTCACCGGCAATCAGACCCACAACGGGCCTAAAATGCGACCACCAGGCGAAGACTGACCACTTCCAACGGTGGTAATCATCCATCTTTTGCGTGAGATGAGGATCATAAAGTGTTGTCTCGTGCATTTCTCATTCTTGCCTTTGCCCCGTCCCCGTCCTCCCTTCACCGCAAGATCTGACAGGCAGGAATGACGATGGGATCATTGGGAAGGCTTCAAGAGGTAACAAGCTTCATCCTAGTTCAAAGGGAGCTTCCCGTACATGGCGATTAACCGATTGGGTTCAACTCGTAGCCGCCATGGTGGAGACTTTTGAGTTTGGACCTCACTCAGCACGGAGTAGTATCCCCAACATCCAACAGATCTCGACTATCTCCATACAGTACGAGTATACAGGACTCGGGAAGCTTCTCACGAGTTTATAGGTAGATGAGAAGAAGCAGGTACGGAAAGAGGCGTGTTGGACCAGGCGGGCTGCCCTATCACATGTACTGGAGTACCAAACTCTATGTTAGGTACTCTACCAAAGTCAGCTTCTATTTATATCTCTCCTATCCACGGGCACGGGCAATGAAGAAGGTCAAAAGCACGAGTGGGCCGATCTACGGAGCAGGTTTGCATTGCATCGCACAACATTGCGCCTTGAGGTCCGCCTGGGGCGAATGTACCGTCCTCCATACGGGTATATCTCTTCTGACATGAGTTCCAAGTACCACCAGTACTAAGGACCTTGGTACAAAGACATGGCCGCTTTCACGGGAGAGATACACTATGACGGTTGTATTAAACAGGGTAAATAGAAGCATTCGGCAATCAGAGCCCCTGGTGGCTTGGATCGTTGTAAAGAGCTTTTGATTGGAGGAGTTGTGATGGCCAGCGCCTAATATTCGCCCCCAAGCTTCTGTGATGAGATGCGGAAATCCCCCCCCCCCCCCTTCCCGTCCCCTGATAGCGCCTTGAAGCCGTCTTGATGAGCTTCAAGGCAAAGGTTTGTTCGACGGGCAGGCGCGGAAAAAAAAAGCCATGCATGGCCAGAAGAAGCAGAGCGGAAGCAGTACCATGGGGGGGGCAAGCTCTGCTCTGAATGCAATGTGCATGACCAACTAAGGTATCTACGAGTGCGTGCGTCGTACTCATGCTCTGCAAACAAACAACTGTCCAATTTGATTCAAAAATCTAAATCTAAATCTAAATCTAAATCCAAATCTAAACCCTCTTCACTCCTGGTTCTTTCGAATAATTATTATCTCTTATTATTTGATTGTTCTTCACTTCTTAGGACTTCACTTGACTTGCTAGATCGCGAGCCAATCTTATTGTCATCTCGCTAAATTACTTGGACTCTCAACCCGCATCAAACCTCTCGGTCTCGGTCAACTCTCAGCCTCTACCCAGCTCTTCGACCTTTCCCTCTACACAGCTTCTATCAAAGCTTCTTTTAATTGTAACCTCATTCCCTCCCTCCCACCCTCCACTGTCGCATCGCGGCGCGCCAATTCTCGGGTGTTTTTGTAATCGCAGACTATGCGCAACAAGATCGAATGGTGATAAAGCCGCTTTAAAGATCGAACGAACCGCCGCAAGTCAACGACGCGTGCACCACCCACAAGTGATACGTTTTGGGAAGGCATCACGGCGCTTTATCACGGATTCACTCTGAGGACTAGCATTGCCCTCGATGAGTAATGAGACTGCTCAGCCAACTGAGCAAACTCACAACCGATCAGCATCTGTAGAGGGTACTAAGACGAGACCGCCTGCGCTGGACACATCAAGCTGTATGTTTACTTCATTCTGAAAGCCCATTTGTAGGCTTCTTGTCGATTTAGCTAGCCTCATCTCGAAGGCGCGAGTGCCACGAAAGGTCGAAGCTAATAATCAATACAGTGACAAACGCCCCCCAACCCCCCAGCTCATCGACCCAGACAACCTCTACAGCACAAAACACCGCCAGCACCGACAACTCGGAAACGCCTGTCCTATCAGGGTCACAGAACGAGAAGGACTCTCTGCGGGCAGCCGACGAAGCTCCTGAAGTGCCACAGAAGAACCGCGGTCTGCTCCACGTTCCATCAAGAACCTCTTCGCAAAAGATAGAACCATCACCAACATCCACTGGCCTTAGCGGAGCAACTGTTACCGACCCAAGAGGCAGTATAGGGGGGCGATCGAAGGATTCAAGGGGGAGCATACTGGGGAGGCGGCGGAATGGGAGTGCGACCAGCAGCAAAATGTCGATAACACCAGGTCCCGATGCGGGCTCTACTGGGCAGAACCCCACATCAAACGCTGCTGGTACCAAGCAGAAGAAGAAGAATTTCCTGTCGTTTCTTTGCTGTATGGCTCCAGACGATGTCAATACATTAGATCCTGATGAAGCTACACCTCCGAACAAAGTTTCAAAGGCTCCAGGAGGGCGTTCAACGACGTCTAGCAGGCCAGATCATTCGGCGATAAGCCAGACGAATAATGCTACGACGCAGCCTGACCAGGAAAAAGCAGCTCTGCAGAATGAGGAGCCGGGTAAAGAGCGGAATGAGACGACAAGTCTGGATTTGGGCAGAACAATCCAATCGGGAGCCGCGTTACCAGCAAATGGCGATTTAAACCGACCAGTCGACACCCGTGATGCACCATTGCCAGAATTGCCCAAGGAAGCAGAATCTTCGGGTGCCGCTCAAGCTGCGCAACAAACCCCCTCTATTGCAGTGCAAAGTCCGGTGAGAACGGAGCCAGGATCTCAAGATTCGTCCGACCAAAATGACGGAGGAGGTGATGTTCCAATGCGGGATCCGGACCCGGTACCAATAGCAAAAGATGAGTCCTCAGTTACGGCCCCTAGAAGTGATGAGATAGCAAAACCTATGCTTCCCCCACCTCCTCCAGTCCCTCAGCCAGGGCCAAGCGAAGAACCAGGAAATGAACTTGAGCAGAAGCAACAATGGCTACTTCCACCGATTGCCCCAAGATTCCAAGGAAAGAAATGCTTGGTATTGGATCTGGATGAAACACTGGTACACAGCAGCTTCAAGGTAATTCATCTATCATACGTCGAAGACTAATCGCTAACATCTCGAATAGATTTTACACCAGGCGGACTTTACCATTCCCGTTGAGATTGAAGGTCAATACCACAATGTCTACGTTATTAAGCGACCAGGGGTAGACCAGTTTATGAAGCGTGTTGGGGAGCTTTATGAAGTTGTTGTTTTCACTGCTTCTGTTTCAAAGGTATGTCACCCCGGGTTTCTCGTTGACTGAAGCTAAAGAACTTCCAGTACGGCGATCCACTCCTAGATCAATTAGACATCCATCACGTGGTACACCACCGGCTTTTCAGAGAAAGTTGTTACAATCACCAAGGAAACTATGTCAAAGATCTGTCCCAGGTTGGCCGAGATCTCAAGGAAACCATAATCATCGACAATTCGCCAACTTCTTACATTTTCCATCCCCAACATGCTGTACCCATTAGCAGTTGGTTTTCAGATGCTCACGACAACGAGCTCCTAGACCTTATTCCCGTTCTCGAAGATCTGGCAGGCTCGCAGGTGCGAGACGTCAGTTTGGTCCTCGATGTCGCCCTTTGAAGCAAATTTTGAAGTGCGATCCAGCATGCAGATACTCTTGCTATCATAGCGGACGGCGTTCGGTTGATACCTTTGGTTTCATTGTAGAATGTACTGTTTAATCTATATAATGGGGCGAATTAGCCCCACCTTTTGATACGCAGAGGAGGGCATTCAAGCGGTTTACCAAAATTGGAGAGAATGGAAGGAGCTGGTGTCTTGGGGTTGTAACAAGGAAGGGGAATATGAGTACAGGCCTCACAAAAGCTCTACACGGGCGGCCTTGGTGCCACCAAATCTTCTTTTCTTGTCCGAATCAATGCTGGAGGTGCTGGAGCCAAATATGGTAGAAGAGGCACAGCGGAAACCCCACCCCCAAATATTTTCATTTGTTATATTCATCTTCACCTCAGGCATGCGTGTATAGGCGCGGCATCATGTAACAAAGCATAGTCGAGGTTTCTGGTGTTGGATGAGGCATCGGATCATAGCCACGATGCGCTTCGTCAACAAATACAATTTGTATATGGAGTTTGTATTTTTCTAAGTATAATCGTGACCGTAAGAATTGCTATAAATTACTTATGAAACTATTACTCCTGCTTCTAAAAAAAGTACTCAATCCATTGATGAAGACTCCTTGGCCTTTGTCTCATCTCATCTCATCCCCGGACCCACTAGAAATTTAGCGCGAACTAATCCCTGTCGGAAGCGAGCCTCCCTTTCAATCGTGTCCTTAATATTTTGGACTTCACACGACTCCGACCAAAACACGACCTCGCAACTTCCACTCCTTTACAAACGCAACCTCCCTAACTTCGCCACATCATCCCAATTCCAATTCGCAAAACAGCAAAATGGTTTGCATTCCCTGCCTCCCCTATACTGCCCTGATCACTTCACCTCCTGTGCAATTCCCATCATCTCCCAACTACACTACACTCCACTCTGCCCTTCCAGAGCCCCAAGCTAATTAAATCAAACAGTCTTCACCACGCGCATCCTCTCCCGTTAACTCCCCCGCCGGCGCTTCCACCGGCCGCCCATCTTCACCCACACCCCCCGGTGGCCCCAAGACTGCCATTCGTAGACGAGCGGCTGCTGATCAGAAGGACAAGGTTGCGAATGCGCGACCGAGCTCGACGAGGGCTGCTGGTGCTGGAGGAAGCAGTTCTACTATGTTAAGTATGTGCTTGTGACTCTGTTTGCTTTAGGCGTGGTGTTGGAAGGGAGTGGTGTACTGAGTGGAGAGGGCATTGTGATGGCGGGGCTTGGAAGAACACTTGAGATGTTGAAGAACGTGTGCTAATGTGGAGAATAGGACTTTACACCGATGAGAGCCCAGGATTGAAGGTTGATCCTGTTGTGGTGCTTGTTCTATCGCTGGTGTTCATTTTCAGTGTTGTTGCGCTGCATAGTATGTCTCTACAATCCCCTGACCCTCAGGCATATGTCGACGATTACTAACGTTGGTATAGTCATTGCGAAGGTCACGAGAAAATTCTCCAGCTAGATATGAGTTGCGACGGGTGAGGGGATCTACATGTAGAGCGTAGTGGAAATGGAATTGGAGGGCGAAGTGGAAAATACATTGCATATGGTTCTGGTTCGGTCTTGGTCAATAATGCGAATTGGGCGTCGGCTTATTTTTGGGCCCAGTGTACTATAGCAAGCTGAGATTTCAATCAAAAGCCAGGAGTCTCTCACATGGGCTTTTGCCCTACAAATTTATGCTCATTACACGGGTTTACAAACGTATTGAACCATGTGTCGTATCAGAACATAAAAGTTATACCGCGCAAGACTATGAAAATACCTCCAAATCCCGAGCTATCTGTATGTTGAGCAAGAGCGGCAAATAATAGGTAGTGACGATGACCGGACCGGTAGATTCGGTGATGACTCGGTGATACGAGAAGCCGAGACCTATAAAACCCCAAATGAGCAGCATCCATCAATCATTAAAACTCTCCTCTGTCAACCAAACCCTGCTATTCCGTACATAAACACAAATAATAAAAACTACCTGCATCCCACATATCACGTATCACGTATACTTACCTCACACACTCACTCCACCACGCACAATGGCAACAACCCTCCTCCTCCTCTCCCGCAACCCTATCTCCATATCCGACGCGCAAATCCAGCTCGTCGACGATGTGGACCTAGAAATCTACACCGGCACCAACACCTCAGACGTCCGCAGTGCCTTTGAGCTTTCCTCGACCGCGACCATCGACCACGTGTTTGTGGGCGCGAGCCTTGGCATCGAGAAGAAGCTGGAGATTGTGAGGGAGGTGCATGCGCTTAGTGGGGGCCGGACGAGTGTGCATCTGAAAGGGGGGAGTGGTGGTGCAGGCAGTGGGGGGAGTGGTAATGGTGGGGGAGGCACTAGGAGTGGTGTTGGACCGAAGGGATTTCTGCCGTTCGTTAAGGCGGTGCTTGGGGGGTTGAAGGAGCCGGTTGAGGAGGGTGCTTGATTTGGGAGGGTAGGGGAGGTGGTGGGGTTTGTATGATGGAGTTAATGGGTATTACGATGTTTATGATTGGGGGGGGGTGGTCTTGTGGTGTGCAAGTAGGTAGGTATCTTTTGGAGTTTGGGCTGGAAGATGCAAAGTAAGTCTTACAAATAGAAAGGGAATATTTAGAATGGGAGCGCTTTGCTCTAAATACCATGGAATTTTGTCCTAACATTATACAGACAGCTCGGAATTTGGAGATAGTCTCATAGTCTCGCGCAAATGGGCAATATGGAAATCTTGTCGCCATGGAGTGAGAAGTTCGGTTCGTATATCTGCAGACTACCGCCTCTGGCCATACTTGATTACTTCTTTATTTGGAAGCCCATTTTTCGCAGACAAGCAAATTTTCATTTCTATATACATGGCTTAGCAAATACGAGCAAAAAAACCATCTCGACTGTCCGGGTTTTCAACTAGCACAAGGTTCTCGAACCAAGCATCATCGTTGTGGAAGTCGTGCTCATTGGGTGGATGAGGCTTTTGGAACAGAAGAGACTATCGATAGCCATGGTGGTGATTCCGTTCCCGGATCTCATATACTGGCACATACAGCTCCATGGATCTGGACCATATCCAGCTGGCAAGATTCGGAGTCTCTACTAGGCTAGAGATGACGATATGGCCGGCTTCTCTGGGGAGTTTTCGTGGAATTTTCAGGTGGCATTTCATCTGCAAAGAGAGCGGACTTGCTTAATATTATTGAGGCATATACATTAGAAGCTATCAAACTTACGAGGAATGGTGTGTGTCGTGGCATCGTCAAGTGATCGCCAGATACGAAGTTTCTATTTCACAGCCCCATGGCAATAGCGGCATCTATGATATCATTGATTTCCAGTACATGACTGAGGAAGGAATGATAGGCTTGTTGCAGGATTTGGACCCGATTCGTGGCGTTGAATGCTTGCGATTATCTCAAGTGAGCAGAAGTCAACTTATGCAGTAGGACGGCTGGGTAGAAGTCCAGTTAGACCTGACAATGCTAGCCATCAACCTTTTCTTTAACATCTGGTCTGAGTTATCTCAATTACTGTTTCCTTCGCGATCGTAGCCGCCATTTTAGTTTTTATTTCAAGCTTACCAGCCTGTACTTTTGTACAGTGTGGTACTGGTAGTACATAGGTGTATAGACTAACCATATAAAGATGATTTTCAAGTGGAGGCATATTTTCTCGTGCGGGGGATGCGCTAGCAAGCCTGTCCATCCAAGAGCTTCTCACTGCCTCAAACACAGCAGGACGAGAGCCTTGAGATGGAAGATCGCAGAGACACGGCTGCGTAGTCACGCCGCACAGAAGCATTGCATAGCCTCACCCAATCCCGGCAACTGGAAAACTTATGATTTGAGACTTCCCGTAGATTTTTATCGCATCTTGATTTATTTTACGAAGTATGTAGGAACTCGCTCTTCTTTTACATTACGTCGTATCTAATTTTATCGAAGTCATTTCGCTCTTCTTCTCTATCCCCGGGCCCTTTTACCCAATCAGGGCATCTATTGCTGATGCTGAATGAACTAGTTTTATACCAGAACAGCTAATTATATGAGTCCCCTCTATATTACCAAATTCAATATAAAGCTAGCATTACCAGTAAATTTGCTTCTTTAGGAAATACAAAGTGGAGCACTCGATACATTCGACTAGCTTAGCAGTCCTTTCAATGACTCAATCGCGCTCCAAAGTACATCTATGCAGTCTATGCAGTGGCTGAGCGAGGCATATAATGAACTTTGAAACCGAGCAAGGTGGCACAATTCCATTTTTGAAGGCTGCTCCTCGTACTTGCTCTATCAGACTTGAATCTCTTTTTACAATTCCTTAACTGCTAGCTTTCGTCTGAAGTTTTTAGACTTCAGCTCATTATCCAGAGGCTCCCACGCCAAAGCGGAAAGATAACAACGTACGGAAATTAATCTTCTAGCAATAGATACGCAAATATTGGATTTGGAATACAGTGAGCAAGTGAAAGGAAACCATGGCATACAATTATTGCCCAACGGGCTCGCCTTGGAACACCAAAATCCTCATATTGCTATGGGGTTCTCAGGCTTGCTACTCGACTATTTGCTGCATTGTTAGTAGTGCTTTGATACCTAGCAAGGCAATCGATTACAGACAAGATGATGGATTCTCGAATACGTGGTACTTGACGTATGTCCCCCAACGCATCTCACTCATAAACACCCGTCCTTCATCTTTGTCCCTAAAATACATGGCCTAACATACTTTCAGGGCCGCATGTTGCACCGTAGCCTGTACGGCCATCACCTTGGGCTTAACAATACCCCAGATCGTCCACTTTAGAGCGAACCGTCTTCATCCCAAGTTCATGTTGGTGGCAAACGTCCTCTTGGCTCTTTTCTGGCTATCTGTTCTGACCACAGCTCCTATTGCTATGGATTGGGATTTGAATAGCACGTACTCGAGCTATAAGTATCCTATTTTCGATCGTTTCGATGGGGTTCTACTGATGGATTGCATTGCTGTGTTAGTAATCCTACCGCTAACCTCCTCAATTGAAGAGGCAATCAAGTTCACCGTGTGAGAGCTGACGTCTGCTACAGTGCGCCTTACTTCCTCGGCGTAATCTATACTTCCATCATCTTTGCCCGCTTCCAGAAGAACAAGAAGCTAGTTCCGGGGAACCAAGCGGGAAATAAACACTACCGCTACACATCCTCCACATCCCCTTGGAGCAACAAGGCCCTCGTCATCGGCTGGACGACACAGTGCGGCTTGTCCGTTATCTGCACGATAGGAATATGGGCGCTCTACCCGAGCAAGTTTGGTAGTTCAGATGAGGGCGATGCATTTGATACCTTCTACATCCTGTATTTTCCCCACCCCGACCTCATTAATTAACAACTTGACATCTCTAATACAAGACTCAGGACGGCGATCATGACGGCCACTGCGACGGGCGTCTCTCTCTGCTTCATGATCCCACAAATCATCGTGTGGAGACGAAATCATCTACATCCGCTAGGTGTACTCATTATGTCTGTTTTAGCGTCAGCACTTTGGTGCACTATTCTCATACTGGCAGGAGTTGGTATAGACGCGAGGCAATCTGAGGCAGAAAATCACTCTTTTGATAAGTGGGAAGGCATCATGTTGTTCGATGAGTTGATTATGTATGTCCTCCCTCCCCAGACAGATCTGCCGGGATATGCTAACTGTTATTGACAGGATACCATATTTATTCGGAATGATCTACGCCATTGGGGTTTTTAGGAAATTTAAGAAAAGCCAAAAACTTGCAAGGACGAGACAAATTGCCGGGAAAGATGACATGGACATAGAGTTGGGAGTGAAATATGATGCTATTATGAAGGGTGCAAGTGAGAGGAGGGGTGGTCCGAGCCTCGATAGCTGAGCTACGAATACTTAATGTCGCCTGGCATTCCTCTTGGGATGAGAGAAATATTGTTTGCGGATGGGCATTAGGCTGTGGTAATTATAATGAAATGATGAGAATGTAAAGGAGCAATAGTCCAAATGACAGAGAAATGACAAACGAAGATCTGAATTCTGATGTACGAGTTGGAACATGCTTGAGAAATGACATCTCAAAGAGAGTTTTCGTAAGTGGTAGGAGAACTTGATCTGTTTTCAAGCATCTAAGAGGCCCTGTTAAAGAGAATACGAACCATACCTGTGATTTGCATGCTCTTGGATGAAAGTTGTGAAGTCTTCTTATCTGCGTCAAATTGATATCATAAATTGTGGAAGTTTCTATGTAGCACTCGTAAATGGGACCTGTTCATTACCAACGACAGTCTAAAGCTCTAATTAGGACCTGAATTCACTAAATAAGGGGCATTCGACGTACCTTCAAAACATTTCCAATTCCTGTAACTTCCCCAGAAGCATTGGCTCCCATGATGTTTGCGAAGTTCGTGGACATCAGCTGTACACCAGAAACAAAGTCCTTGTTATCAAATGCGCAATGGCCTCCTCCATTCGGCGTATTATCAACAGTCTGCAAGGCGCCGACTTGTGAAGCCGTGAGTCCGGCGTCCGTAGCGATTTTTTCATAAGCTGTAATTGCAAGAGGTATAGCGGGCTGTAACAAAGCCAGTTCGTCTTGAGTGCTTTGAAAATGCATTTTCATGGTGGCAAGATTGGCGGGATCGACGACGTCGACTTGTGGTGTGAGACCACCGCAATTCAAGGCCACTCCAGTCTTGTAGGTTGCGCCGAAAGCAGGCATAAAGAATCCAGAAAGGAGGAGAGAACCGCCCGAGACACCTGTAAAGAAGACATTTCCAGGGTCGAATGCAACATCTTGGGACAGCTGGGTTTGAATCAGGCTGTTGACTGCTGCTGCATGTGCCACTCCATCCGTTCGGTCAAGTCCAGATCCACCTCCCCAGAACAGGTCTTTGTTTGGTGCTAGGACTACAACGCCCATTAGGTTGTTTTGAAGGGCTTGGTTTGGGAAATCGAAGAACGATTGACCTCCATCGCCATGAAGAAGCACATTGAGACCCGCTGTGCCCGTAGAATTTGCAGTCGCCACACCACCTGTTACTCCTGAAGCGGCCGTGAATGAAGCTGCGGGACCACTGATTTTGTATCGAATCGAGAGGCCACTACCCAGATAAGTGATACGCTTTTGGGAAGGTGTATAGGGAGCAATACTTAATAGTGACGGTCTTGTCCAAGATCGTAGAACCATCTGTAGCTGTCGTAATCCCACCAGCTGCCGCCGCAGCTCCTCCGCCTGTCGCGGTAGTAGCAGTCGAAGCCGTGCTTGCCTGTCCCTTCTTCTTGGGAAGAGCATCGGCTGGAAAAGCGAAAAGCAAGAAAACTAGAAAAGATACAACGCCAGCCCAAGACTGTGGAATGATGGCCATAATGAAGAAACGTCCAGCGTTAAAATAAAAAAAAGATTGTAACAAAAAGACTGGACTGGAACGGAAGAGAAAACTCAGAACACAACGTAACTCCCCTCTAGATGACGATAAATTAATGCGTAAAAGCATGGCTATATCTTAAAGTAAGAATAACTTAGCGATACTGTACGTAAAGCATCTCTCTGAGCCCCAAACTGCCAAGTCCGTTTCCCCAAGGCGCGATCTGAGGTATCTTGCACGCTCTGATTCAAATCAGGAACCGAGGTTTGACTTGGCGCCGTTGGGAAGAACATCACTGGTGGCAGCGTATATTTGCGGACTAGGCTGAATGACCTTTGTCCCCTCTGAAGCTGCGTTTGGATGGTTGATCCTGAGTACTGTACATCTTTTCGAGCTGAAGTAGTTAGGTGGTTGGAAAGGAAAACAAGCAGGGCGTCGCTTCCGAGAGGCCCATTTTCGCTAGCTTTCCTAAGGGGCCAAGCCAAGTAGCTCCTTGAAACTACAGTGCACCACCAGCGTGCATGTAAAAATCTTCTGCGTGTGCACATTTCTACACATCGCGCATTACCTATTTAGACAATACGGAGCTTTTGACCATCGGAGTGTACTCACTTCCCAGATCAATAAGACCACAAGTATGTTTGCGCGAATGCGACTCCAGATAATGGCGACTCAGCGGCGTGTCTAGCCTTAATTCCCAGGCTTTGTTTCAACCCCGATTTAACATTCTGGCATTCCTGAGCTTATAGCAAAGAAACTTTTCAGTCTTAAAGAAGTCTTTCAAGGAAGTTTATTTCCGAATTCCTCAATCTGAGATAATCGTCCGAGCATATACTTTAGATTCCATCAATCGACAGGGGAAATTGTCCTGTATGAATCCAGGACTTATCTCGGATCGTCGATTTACAGGTCAAGCTGATGATTATATTTGCTTCCTTGGTTCTATTCGTCATACTTGATTCCTTGAAACCAAAATGCGAGCAAGGTCTCAGTCTCTTGGGATGAGCTTTTGAACAAGGGCTAGAATATTTTGAGCTGTTGCGAATGGATTGGATCAAAGGGCAGTTTACAAACCTCTGTATTTGGTGGGAATCTGCAGCGCAAGCCTAGTAGCACTCTAAGGTCCAATTTCAATTATTGAAAGCTAGAAAAAGGTTATTGATTTTTGCGGCGTTATTATAGGTTCTGTTCTGTTCTACTGTCATGTTGTCACGAGGATGGCACCACGAATTAATCTTGTCCCATCGAAGATTGTGTATAGGCCACACCTTCGTCTGAATGAGTTGTAGCGCAGCTCTAAACGGGTAACACAGTCTTGCAAATTTGATTATCTGCTAGTCTACTTACTTCTAGTGCTTTTGGCTTTAGTTTGAGGCATGGTTTAGGGGGAATTCCGAGACAGTTACCTCCACGTGGTGGAGGGTGTCAGTAGCCCTGTCTTCCAGTCCTGGTAAAACTAAAGCTCTCCAAGAAAGTGAAAAAGCGGTTGAGCAAACGGCACTTTGCATTCATAACTATTGATCGATATCCACTGATAAAAATGATACATGTACCTAACCCCCCAACTTTTTCATCTCCAGCGCTGGGTGTTCATTTAATCCGCAACATTGCACCGTAAACATACAGAGAATTTCTAAGTATGGTACTAAGTGCCTGAGATGCAAACAGCATAACCTTCAAACGAATGTAAGACCAACATGCGAAGGGATTTAACTAGCTGAGCCTAGACTTCGCTAAGGCACTCCTCGGTATCGCTGTAAGGCAATCAATTGAATCTGACTGCTACCTAAATACCTAGGGTAGTGGTGACAAATCCGAATCAATGTCCTGATTCTCGGGGGTGTGTTTGACCAATGACCGAACTCAAAGTCAATGTGTCTGATGGTGAATTGGTGGATGCCATTGACCTTTCTCGCCACTTAACCTTTTCAAGAAAGGGGAGCCATAGATATTCACATTGGTTTAGAAGAAAAAATAGGGTTGATTACGCATGTATTCAATATCTAAAAGTCCGCCTTGAGCTTGACACATACAACATCCTTCTTCAACCACCTTACATATCTACACCAAGAATAAGAAACCTACGCGGTGTAGTCGCCATCATGAGGCAGCCCGATATCACGCCAAATACGGTCCACGCACATGAAGTTATATCTAAACAAGACGCCCCAAGACGAGTTCAGAGCTCGAGCTTAGCTACTCCACCCTCTGGACGGCATCAAGCACAAGAACACCCGCATGATGGCAGTGCACCACGTTCTCCTGGCCAAACTGACAATTCAACACCAGTTGTTCCTCATGTCTCCGATCCTGCGCTCATTTGTTCCTGGCCAGGCTGTAGAAAACACCATACAAGTATCGACAGTAGGAAGAAGCATGAAAGGGATTGCTTTGGCGGATCCTCTACACGTCTTAACACACCTTTTATTTGCAACATGCCTTTTTGTCCTTGTGGAAACATTTATTTATCTACTAATTCCTGGTAAGCTTATTCTCAAATTTAAGAGCTGTTTTCCTCTACGGAAGCTAGGGAGCTGGAATATGTTTCAGGGGCCCACATTCCGCTTCTCGAGACTGTTCCAGGGCTCTTAGCTCTCTCCAAGCACTTTAGTTCCACTATGCTAATTCGTTGGTGTAGGCTTGCTCTTCACATTCAGCGAGAAAAGGCTCGAGAAAAGAGGAAGGCTATTTGCCAAGGCAATGTATTGCAATTGTGGCAGTGAATTCTTTAATAAACAGGGATTGAGTAAGCACTTGGCTGTTTTTCCGAGGAAGCATCTTGACAATCAACCCGGTCTAAAGGATTCCACAATGAATTTTGCCCAGGGTGCAGCTGGAAACCATCAAGCCCCAGAGGTTTCTGCTCCTTCCATGCTTCATCATAATGGCCTCCAAGCCTCCGGAGATCATGATGAAGTTGGAACAACGGCCAGTGTCTCACTCGAGCTAGGAAGTTCCAATATTGGCCGACGTGTCATGGATGGCCAGGAGCGGAGCTCAACTGACTCATTGAAGAGGAAATTCGTACGTGAAAGGAACTCCGCTATCACAGAATAATACTAACTCCCGGTGGCAAATAAGGCAACAAATATTGCCGGAACACCCCCAGAGCCTTCCAAGAGAGTTAGAGCAGGGCCGGCCACCAGTACCTTCCATCCCCCATTAACATACAACATATCGTACCGCAAGAACGATAACGACAAGATCGAAGATAGTGATTGCGAACTTCTCGCCATTAGGACACCCGCTTTCAGCTCAGTAAACACGGGTATAGTCCTCGCTGATTCTTTCCGGTTTGAAATTAAGAACATAGCCGAGCAATTCAACCAACACGCCGAGAATTTTGACAAGCTTGATGAATGGCACAAAGGTCAAATCCTGGCTCTCGAGAAGCTCAATGAGGAAGATCAGCAGACCATGCGCGAACTGCAGCAACATCGTGCAAATCATCTCGCTGAGATGGCGGGACTTTGCAAGACTCACAAGAATCAAATCGATACGTTGAGGGCGCTTCGGAAGCATGATCAGCAGACGGCCATCAAGAATTTGGAAGATAGTGAAGTTGCGCAATCCGCCAAGATTCAAGAAATCCGAGCGGGCTACGAGAACCAACTCGCGGAACTTAGGAAATCTCAAAAGAAAGATCTGGAGACTATTAAGACGTTCAAGAAAACCTCCGCTCAACGTATCGCTGACACCAAGAAGCTTCACCGAGGTTACAGAAGCAAGATCTCAAAGTTGGAAAAGTATAGGACGGTGAACCATGAGAGTATTGTGGATTTGGTGAAATCTCTCGAGGGCGGTATTAAAAGGGAGGAAAAACTCTATGCCGATTTCGAAAACCTTAGGGCGAAATACGAAGAGCTTAACACGGAACATCAAAGCCTGAAGGAGGTCTCAATTAGGCGTCTTAACAAACTCAAAGAGGCAAAGGAATGGCGGGAGAAAAAAGAAGCTGAGATGAAGACCCCGACCCAACAATCTGCCGAGCATGTTGCCGAACTTTTGAAATTGCAGGGAAACCTGTAACAAGCAGAACGACAGTCTACCAATCCTGATGTCGGAGGATCGAAGAGCACGGCGGATCAATCATGTACTAAGGCTCCTATAACAGATCAACAGGCGGAAGAGATCGACATTGCGAGACTCCAGAGAATGCACAAACGTGATCAAGACCAGATCAGCGCACTCAGTCAGTGTAGAAAGGGAGATGAAGCCAAGATTGCTGAGTTAGAGGAGCAAAACACGCAGATCAGTTCACTTGAGAAGGAGAACCAGGAATCGTCTGCTGAACTTGAGAAGCTCAAGGCCGTTCATCACCCTCGGAGTGTCGGCTGAAGGATTATTTTTGTAGGAGGGCTTTACATGAGTAATTTTCTATTTTCATTTTTGTATGAGCTTCGCAGACATGAGTGGCTTTTTGATGAATCATTAGAAATTGAGTTTGATTTCGGGGGGGTGTGGATGGATGGTATAATTTGAGTGTCAGCTCTCATATAATACAATAGTAAATTGCATGCACAACTCTAGCGTATCTTGACTCAAGTAATAAGTCGTTGAAAACGGCCTGAATATACATGCGGGGTACTATACGATACTTCGCTTGGCCCGAGCCCCACTTGGCAATGTCTCCCAGCGAATCTATTGCTTACAATAGCACGAGATTGATCCATACTTGTCTTCTACTATAACTGATCGTCATTTAGTCATGCTATACGATATATCCCTCGAGAGAACAGAAACAAAAATCTCCGTAACTTGAATAAGTTGAACTGATAGGCTACTAGCTCATCCCGGGGGCCGCGGGGGAACAGTTGAAGCACCCAATCTATAAGCACTGATTGAAAATTTAGTGTGTACAAAAGCCAGAGAAGAGCCGGCCTGTGGTCAGGTAAATTCATAATATTCGCTATTCTCCTGTGGCATTGAGAGCTTTGAAGGACTAGCTTGTAATACGCCAAGAAAAAGAGTTCGATTGAGACACTAAGACATTCGAACAGTAATTTGACACGCATAGCTGACCCTTTACACCATATGTTCAGACTCCGAAGATTTGAGCAAGGGGTGGATGATTGATCACCTGAGACAAAAACAACTCGAACATCAATAAGCGCAGGGAATAGAGAATAAAAGTCAAAGAAAAACGTATCGAAGAGGAACGAACAGTATAAGCAAATAAAGACCGGAAATGATGCATGCCCAGAAGTGTTTAGAGAGCAAGAGAGCCTCTAAGTTGTTGGACTATCCATGTATGAAATGTTGAATGACCACGCCTCACTTCGACGATGCAAAGCATCTGAGATCTACAATGATCTATTAAGGCACAGTTTGCGAGCCCTGTAGCTTCGATAATCGATATTAATGTCTGTACACCCCCACAACTTCTCAAATCCAAAGCGCACAGAGTATCCCATAGCAAGCGGGCTTCAAATCGAGATCCTCTCAAGGCCCTGTTTCTCAAGGCTTCCTTTCACTTTTCCTGATGACTCTACTTTGTCTCCCATGATGAAGGAGTCCACATCATAATTCCACCAACTGCCCCATTATCAATCACCTGGCTGCGGTCATTGAACCTTCCTAGCAATTGAAACCCCACACTCCTATACATGTGCTCTCCAGGGCCACTTGCTTCCAGCCCAACACACACGCCCTCGCCCTCTGCCCTCCTGAGAACCTCAGCCATCAACCGCTTCCCAATACCCCTCCCTTGGAATTCCGTACCAACAACCACACTCCCCGCATGCCACCTGTTTTTCCTCTCTGGTATACTATTCCAATACTTCTCGTCGTCCGAGGCGATCAACGACCTAAATTCAGCTGTCGCTTTTGGATCAGCCGATTTATCTCCAATCGTTAACTCCAGAATCTTGCAATAAGCCCAAAACAACCAGCTCAAAGCCCACAACCAAAGGCTCTTTCGGCTAGCAAGATGCTTCTTGGCTCCCTCATCATCACCGAGTCGGAGAAATGATCCGTATCCAATGGCATAAGAAGGATTGCTGGCTTCGCAGGCGACGAATGATATAAATCGTGGGTTGAGCAATCGCGCCTGCGATCGCTCGGTAAAAGCACGAACATAGTCTGCTGGGTACTTTTCGCGGTACGGAGAAAGGAAATTTATGAGAGGCGTGTCATAGTATGTTTTGGCTGCGATTTCACCGATTCGACGTCCTTCCCACAGACGAGCTTGTCGGATTATGATTGGTGACTTAGAAGTGGAGGATGCTTTTGCCTTTGTGGTGGCCTGTCCATTTATTGTGAGTGACATTTTGAATGCGCTGCGTGATACTGGATCATGACACAAATGTATGAGCAGAAACTAAAGAATCTCTATGAGGCCTCGAGGTCGAATAACATATAAACCTTTGCAAAACATACAATGACAAGGAAAACACGACATGCGCCTTTTAGTAGACATTTACAGCATGAGTCATGCCGGAATACTTTACATGGGCCAAGAAGTAAACCCCGTACACGTGACGTCAATTTCATCTTTCAGCGACGCCTCTGAGCTCCGAGACCCACTCGGCCTACCCTCGTGTACATATATGACTGGACTTTGAGCCTTGGGCGTCTTTGTTTCTGATAGGGAAATAGGAATAATATGTGTTCCAGCCCGCGGAATTGCCAATTGCTGTACAGCCATAGCTTGGGTTTTCCGGGTCTGCAAGTTTCAGCGGGAAAAAATCCTTTATGAAAACCAACTTCTGGTCTCCAAGTTGGACTTCAGAATGCATGTCGAGTGCTATTTTGGCATAAATGCCTTCCACTTCATTCTCGTCTCTCCTGTTCCTTGCCCTCACTTTCATAAGCCACCTCCAGGCAAACTGTGAGAGACTCGACGGAGACGTGGTATTCAGTATAGTATCTCCGAAGCCCGTATGAGTTTGGATGACACTGCTGTTTTGGGTGTCAGAACACACTGGGAGCTCACGTTTAGGCTGACTTTTAAGTAATGTGGCAATCAGCCTCCTGAGCGAACGACCTCAATTTGTGCCAACGTACAGCCACCAAGAAAGCAATGCACTAAAAGCGGACACGAATAAAACGTGCAATAGCGTAGACGCAGAATGAGTGTCTGGACTGAATAAGACTGAAATGCGTGTTTAAAATTCCAGTTTGTTGGATGACCAGTTTCGACTAGAAATTCAAGCACCAATATTGGTCAAGTCCGTACCAAATTAATAGGCCAAAGATGATTTGTGTTTATGAATTGTGTATATCAAACCCTAGGCGACGTTGCACTAGCACATCTAAGGAAACGCCCAATGCTCGTAAATCTGGACCGGTCGTGTTGTTTTGTGGACTCGGTGTCAACTGAAACCCCTCCTCATCCTCAACACTGATATCTTCCGAGCTCTCCGTTTCCCAGTCTCACGATCAAATTATTCATCGGCAAGTTCTTGCTCCAAGATGTCCCCTGAATAATCACCTCTGTCATGAATCCATTGATAGAAATCGCCAATTTGGCTCAAACTATTGCAAACTTCCAAAACGCTGATCTTTGGCCGGATCCAGTTACTATGCTCAGCCTTCTCTTTCATGAACGATTCGACACAGAACCTCCTATGAGTGTCGAAATATTTCCAATTGATGGTGCTCGAATATGCACTCTCAAAGTGTATGTTGTCTATGGATACAAACTGCCCCTCGGTCACTATCTGCTCAAAAGATTCGTCCTTGTCGAGATCCAGCTGTTCTTCGTCATCGTCAATTTGAAATAGGATAATGGCGTCGTCGAGGTTGCCCCCCCTCGATCGGGTATAACGATAGAGAAGTGTTCCAATTGATCGAATTTCCGAAGAAGCGTAGCCGGTGATTCACATAGCGTGGGGTGCTCTCTATGAAAGATTGCCAGGTCTTCATAAACCTCTGAAGAAAAAGCTATGTGATTAAAGAGCTTCATACAATCCATCTCTAAGAGAGCACTGCGATATTTTGGTAAAGTGAATATCCGGTCACCTATGAAGACGGTGTCCTCCTGTAAATCGCAGAAAGTATCAAAAACTCTGGTGTAACGCATGAGTGCCTCCGCTCGTGCTTCCTTGGAAACGCCAATAATGGATGGAAGTCCACCAAGCCCGGGCTCATGAGCCTGCCATTCTCGTGTAATTTTCTCATAGCATAGCTGGATGACCCGAGGGCGACGATGAGTTGCGAAGCGTCATATCTGAATTCTTAACTCGATTGGAAGTTTTGGAAAAAGAGTAAATGTCTGATCTGAGCATGGAGAAAGGTTGATCTGAGGCGCTGGTACTGGCTTCGGTCTTCGACGCGGTCCATGCAGTCTACGCGGTCTACTATGTCTAGTTGGAGCTGGCGCTCGAGCTGCCGTGGGCATGTTCACTGAGAAAGGATGTTGAACATGCGGTAGTCGTTGGAATTCAAATCTGTTTTGATATTGAGGAGTGGATTGAAGTAAGTGATTGTACTCTGTGTTTGTACTAAAATTCCCACTTGACACGTCCACGAATCACGATCTCTAAATCCACACTAAAGAATTACTACGTACATCCTTGAATGACAGTGATTGTGAGCGGGACTCACGGCCGTCAAAACCGCACAATCTGACAAGATATCACCCTAGAAAGGAAGAAACAGAGAAACGGTGACCCTCCCTTACAGGTAAACCTCAATTATAGAGCTCGACCTGTTTACTACGTCAAAATAAAGCATTCCATTTGAACCAATTTGCTAATTCTACCATGTCTTGTCAGGCATTTTTTAATATCGAGAACTCGAGCGGCCGCATTCTCCACCTCATCAATAAGACCTACCATACCCTCCCTCGACGGCGAGATGTCGATGTACGCTGCCGGTCTAGACAGTGCCATGCCCAATGGCACTGCGGATGGCCAGCAACAAGGCCCCCAGGCAAATCAAGCTTGTATGACATGCAGAAAGCAAAAACGCAAATGCAACAAAGCTCTGCCGGCTTGCGGGCTGTGCGAGCGTATGAACCGCCATTGCGATTACTCGGATAGCACGCCCCCACCAACCTCGGAAGACTTCAATGCCTTGCGAATGAAGCTTATGGAGCTCGAGTCGAGACTGAATGGAGGAGGAGGTGGAGGGTCAGGGGGAGGTGTCATGATTTCCCCGCCTCCTTTTCCTACCCCATCATCGGGCGCTTTGTCGGGCTCCGAAGCACTTGGTCCTCAGCTGCCTCCGTACAGTCCTCAACAACAAGAAGCCCCGACCCAATGGCATGGCGTACAGAATCGGTTCCCCCCGATAGTTTTTCTTGACAAGGAATCATTCACACATGGAGGGTGAGTCGCAATTGGCCCAAAAATGTAGATATGGAGGCTAACCCGGCCAGGATTAATATACCGAAGCCGTCTATTGAGATCCCGGTAGTAAGTGACTTGTTCGTCATCTTATGTGGAATGATATAACTTACATAACACAGGATGTGCTTGATCTTCTCGGAGATGGTCAATCTGTGCAGGCAATAATCTCTGAATACTTTGCTACTGTCCATAAATGGATGCCTATCGTTTCTCAAATGCGAATGACCCGAAATATGGTAAATCCCGTATGGGAAGCTGGGCCAGATCTTGCGTTATTATTTCTTTGTATGAAATTGATCATTTCGCGACCTCACGATGGTATTGAGAGCTCTCAGAACCCCGTTTACCTAGCCGCAAAGCGGTTCATTTCTCTACTTGAAATGAGTGGAGCCGCTACGCTCTTGATATTGCAAGCCAACCTTCTTGTGATGTGGTATGAATACGGCCAAGCCATATATCCTGCGGCCTGGATGACTGCTGGTTGGTGTGTTAGATATGGCAATCTCCTTGGTATCAATGGTCAGAGTGAAGCTGTACAACTTTTAGGACGCCCAGTAGGTGGGAATCACCAACATCCCTTTCATATACTAAGATCATCTGTAGAGCACATGGACTGAGAGAGAAGAACGTCATCGGACTTGGTGGGGTGTTCAGATTGCTGATAGGTAAAACGCCTAGACGATCACAAAATTCGATGAACTAATCTATTATAGGGTTGTCTCGCATATAAGCCAAGGTTACATTATGAATTCACAAGAGCCAGATGCAGAGACTGTTCTCCCTGTTGATGATGCTGCATGGGTAAGCCGCCAGCCTATGTTGAAATTGCTCAGACTGACAAGTAATTTAGGACGAAGGCGAGATGTCAGCCGCCACTCAGACTTTACTCTCCGCTCCTATTGACAGTCCAGTTGCGTCCTTTCCTCGTCTCTGCCAGGCATCTTCAATGATGGGCAAAGTTCTTCATCACCATCTTGGCGAAAAAATACCTATAGAAACTGCCCGCTTCGATCTTGCCTCTCAACTTTACCTCGACGTCTCGGCTCTCGCCAGACAGATCACTGAAGAGATAGCCACCGTACCAGACTACATCACCCTGACAGCCCCACTTTCGCTCACTTTTAGCGCACTGGCGACTCTCTGTGAACCGTATTCCTGCCCGACGGGTTACGGTAGCAAGACTGCTAGCGCAGAAGTCGCTGCTATGCAGATACAAGCTGTTGATGGCCTAAAGACTGTCTCGCGGAGCATCTTGGACTTCTCTGAGCAAATCAATGCCGTCACAACGGAACCGCAAGACCTTGATAGGATTTCCCCAATCGTCATGGCTCCTTTGTACGCAGCAGCGGCAAACTTTGCTTGGCTGGTGCGGGAAAGTGGAGATGAAAATTCGCAGATGGCTCTCGACGCCTTACGGCGCACTCTCAGTAGACTTGGAACACGTTGGAGAAACGCGGCAGAATATGCCAGAATCCTGGAGGCACAAGAATTCCAGTACGCTGTTGGCAGTGCTGGTTCGTGAGAGAGTTTGCGAGATGGCTAGGACTTATGAATGTTGCTTGAAAATGATGACTGAGTTGGATGTTACCTTATGATATGGACATACCACATGATTCATGATAGCGAACTGGGAGGTGGAGATTTTATGCATTGTTTGGTATGTTAACACCCATATTAATCGAAAAAAGAAGATGCCTCAAACGCCATGCTAGACTGCTCCAAGACTATGTATCTGCACACAGAATGTGATATCCCTGAAAAGTCACTCATTCGTCGCTGTTACCCGCATATCTCGGCCAACCCCTGATTGTTGGACCCCAGCGATAAGACGCATATGGAACAGGAACCATCAGAGCAGAGATTGCCCCAAGTATCGTCAAGGTCCAATGCACGCCAAGGTTCTTATAAAACCTATTAAGTCATTAGTAAGCATGTCATGTAAACCTGCAAGGGAGGGAATCAACTTACGGAATTCCAACCACGGTCATACCACCCGCCGCCACATAGCGAATGAGCGTTATACTCACCAGCTCAGACGCAGCATACATCTCATATGTATCAATGATGTACTGATAAGTGCTGACAAAGATGTACAAGGTGCCGTATCTTATCAACACAGAAGCTACCAGGTCACTCCAGTAGCTGATACTGCTATGATTCGTCCACGCCACCCAGAACCAACCAATCGGCACGGCGGGCGCTCCAAACATGTCAAACCAAAGCCTTTTCTCAGGTGGCAGCTTCGCGCCCAGCCCACTTTTCTCCTGCGCTTCTTTCAAACCCTCTTCGCCCAAGAATGGATAAAGGGAATCAGCAGCGAGGCCCCACAGAGTCCGAAAGCTATCCCTAGGAACGCAAGCCCCGTGATGCCTTGAGAGAACCCGTAGGTGTCGCCGTAGATGTATGTATAGCCATCCAAAAACGTAACAATGATTATGTACACGACCGTTAGGTACAACGCGAAGAGCAGCACGATCGGTTCTCGCGCCGTGAGTATGAAGGGTCTGAAAATGGCTGTCCAGGTGGCGTTTATAATAGCTTCCCCATACCTGATATACTATCTATTGTCTGTCACTGGTGGAAAGTACGCCAAGGAAAGTGTGCTATGGTGGAGTTCTGCACTGAGCTACTCCGTACAGTAGTTCACGGCGGATAATCGACGGGACGGGACGGGACCGGTAACTTTCGTACTCTGGAACGCTTTTGTTATTTCCGGTGGTTGCCAGACTGATGCATATTAAAAGTTAGGAATAGTTATAGATACGCAACGTAATATATCCTTTAAAAGTAACTTGAATTCGCTATTTATTTTAGTAGGGTTATAAGTCACTTTTCGTTTACTAGTATATGCATTTACTTATGCATTTTATATATTATCACATCCTCCCTAAACTATTTAGCACAAGTCGACTGAGCTATTTTTCAAGTCGACTTAAGCAAACCCATCCAAATCCATAATCGTCTGGTGGGACTAAATAGGTAGGCTGTGATATGCCTATTTAGTCCAACCATTTACTAGACCATTAACGTACCCATCGCTAAATCAAACGCCCAAATGCAATCAATCCGCCATTATCATAACATCTCCCGGGTCTGACGCCAGCGTCTATCCACAACCCCTCCATTATCTTCTTCGTAAATCACGGGCGGTATTTCGGTGGAGGAGAAATACTGCGCGGCCGCCCCCGTTCATCCGTGGAAACGGCAAACCTCACTCGCGGACTCGAGTCGACCCTCGTGTCTCAGATCTGCCCCTCGAGGACTCGGCACGCGAAGATGAGGCTTGAGGTGGAAACGGAGGCGCTAGATGTGTCGTAGAGCCCGAGCCCGAACGCTGTGGCTGCTCCCAGTGTGAAGGCCATCCAGTGACTGGGAAGGCCTGTTGCTGTTGCTGTTGAGGCGCTGTGGGACCGGGGTTGTTGTCGGTCCAGCCATACTTCACATCGTGCGGGTGCTGCTGAAGAGTAGGAGGATGGGTATCGTATCGCGGAGGAGCTTGATGCATGGGTTGCGCGGCGGGCATAGGGACAGGGAGAGGGACAGGAACGGGTTTCGGTTTGGAGGTTTCGCGCCCATACCGGCCATCGTGAGAGTGTGGGCGGTCTTTCGAATGTCTTCTCCTGCTGTGCGAGCGACGGCGCCGGTGGTTGTTGCTTGCGCGGTGGCGGTGTTCTTCTTCCTCGAGGTAGGCTCTTTCGTCCTCGATCCTCTCCTTTTCCTTCTTGTTCTTCTGATGTTTGTGAATCAAGTAACCAGCGGCTACCACTTCTAAGCCGCCCAAGAGAACCATGGTGTTTTGCTGAGAGCGCGGGGTTGATTAGGTTATCGTAAGGCGTTTTTCCAAGGGGAATCAAAATGTATTCTGAAGGAGGTCTTGCAAGGCAAAGGCGATAATATGAATCAGAATGGGGTTGCCAAAGAAGTGTCAAGTGAAGGGTTGGTCAAGAGGGAGAGGTGGAGAAACAGATAGAAGTGCGGCTGAGCAGGTCACAAGTTACAACAAGTCTTGCCCCTCAATGTCAGCTGCTCTGGGTGACACCAACCACGTGATGGAATATTAGATATACTCCGTATTTTGATGTGTCCTCTGTTCGGTTTGATTGGTCGTATTTATCTTCTAATTTCTCTACACGCCTATTGCTGCATGTTGTTGAGATGCAATGTAAAGATCTTAAACATTCGGCCCTCAGTGACATCATGCCGAACCCACCGGCCTTTTTTGCGGAGAAGGCCTCGCTTAGAGCGCATGTATTTGACATTACGGTACGGAGCGGAGCGTAGTAATATGTCGCCACTTAGGCCTCTGCGTTATACAGTAAGGTACCGAAGACTATCTATCCCCTTGTAATATCTATGCGTCCCTATGGCATTGGGTACTCTAGCTTTCCGGTACCTTAGACAACGACAACCCCTTCTCAAACTCGCTAGTTCGAGGACATTTTGAGGCGGGGGTATTCAGTCATTATTTTCATATTTTCATATTTTCAAGCGTTTTAACTTATACATAAAGACTTGCAATGTTATCAACAAGCCAATCATAGTTTTCAGATCGGAAGTCATCAGTCAACAATGCCGCATCCGCAGAATTGAAGTGCATTAGCTGTTTGTCATCGCTCCACTGAGGCCACTCCTCATAGCTTGATCCATTGTTTGGATCCATCGTGTAAACAAACGAGAAGTAGTAATTATGGATCGCTTCACAAAAACCAGTCAATGGAGTGTTTCACCAAAGCGGAGTATTTGAAACTTACAAGCTGAGGCATAATTGGGAAGTATCCCGTAGAACACCTGGAGAATGTCTCCCGCGTGGAAGGATCCTAGCACAGGCGTACCATAGTCGTACGATGCTAAATAGGACCAGGTTGGGACTTCACTGGACACGATGTTTAAGACGGCACGGCGAGATAACGTAAACGTCAGATCTCCCAGAATTGCAGCAAGGCGTTTGAACTGAGGATACCACTCGTTGAGGATACCTGTTCCAAATGGCGATCCATCTGACGGATCATCGGGATAAGTGGCAACAAGGGCCGTGATCGTTTCGGTCGTTGCATCTTGGAAGTACACAGTCGATAAATAATCGATGAGTTCTGCCGTGGTGCTTATATTTGGTTGGAAAAGGGCGAAAAGGGTCTGCTCGAGTTAGTATGATTTCTCGGGAAGTTCAGGCCAACATACCCCTTCGTCTTCTTGATCTCCAATGATAAAGGGAACTTTAGCATAGTTCCCCTCTGTAATCGATACGTCAGGGGATACTGTGAAAACCTTTCCATCAGGGCGAGGCAGGTAAGATAGATCAATAGAGGTGTAAGAAAGTATGCCAGGTACGGAGTTCGTCGCTCCCAGAAAGGTTTCGTAGTCCAAACCTCGAAGGCAGTCTAAAGTTGAACTTGCTCCTGAGCATCCAGCGACATCCACAACTGTATCATATACATTTTGTGCCTTTGGACAATCAACTGGATCTGCGGGAATAATGCTGCCGGAATCCATGATTCCTGCTCTGAAAAGAGGCTTGCCCTTGTACGTATTGTCTCCATCGTACAAAACCATCTGATCCAGCACGGATATTGATCCAGCTGATTCGCCCCAAATTGTCACTTTGGTTGGATCTATGGGAATGTCAGCAGATATTTCTTTGAAAGTGTGTGAATGATTTCAAGATTAGAAAGTTCTCACCTCCGCCAAAGCTGGCAATGTTGTCTTGAACCCATTGCAGACCCAATCTTTGATCTAGCAATCCCAAGTTTGACGAACCATCCGCCAATATTTCAGAGCCTCCAAGGAATCCAAATCCACCAACTCGGTAGTTCACAGCTACGAATACAATAGGCTTTCCCTCGGTTATTGAATCTGAAACCAATATTGACCCATCATACGTTTGAGTACTTCCAAGTTCGAAGCCACCACCGAAGATCCAAAACAATACTGGCAAGTTTGAGGAATCTGTAGTTCCAGATGGCCGGAAAACATTGACTGTAAGACAGTCTTCACCAGCAGTGGTTATAGTCTGGAATAAAGGGGTGTTCAAAAGAACTCCGAGAACCCCAGTTGGGAAGTCGCTCGTAACATTATCGCTAAAGTAGAGCTGCGGACATGCCGTGGGTGTACTTGTAGCCGTGACGGTTCCAAGTGACGTGAGGGACTGTGGCGGCTTCAGACGCAGAGTTCCCGTTGGAGGCTGAGCGAACGGTATGCCCTTGAAACTGTCCACCAATCCCGAACTTGATCCAATAATGGTAGCAGCAGGAGTTGGAATGGCAACTGTGGGCGCACCATCTCGTTTAGCGGGAGCAGCAAGCACGAGTGGGAGAAGACCTAGAAGTAAACCAAAGAGCTTCATCGTGATTTCAAACTTGGCTGAAAACGATGACTTTGTTTAATTTCCGAAGAAAACAAGTATTGAAATTGATTGTGCAATGGTAGGAAGGCGCAATGTAATAGTGACTTCCAGCTCACACTTGCTTGACTTCGAGAAGCGGCGACTAAACACCTATATACCACATTCCCCTCTATTTACTTCTCCGCTCAAAGTATCCCAAAATGATACATTTCAAAACTTAAAGGAGAGTATTGCCATGTGCCTCCTCGGCCAGAAAGGTCATCACTGGACGGCTGACCACCAAGAAGCGTATTCGGGATTTTCTCGGATTAATCTATGATCTTTTCCCCATACTCGTAGCGCAAAGCTTAAAATGTGCCCAATGCCCATCAATAAATCCAAGACGCAACTCATCTGGGAGGGGGGCGATTGGTCACCGACACCAGTTCCTCAGGAAGAAGCGGAATCCCTCGCCCTAGATACGTATCAACCGAATCTTCCACACCCCCAAGAAGAAGGAGCGCCGGCACCTGTAGCCTAGCCTGCAAACCGGAGCTTCCAATCCCGGCAATGATGTTCTCGAAAACAACAGGCATCTCCCGATCGTGCACGGGGTATCTGGTTTGTGACCTGTGGGGTAATGTGGGGTACGTGGGAAGGTGGGGTGGGAACAGGGAATTTTAACAGGGGCATGCAACCACTTCGCGAGAACTTCGTGAGTTTAATGCCATAGTTAACATCCAGAAAAGAATAAATATTGGAAAAGATTCCTTTCACATGCGGCCTGATTTCCTTAGACTTCGCTCGGTCCCGTACTTAACAAGCCCTGCCTCGGTAATTTCACATAACTTTTTTCTAGTAAAGAACTCTATCATATGAAGTTCGTACTCGAGTTCGTCTGGGAGCCACGAATTCACCCCTTGGCATATAATTTTGCCTGCAGGAAACACCGCGGATGTAAGAAAAGAACACCATTCAGGCACTCTTTGCGAGCCTTGGTGCCGATTGCACTGGACTGGGAAGCATCTATCGAAGTCTCCTCATCACCTCTACGGAGGTCTTCGCCAGCGTATTCGGAATCATATCCATGCGGCTATGCGATTGGTTCGAGTACCGGCCACTAGCCCTCGAGGGTTACTCTGTACATTCAAAGCAGCCCGCACTGGGAGATACCGTTGCGGAGAACCTTGCCCCGCTCCACTACCATCCCTCTCGCTTCTAGTCTCAACGTCCGCTGCGGTCGATGTGCTCGAGCCAGCCTGTTTGTCGAAAGCGTGTGGTATTTCGAAGATGTGCAAGATGCCGTGCCATCACCTTCTAACGCGCGTCGACCGGGTTTCTTGGAAATATGTGGTAGCTGGTAAGAGGTCCTCGTTAAAGTCCGACATCTGTGGTTCTGGAATGAGAATCCCGCTGTTCGGGGGTTATCATAGCTTGTATTACCTCTTGATTATTTCTGATCATCTAGTACTTTCTTTCCCTGAAAGTCCTTCTGCTTTTGATATTAGTAGGTGGAGTTTTATACAAGTGGCACATGAGTAAACAGCACATGTTTTAGATACGCAGCTGCTGTCTTCCCTCATTGTTGATTATATGCGATGGATATATATCCAACTAGTTCGCTGCGAAATAGCCGAGATGCTGTCTTCGAGAAGAATCTGTCGTCGGACCCTGTCTCTGGCTCCCAAGACGATGATGATATTGTTGAACTAAGAGTGTTTATTGGATAGTGTCTTCATACTTGTAGTTTGTCTGATTTCAGGGATGGAAACATAAAGTAGTCTTTGAGATTTTAACAAAAGGTGAGAATGCAATTCTTGGATAGAAATTCGAGAAAGCGAGGAAGATGAGATTAATCCCCTCGGAATAACGTATAGCTTACAGCTCAGTACCTGTGGACTGTTTGGAAAGGCGAGAAGCTGAAAATTCTATCACACAATTTGATAGGTATGTAGATGGGAAATCGATTCAACTAATGGTACGATTATGCCCAAGAACACTTGACGCTTCTGATAACAACTCACCAGAAAGGGCCAGGAAATACGGGACATCCATATTCAGAGCAACCACAGAGACGAAAACCCAGATATCCAGCTAGGACAATTCCTCGCAAAACAAGTATACACGAAAACCAACTTTCCCCATCTATTTGCGACCAAAGTTTTCAATAGCCGCAACTGCTGCAAGGCTCAAGTTATCAGTTATCATAGCCAGATTCGCATTGGCAGTTGCAGCCGCAATCGAAGCCATGCGGAGAGTGCGCGTTGACTGTATCGCCAAACCAAGAGACTCTGCAATTTTGATGACGTTGCTTTTCATATCCGGATCTTTAATGCCCTGTCCAAACTCCAAGATCCGACATAGGTGCTCTTCCGCGTCCCGAACACAGCTGTCGATATGCTCGCCAATTGCATCGTGGTCAAAAGGTGCAACTCCCTCACTATGAAGACCGGCAAATCCTGCTCTTGACCGTAGTGGCGTATCAGGCTCAACATGGCGATGGGCTTGATGGCTGGCGGAGGTGTTGGGGGAATTAGCAGCTGTCCCGGACTCGGCTTGGTCGGGTTCACCGGTAGTATTGGCGGAGGGCGACACCGCTAGATGGACGGGTGGGACGTTGGTGGAAGTGCAACTCATATCGGTGTATTTATCAGTGGCGTGATCTCGAATAGAAATATGAGATTCTTGCAAGATTGACGATGGACGCGAAAGCTTATGCTCTAAGACTGCCTGGTAACGTTGTTGCTCAGTTGACCTCCGAAAACCGGGCAGGAATGAAGTGAAACGGCTTCGAAGACCACCACTGGTACGCTTGATCGATGTCAACTTATCGGATTGCTCAGACCGGTCGCTTAGTCGAGGAGCTTTTGCATCGGCTACTCTCTTTTTGGCTTCAATCTCACGAGCAGCGCTAGCAGCTGTTGGGCGAGCAAGTCGGGACCCGAAGGGTTGTCGATTTTTGCGTGGGACAGTTGCCTTTGGTGATTCCTTGGGCAAGGGCGGCAGAGAAGATTTGCGAAGTGGAAATCGATTCTCTTGGGATGGGTGAGGCGCTCCATTATTGTTTCCGGCATGTCTCTCATCTGACGGCTCTGGGACATTGCAGTCAGGATTGGACAAGTGAAGGATTACCTCACGTTGGGCAACTTGTCTGCTGCGAGTGTTTTGGGGGGCTCTTGTATTTCGACCCAGGGCGCTGGGAGATCTGTTGGCAATGGCCCTTGAGTTTGGACCCATGTTGGTAGGAGATCTACCATAGATTGTTTGGTTTGCTTCAACAGACACCTTCAATGACAGACCAACTCCATATCTTGATGAGCGGCGGATTCGGTCATCCGGTTCCAATTGAGGGCTTGCTGCGCCAGAGGAAGTGAAGCTTGCTGTACGTGCAACACTCTTATTGGCAGCAACTGTTGGACGATTAGGAGTACTCGTATTATCGGACCGCTTGCTTCTTTGGTTTCTTGGTTGCCATCCGAGCGATTCTGAGATGGGCGGAGGCGCAAGTAGTTGAAACTGTTGGCTTAGATCACCGGAGTTGCGTAGATCGGGAAGGTTGGCCTTGCGTACGATATTGCGAGGTGTAAGACTGCCATTACTGATGGTTCTTGTGTGGCTGGAAATGGGCGAAAGAGCATATGTAGGGCGAGGAATTGAACGCAAGGGAGATGATGAAGCTGTATGAAAACTGGGTGACGGAGGGGAAGCGTCTTGTGCTTCAAAATGCACGTCAGATTGAATGTTGTTGAAAGAAGCACTAGGAGACACGTCGACGGCGGCCTCTGGAGTCAGAGCAGCAAAGGTGACATTTTTCATGTTGACATCAGTAGCATCTAGATCAGTCAGCTTCTTCCATCAACAGAGACTGTTGAAGAGAGAAAGTACCCATGATTCCACGATACTCGGGTTCTTCAGGTTCGTCGCTGACTAGTAGAAGTGGTGTCTCTGGAAGAGGCTTGCTGTTTGGCGAGATTAAAGCACCCCTTTCCGCCCTTTGAGCTGTATTCGCCTGGATTGGTTAGCTCTGATGTGTACTATCACCAGATAATGATTGAAAATAAGCTCCTGCTTCTCTCTAAACTCTCAAGCAACAAAACGAACGGGGCTGGTCAACAATTCACTCACAGTGGGAGGTTCATTGCCAGTGAATGTTGGAGAGACAGCGACAACGACATCATCGTCGACATCAGGTTCAATGATTTGAGTAAAGCGAAGTCTTGAAGGTGTCGAAGGCTTTGAACGGGGAGAAGTCCCAGAGCCAAGAAGCTTCATAGTATCTGAACCGTCCATGTGGGATTTTGGTCCAGGACTGGTGCAGCTCCGTTGTAGGCTCGGCTTGCGACCTTGAGCAAGCCTAAGTCGAAGCTCCTGGATTGTAGGAACTCCTTCAGGGGAAGGTCTTGTAAACCTTTTCACAGGAGATCGAAGATCCTTCGAGGGAGCAACTCTACCAATAGGAGACCTTACGCCGTTGGCTGTAGGTCGGATGGGGCGAGTCTTGCTATTCGCATTGGCGACATCCAAGAGGGGCGTTGTATATTGACTACGCCGTGGAGTTGGGGAAGGCATAGCTGAATTCCTTTGATACTACCCTCTCCAATGCTTCTCGGTGACGCTTCACATCGACGCTCTGTATGGTAGCCGTCGATGCAAAATACTGTGTGTCACGGTTGCCCAAAATCGAAAGAAGAGTTAGGATATAGTTCTGCCTTTAAGTGCGCAAGTGGGCGGGACTAAGGTATTGAATGTGGATGTGTTAGTCTAATCTGAGACTCCGGACATATTTACCTATGCTAGATTCAATGGGACGATACCTTTCAGCATCTATACATCTTTACCATATCTCGTCTTCACGTGCCGCTTGCCGGATAACAGCCCCTCCAACTTCCGCGTTGAAGATTCAGAAGGTATGAGCAACGGCATGGCCTATTTTTGACCTTTGAGGTGAGAAGTCACAGATGATCAAACGACGTTGCATGTCTGTGATTATGGCCCACGGTACCAGCTTGGCCGTACATGATTAAAGTCTGCATCTTATTAGCAAAAGATATCGAATACTTGCAAGGACATGGGAAACGAAAGACCACAACGAGCGCAAAACGATTAAAAAGACCTTTATCTAGCTCATCCCCAACTGTGCAGCTTTTCCAAGCACCTAGCGAACAAAACCAAGAACAAGAACATGAACATGCAATTACACCACAGTACCAGGAGCCAGAAATTCTAAAAACACAACAACAACTGTAAATACTTCAAGTATAAATAATTGCAGCTTGATTATGAAGATGAAGAAATCAAAAAGTCATCATCTTGCATGGAGGCAGATTGATAAGGTATCTATCTATCTGCCTTAAGAGCACGGCTCTGCAGAATATCAAGACTTAACAATGTTATTACTTGGATAAAACAACTCAACAAAGACCTGGTGCTTGAAGAGGTTAAAGATGTGAGAAGAGAGGAGAGGGAGGGGAGGCTAAGACGTGTTCAAGATCTTAGTCAGCTGCCAAGACCTAACCTCTTCATGGGTAAATAGCAGAAGGGGCATTAGCTTTCAATGCATTAAGCGGTAGAAATCGTTAAATGAATGAGTGCCGCTTTTCTATCCACGCAAGCTCAAGCCTCCCCCCTTTTCTTCCGCGAGAGTTCTGTGCTGAACTTCGAGACAAACGCTTCTCCTACTAAAGCAAAACGCGAAAAGGGTAATTCGAAGTGAACTTATTTGCCTTTCTCTTGCAGAGCAATATACCATTGGTTATGACTGCCTTATCATGCCCTGGGTATAATGTAAACCGGTATGTCCCATCGGAATGTCTAATCCTCCCATCCTCTATGTAATGAATGCGTAAAAATTCTGTGCCCCCCAATCCTTCTATGTAAAGCCCTCATTAAGACCTATCCCCAACACCCGAATTGATTTTATACCTCAAGAACAAATGGAACCAAAGTCCTGGTTTGTTAACGGCTGTGGGAAAATACCCGCGTCCAACAGTGCAAACGCGTCCCACTCATGAGCAGCTTCCGTCTTGAAGTTCCAGAAAACCCATCCCTGTGTATGGCTCTCGAAAGCTGAAATCTGGGCCTCGATGTAGCCTTTGACGTCGCCTTTCATAGTGTCGTCCCAGTTGGCGATGTTGTTCTTGTCGGCGCAAGACCCGACGTATGTAGAATTGGGATAGGTGCCGTCGTATCTCGAACCAATGTTATATCCATTTAGAGCCGGCGCGCAGTCTGTCTCCGCTGCGGTCCACTCGCCCACAATGACCCATTTGTCGGATCCGGATGCGTAGCTGGCTACGTTATTGCAAACTAACTGTCTGTGTTGCCAGTTCTGCAAGGCTACGAAGTCGTCGGTAAATACTTGGTACTCATGGTGATCCACGACAACTAAGATTTATTAGCTGTGTAACTCGTATGGATTTGTAACAAATCATCTCTTACCATTTTGAGCATTGTCTGAAGTGGAGAGGAAGCCATTGTAGGTTTTTGGTGAAACAAAGCCGTCTTGAATCACGACAGGAGTATTGCTGACTGCACGGACTTGGTCATAACCATTACGATAAAACTCTTTGAGGTCGTCAAAGTCGAGTTCCGAGCTTAAAGGTTCGTTAAGGAGCTCAATTGCGACTACAACGTCCTGGTACTGTGCTTGCGCGTACTTGTTCGAAATCGTTTCGAGAACAGACAAAGTCTGAGCTACCGAGTCTCCCGATTGCCATGTTGGCTTGTCCATTCTTTGACCACTGTTGTCGAAGCCGTTTTGCGAACCAGGAGCTCCGTGCAAATCAATCCAAATCTTCAGGCCGGTACCCCTTGCCCAGTCTATCGCAGCGTCGATATATGGCGCAGCGCCCGGCGTGTATGTCTCACCATTCTCCAAGCTGGCATACGCCCAGTATCCGATTGGAATCCTTACGGTGTTAAAGCCTGCATCGGCAATCTTTTGGAAGTCCGCAAACGTAACCCAGCTGTCCCAATGAGGTTTGAGGATGTTGTATGCTGCAGTCGTACCCAATTTATTTGTAAGAGTATACTCATCCACGATTCCTAGGGATTGGTCAAGTGCCTGGAAGATAGACGGGGCTGAAAAAGGTGAGCAATTAATTACTACGTACATACGATACTAGGGATTCTTACTGATGAACGGTTCCAACACGAGCCATCCACCGATATTCACTCCTCTCACTTTCTGGCTTCCCCATGAGAAATCGACGGAACGTTTAGAGAGTGTGTTTCTGTGGAGCAATGAGTAAGCGCAAACTTGTAGGTCTTGAGATGCGCGACTTACGGAGTTGAGGGGGCAGCAATCGCGGCGGCGCCAACGAGCAAAACAGCAGCGAGGGTGTTCTTGAGCAACATGTTGGATTAAGAATTATTTGGACGAAAATGAGCGTGGTGAGGAGGATGCTGCAGAGGAGGAGGATCAATTGGGTATATGAAGTCCTAGTCGCATCACCTAGATAGACTAGGGCCCAAAGGAGATACTGCGTGTGGGTGATGGGGATGGGATGATCCAGGATATATGTGATGATCAAGGTTCTTGGTAGCTCCGGATGATGAAAGAAGGATGATCAGTGGACATGAGCTTGTGAGGTCAATGCAAACAAGATAGAGCTTGACGTGCTGGACTTGGATTGGCTGGAGGAGAGGCGTGGAGGCGCGGACGGGGATTTAGTTGAATATCTAGGCCCTAGTCGCAGGCCAGGCACATGAAGATACCAACGGTACAGTAGGTACATACAGTAAGGTACCTAGGTACCTTAGTGCAAAGTCAAGAATAGATACTGTATGGCGAAAGCGCCGTCAGCCAATGGGACATTTAGTATAATCGCTGCAGTAACCATAACCATCTGCTGTACCATCCACCATCTACCAAGCCAAGAGTTTACCAGCAGATCGCGATTTGACCATACGCGGAGTGCACCTTCGTATACTGTACTGTAGAGTACCATCTGATTTGACCATAAATTACCATCTGCTGTCAACCATCATGCCAGCACACCGCACCACAGCGCAGCACAGCACAGCACAGCCCAGCCCGCCCCTGAGCCCACTATTATTTTCGTGATTGAAACGCTTCGCACACTTGCCGTCGCCGCAAATGGCTGGAAAGGCTGAAAGTAGTGCAGGGGCCTCACGGACAAGGGCGATAAGTGACGGGCGGCTAGCTCAGGGTAGGCAAGTGTCTAGTAACCACTCCGATTCCCCGTAACTAGACCCCTGGCGATCAATCTCAGACGAGCAAGAAACAAGAAACTACCTAGAAAGCAGCTCATCAAGGCCAGACGAAAAACTGCCGAGTGTTGACCTCTACTCTTATCTCGCGTTTGCTTGCGTAAACATGATTTTTTTCAAGTCAAAATACACACATTCTAAATTTAAGGAGAAGGCGCGTGCGATGCATACAGTACGGCGTATAGCAAGGTACCATACCCACGAAGTAATTGCCGAGCTTATGCAGAGTGAGCACTACGCCTCACCTCCTGCTGAATCCTGCACCACACCGATTTTCTCAATCCGAGTCATTACTAACACCACGATTTTATCTCGCACGGGAACGTCTTCTCTTCTCGTGTTTTCCAAGAGCTAGGACTGGGCCGTCGTGGATGGATACCTATGAAGTCTTGATTATCTGAAAGCATAAAAGGAAATGACTTCGGATTACTTGAGTGAGAGGAGCACGAAGGCATGTTAGGATATTTGCCCCTAATAAGTAGGCTTGTCTGAGTTTTTTTTGTTTTCCCTAGCAATGCAGTATACGTGAAAGGCTAGCAAATAGCTAGCAGGAAGGAAATATTAGGGAAAGAACCGCCCTTTAATACTACGCTAGATGGATATCTATAGGGCTCTATGCTATTAATATAGGAGTTTTGTAGTGGATTAGAGGATATACCTATCTAAGGACTAGGTATCTGGCTTAGATAGAAAGGACCTAGTATAGAATAATCTCTGTAATAACACTGAAATAGCTCTTATACACAAGGTAATAAGAGCAAGGAGTAAAAGTGTAGATAGAAGTCAGCATAAACGAGCCGCCAAGAGCAAAAGCTACAAACCCTAGATCGCTCCAAGCCCCTTGGCTTGGGTGCGGGTGGTGGTGGATCCCTTTACGGGATGACTAATCAGTATGAGCTCCTTACCTGGACTGGAGTAGGACTATTTAACATAAAATCGAGTATTGTCAATACATAATTATGAGTCGAATCAAGGCATGAATCTAAGGCGGCAAGAGGAAGTGAGGAAGCGAGTTAGTATTTGACCGAAAATGGATAGTGAGAGTCAAAAAAGGGGTTAATTTATAGCCACGTGACCGATATCTAACAAGCGATAATACATTGCCAGAAGTTCATAATGGACAAGAAGTGATAGTGACATGTTCATAAGTCATAAGTCATGAAATAATAATATTATTAGCTGTCGTAAAGACCAATCAACCCATCCCAAAATTCTAACATCCCAAACTCCCACACACATTACAATGCCCAACCCTGCGCTGTGAAACTTCTCTAAAGTTCAATTCTCCCCTTCACTTTAACTGTTCCAATCTGGCAAAATCAAAGTCATCCCCACTAGGAACATCAACCCATCCTTCCTCCCTTGTCTCCACATCACCCCACGTCTCCTTACTATTCGCTTCAACAATTGCTTCCAAATTCGGAATACTAGAACCCGACACCCCATCATGAGCAAAATTGGCAGTCACGGCGTCCTCAGCAGAGTGATGTTGAATCCACGGCCGTAACTTCTCCTCAAGACTATGCTCGATGCTCTGTTCCATCTGTTCGTAACCAGGCTGATTGGCAGGATTGATATTGTCATCTGCTTCCAACTCAGGAGCCCAATGTTTATCCACAGGACTCCCCTCCCATCCATTCTTTTGCGTCGGCGTCGACTCGTCAGCCCAGGCAATAGGCTTCCCATCCATCCCATTATTCCACTGATCAGCCATTTTGGCTTCACTCGGGGCATCCCAGGCGATCTGCGGCGTACTACTCGGTGCCGGATAATTGCCCCAAGCCGGATCTTCCCCAAAGCTCTCGCTGCCAGGCAAGGGCCAATTATGCGCATCGTGGCTATAATCCATATTGACGTTCACATTCGCATTCGCAAGGTAGTGATTGATGTTCGACTCTGTCTCCCCAACAAGCGTGCCATCGCTATCTGCCGTCACCGTACTGGAAAAGCTCAAATTCTCAGGCGGCATTTCAAAGCCCGTCGGCGCCGTGAACCCGTACCCCTGGTTCGCAAACGAACTATGCAGATTAGGTGCGGGAAACGCATCGAGCATGCTAGGCTGGTGGGCTGGCTCGACGAACGCATTGAAGTTCTCGTGCATAATCGCCGACAACTGGCTGCTGTGATGCGGACTCGGGCTCATCACGCTCCGGCGTGGAGGAGCAGCGTCCAAGTATCTCCAGCTCGTGGCACTGGGCTCGCCGTGTGATGCTTTGCGGAAGGTCCACAGGATGATAGCTCGTGTTTCGAAGGGATGACCGTTGGATGGCGAGGACTGTATAGCTTGATACATAGAAATCTGATCCACGTATTCTCTCGCGGATTTCCGCGATTCGGAATTGGGATGGTAGGACTTGCGTCTCTCCTCATAACGAAGCTGTGCATCAGTGAGACAGGTGAGCGCGTGTGCCCATACCTTTGCAGGAAAGGGAACTTTGATGCGAGTCTCGTCTTGAGTCACAGACACGACGTGATTGATGGATGTCGAAGATTCTTCGTCGAGATCGATGGTGGGATTGCGGCTGAGAGTAGGTGGCATCGTGAACGAGGTATTGATTTGCCAGACGCAGTTTTCTAGCTCGCACCCAGGCATGGAAAGTTCGGTTCGAGAAACCAACTCTGCTCCTGCTGGCGGGTAAGTTGACATTAGACTGAGAGATGTGTCCATGTGGATAATGTCACAGTCTAGATCTCGCGCGGTGGAAAGGATAGGAAAGCGTTGACGCCAATTCGGGATTGATTCCAGACTGGCGCGTGGTCTTTGAGCTGATAGGCCGGTGTACTTGTGTAAGACAATTCCTTCGTTGTACAAATCCTGTTCGCCAGTATTTCTCCCGCTTTCGATAGTTATACTGGTAATAAGTAACCAAAACATAGTCGGCTTCATAGGCGGGTGATGCGTCTTCATCATCTGACTGATCTCATCATAATGATCATATCGTTTATGTGGTAATCGACCCTGTGAAAGCGCTCTCAGGCATGGGTCATTCTTGAAAGAGTCCTCAAATCCATTCTTTGCAATCTGCTTTGGTGGAAAGAGGCGTTCATCTATTCCAGTCAGCTAGGTTCAAACTTCTCGATGAGCTGCCTCACATGCGGGATGGTCTTTGAAAAAAGTCTTCAAAACTTGGATATGACTGGAAACCTGCTTCCGCGTCCGAGCCATTGACATGTCTGGTGGTTGACCAGGCGGAAGACTTTCCAGATACGCAATCCATAAATATTCCTTGATCAACTCATTACGGCCATGAGGTTTCCCACGAAAGGAAAACTTTCGCCTTCCCATATGCGGGATATCGATCAGGGCTGCAAAATGTCAGCGCCAGGACGGTCGTTAAGGAATCATACATACCATCCAAGAAAGCAATCTCAAGCCGCCGTGGCCATTTATGGTCTTCTGGATTTCCATCCTTGTTCTGTCGATCTCGATATGCTTTATAAAGACCAGAATCCACGATTGGATTCCGGCTATACTTTTGTTGTCTTCTTCGTTGATTATGCTGTTGTCTTTGCCGTCGTTCTATTAATGGTACCAAAGACTGATGTGTTGATGGTACTGTTGGCGTTGGATACATGGGTCTATCCGGCCGGGATTCAAATTCCTTACTATCATGATATGTACCTGAAGTTAAACCTTGAAGTTGAGAATTACCAGCTGAATCCGAAAGAGGCTGCCTGGACGCGTCCAATACTGGATAGTTGGAGTGCAAAGTTTGCGCCATGGATCGTAAAATTAAAGATAAAGAATGCTTCTGCTGCAGTGTCGTCACCAGGACAAATGCACATGAAATCGTAAAGGCTGTGCACACCAGAGTAAGGATTGTAGTAAGAAATGCTTAAAGGAATGGCAAAAGCCTGGGGTCACGGCTGACTTTTAGAGGGAATGTCAATAGGTGCTTGAGAATGAAATGAGCAGCCAACAGGATATAAGTGGAAAGAAGTAGGCTCATCCGAGCTTGAATATGCATAATATTGGAGTAATAATATTAGACGAAACAAGGGCAGTTTTCCTAGATAGAATTCTGTTCATCCCATGCAAGGATGTCTGTTTTTGGAGAGGAAGCTAACCTTACATGTTTGTTACTTGTTACCAGAGGAATGCTTCATCTTGTTGATCTGGGAACTTGCCTAGAATAGCCTACCATGGCCATTTCACCGGGCAACGTTCGGAATTCCACGTACATTACTAAAATACAGCATGGTGCTGCCTTGTTCCATTATCGCCGAGACAATAAGAGAGTAAATCTTTAGACATTCCTTGGCTTGCACAAATTGTCAAATTTGCGGGGCATCGATATTGGAGCCATTGATTTTCTTGGTGGGCCTAGGAGTTAAGTCGAGGCTCTGTAGGAAGGGATTCCAGCTAATAGCGTTGCTATATTGCGGCAAGGGGAATCTCGCTTGGCAGAATTGGAGCCAAGGAGGCGAGATATTATCGACAAATACCTTAAGAATATCTTCAATCCTCCTCTCCATCGTTCCCATCAATATTGAATTTCTTACGACCTCCGCCAGTGAGGTTCTGTAATGCGACTTTGTTAACTTGACCGCTAACTTTCTTCTGCATCTTCTCGATTTCTTCCTCTGCATCGAGAGCGTCCCCTGAAGCAAACTCAATGACGAGACGACGACCAAGAAGATGAGTGTCTTTCAAAGCCTCTAGTGCATTCTCCGCTTCTCGGGCCGTAATGAAGTCGGCAAAGGCGAACCCACGAGTCGAGTGATCGAACTTTTTAGGAACACGAACCGAGCGGAGTTGGCCGTACGAACTGAAAAGAGTTCGCACATCTTTCTTGGTCGCTTCGAAAGGCAGATTCTTAATGATGATCTTTGTCCGTTTGCCAGCCATCTTTCTTGCTCTATCTTCCTTCCTCCGATCTTCAGCTGCATCAGCTCCCTTGTGTGAAGCCTTGATGAGTAGCTTGTGACCTTCCAGCATGTAGCCATCCATCGCCTTAAGTGCTGCTTGGGCCTGGGCCTTGGACTTGAACTCAAGAAAACCAAAGCCCATACTGAGAACCTGGCCTGGTTTCTTCGCATCGGTCTTGGTGTTTACGCGAGCAGACATGAAGCCATCTAGGGGCTTGAATGTCTCGGTCAAACGATCACTAGTTGTAGTAAAGTTGAGATTCCGAACGAATAACGTCGAGGTATCAAGTCCCTCTGTATCATCTTTCTCGAGAAGGTCAGATCCTGATAATTTCTGATCTCCGGCATCTGTCTTTCGATCTGAAGAAACCACCTCGGCATTACTACTCACAACGGTGAACAGATCTTTAGGTGCCTTTTCCAGATACAAGATAGAATCCTTCATACGGCGGTATGCCAAACTTCCGAATGCTGCCCGCGCATGCGATGGCTGGGCGAATTCGACTATCGCAATCGTACCGGTCGGAGGCATCAATACACGAAGGACCTGGCCAAATTCTTCAAACATCTTGCGCAACTCTTCAAGTGTCATACCAAATGGAAAGTTCTTGACAAGAATGGATGTATCGCCTCGTTCACGTTTCTTGAAAGCTTCGAGGTCAACCCCGTTCTTTGCGAAATACGACTTGCTTTCCTGGATGACTGTCGTTTCTGCTATGGCTTGCTTTACACCAGCATCTGCAGATGTTGGATCCAACAATTCAGATTTCGATACCCCAAGTCGGGCAGCAATAGTCGAATTCACAGCATCTTGGTTCATGAACAAGGAGTTCCAGTTGAACGTGGCCGAAGAAGCTTCTGCTTTCTTCTTGATCTGCTTCTGCTTCTTGAGTGGTAGCTTTGCTATAGCAAACTCGTCCAGCTTGTTCTCTCGTTTTGCAGCGGCAGACAAGATATGCAAAAGCCTGCCCTGAAATGGCTCACCATCAAGGTTATGATAAGCTTCTGCAGCGGTAGCTGGGTCCGTATACTGGACCAGCACGAACCCTTTGCTCGTCCCTGAAGCATCAACCGGCAGATGGACCTAGGATTGTACATCAGCATCGGCAACTAATTTGTTGTTGTATTATGAGTTAAAGATTGTATGCCTTCAGAAAACACGAAGCATCTACTAAAATATATCGTCCAGTTCTCATCAAATGCTTATAGCATAAGCTGTCCCTATCTGGATATTCATCACAATGGCAGGAAAAACACGAAAGAATAGGAAGATGCATACCTCTTCAAGTGATCCATATGGTTCGAAGTGTTTTCTGAGGTCCTCCTCAGTTGCAGTATAGGGAAGATTTCGAACGAAGAGGCGTCCATTTGCAGCTATTGCATCGCGGACAAGGTCTGGCTTTGGAGTCTCCTGCTCATCCTCAAAGCCCTCGAATTGCTCCTCAGGCTCCTCGTCAATGATAGGTGCATTTATGGCTTTGACGACTTCTACATTGTTCTTGGAACTTTGTGCGGGAGCAATGTCTTCTGGGTCCATCAAATCTAAAACTCTGTTCGTTCGACTCCTAAGCCAGTCATCGTCTGTAGCATCAATAGCACTAATGTCGACCATTGGCTCGTCCTCTGCAGGAGCCTCTACGACAGCTTGGATGGGAGCGGGTACGGGCGCAGGAGGCCTGGGCGGGCTGCTCTTCCTCGATTTCTTCGGTACCGACTCGTATTCATCGTCACTCTCTGCCTCTGGGACCTCAATAGCCTGGATCTTCAAAGGTGGCTCGTCCGTGACATCATTTTCTACTTCCGTCGCCCACTTTTTCGCTTTCGATGCTGGCTGCATGACTTCCAAGAACTCCTTCAGCTTAGGGTCTTCCTCATCGACATCGCTTCGTTTCCTTTTGGTGGCAGCATTCAGCTTCTCTTTTGAGGCTGCTTCCCGGCTCTCCCGCTGTGCCTGGAAGATCTTTGCATTTTCTCTGTCTTGTTCCCGTTGGGCTTTCCTCGATATTGGCAAGGTCGCATCAGAAATCTAGATCAAGTCAGCATAAGGTCCCAATAGATTCTAGAAGAATGCATACGGGTCGTGCAAGCTCCACTCCTATCTTGGACATGCGAATAAATGATTTGTTAAAGTATTTGACTGCTTTGGCAGCATCTTCGGGAGATTTGTAGCCAATATATCCAATTCTTCGATGGGGAATCAATTTAGCATCTGTGATTGCAGACTTTGCACTGAAATGATTCTTGAAGTCCTCTTCTGATATGGTCGGGGGCAGACCCTTTATGAAGATACGTGAGGACTCCATTGTTGTAGAAGATTTGCAGGGAGGGGAAGGAAGTTGTCTTATAATATTTTTGCGATAATAATTTTGCAGGCGCGGCGCTACCAACTCCGCTACAGGGGTCTACCGCAGCTAACGTTCAGCCAATGATATCCTGGTATTATAGCCCTCCAAAGCCGGACTTCTGAATTCTTGACAATATTCGCATCTACTTCGAATTTATAACCACCCCAAGGATCAATCCTTTACCTATCCAAGAATAATTCCCATCCAGTCGCATACTCGATATACGGATAATACTCGCTTCTTAAGAAATTCAATCACCTTGTAGATCCAAAGTGCAGATCCGAAGTAACGCAAACAGCCACCTCCAGAAACCACCCCTCGAAGTCTGAACACAGCAGACAATCACATTTACGCCTAAACGATAGCAAAGCACCGAAATCATGGCGTCCGAGAAGGGTATCAACATTAAGGACAAGCTCGAGGGTAAGGCAAACCTGCTGCCCAAGTCGCGTCATACTGTGAACAAAACAATGCTAACCAACACTTCTTGTAGCCCAGGTCAAAAGCGCAGACATGGTGAGATCCATCCCTCTATAGAAATGCGACATTGCGAGTAACATGGGGAATTGGGACATATCTAACACGGGTTTCAGACGGATGACATGCAGCAGGAGGCTATTGACGTTGGTATGTTTACTATCTAAAGCACACCACATGCGACTCGAATTAGGAGACCACGGTAGCTAATAGTTTCTACAGCACAGGAAGGAATGTCTAAATACACAGTCGAGAAGGTAGACGTGTTCCTTCTACCTACCCTCTTCATAGCTAACGGACCCCGCAACAGGATATTGCTCAGTACATCAAGAAGACCGTGCGTTAAGCTCCAAGCCCTCCGAATACTCGACCCCACAGCTGACCTCCTCTCTAGTTTGATGAGCGCAAGGGACCAACCTGGCACTGCATTGTTGGACGTAACTTCGGCTCCTTCGTCACCCACGAGACCAAGCACTTCATCTACTTCTACCTGGGCCACTGCGCCATCCTCCTTTTCAAGACACAATAAGCGACTCTACCTTGAATTCATTCCCGTTCTGGTGCTTGAGGATGGATATGGTGGAGATGGGTGGACTCGACTGTTGGTTATGGAAGGTCTGCTTTGGGAAAAGTACTGTTTGATGAGATACGTTGATACGGACATGGCAAATGACAAAATACCCAAATCAAGCAATGGCTATCTTTCTAAATTTAAGGGTAATCTGGTCAAGAGCTTCTTGTTCCCCTGATTGCCGCCCCGTGTTGATTTCTCATTGTCTAGAGAGCATTTTACTTGTTAGCAGAGCTTTCATTGATACCCATTGCTTAATATCTGAACGGCGCAACCCTGCTTCATATGCATTACTCTGGACTTCTCAAGCCCTTCTTCATCAGTACACTAAACACAGAAAATGTTTCTTCTTATCCTTTCCTTCCACAATCCCTTGAAATTCTCTATGCGAAAATAGAGTCTCAGCCAATCCTCAAATAATAGCTACAAATTATCTATCCCATTACTATTACGGGATACGTACTCTTTCTCCAGCACAGTTATCCATGCGATCTTGCTTTTCCACCCTTCTCGCAAGCCCCAAAATCAGTTCATTAACCTAACCTTTCAAGTCCCAGCATCATCTTTGACTATTAGTCTTTGCCACGAGATGAACAAAGTCATCCCCCACCTCACCAATAAACATTACATACAACAGCCAGCAAACCACCCACCACAGCACATGTCCTGATATCTTCTACGCCAAGAGAAGAGCAGAACAAATATCTATATAACCGCTCTACTCCACTCCACCCTTGTTTCTCTACCTCGTTATCGCAGCAGTCCTATCACCCATCCAAGTATATCATATAGTATATAAACCCACTCACTCCACATTCACATCCATCCACATCTTTTACCCCACAATCCCCCCCACACACGAAATCACACTCCCAACTCCCATTCCAAAAAGCCTATTTCTTTATCCCAAAGAAAAGTCTCAACTCACCAGCAAGCATGCTTTGCTCAAAAGCAAATGCAAATCCAACTCGAAATCAAATAATCAAAAGGTACTTATCTCCATATCTCCAAAGCACTAAACATCACATCACATCCCTTGTACCTACAGTAGGCCTTTCATGCATCCATCCGCCTATATAAAATAGAGCTTACTCCATACACGATTATTGGCGGAACATCTCTTCAACACCTTCTCCTTATGTTAAGTTAGGTAGCAATACCCGTACTTTAATAATCAAAAGAATGTACTTGTGTACGGATCGCCGGACGATCCATCATTCTTCGGAGCTACGCTACGCTACCTACGAACAAATAGGCCATACATGTACATGTACATGTCCGAAACTGGAAAGTGGCAGGGCTGATCTGATCGGGAAGGAGGGGAGTGTCTAGATCTATACCTTGTCGGATCTCTTTTCAGTTGCAAGAAAATAACGAATTTAGCCAGGAAGAAAGAAAGATATGGAGCTATGTAGTGAAATTCTCAAATAGGCAAGTCAAAAGGCCGGTATCATTTTTTAAGTCTTTATTATTCTGGTATCTATCCTCCCGGTTTTTTCTGGTCTTGGTATCTGCATTTATTTTGAATGCCTGTCATAAGCATCATCTAATCTCTCTGTCGTAAATATCCATGGTTTATAAATGTCCAGCCATGGTTTTGTCATCCTATAATAAAAGAAAAGTAAACATTAACGCCCGTCCCATGCTCCTTGCCCACCAAATTCCGAAACTGTTGTGACATCTCATCATACAATGCCCCATGAAATATGAGAAATCATCACCCATAACTGAAGATCAAAGCCATTTAGATCCGTTTTAAATCAACTAACCTCCACGATTCCCTCATTGATCTCCCGCTTCATCTGAGCAAGCCTTTCATGCATGTCCAACAGCGCTATCTCCTTATCAATGTTCCTTGACTTCATTCCAGCCAATTCCCTATGAAGTGCCTCGTACCTTGGATAGTAACTTCGGTATTTGCGTGCCAAATCCATGACCTCAGGCTTCAAGTACCGACTCGAGGTGGAGGAAACCGACGAGGCTACTGAGGATGACTTGTGATGGCGCTTGTGAATTGGCGACCTAGAGTTCTTGGAGCTCAGATGATTCGCAGGAGATGTTGAAGATGAAGAGGAAGTGCGGTCTCCTGAGGAATTGTCGACATCGGATGCATTGGTTGGTGGCGAGGAAGCTAGAGGAGAAGACTTTTGAGGCGAGGTATCCTTGGTCTTGGTAGATGAAGAAGATTGGGTTGAGGTATTGGTGGTTCGAGAAGATTGCGAGTCGGAAACTCGGTGAATGGTGGATGTTGTAGTATCCTTCTTGACCTTCTTGCTTAGAGGAATACTTGAATCACTAGACTCTACATCATCTTCGCGTGGACGCTTTGGAAGAGCAACTGGCTTCGGTTTGGGTGGCTTGGAAGTCCTTTGGGGGAATTCATCCTCCTCATCTGAATCTTCCACAAATTCACTTGACAGAACTTTTGCCGCTGTCTTGGTAACTGTCTTGGTTTTGGCAGCTGCTGTTGGCTTCGGAATAGGCTTCAGATTAGGCTTTGAGGTCTTCGCCAACAGTTTCTTCGTTTGTGTCTCCTTCTCGCCGACCTTCTTCGTTTTGGTGGTAGGTGGTTGTGACACAGATCTAGTCATGCTATCACCCTTCACCTTGGACACCTTCTTGTCCTTAATTGGAACCTCATCCTCTGGTCCGGACGTCTCGCGACCTGAGCCATCCTCCTTTTGAAGCTTGATCTTCGGTGGGCGTTGTAGATCACCCCGTGCAATCTGAGCTTGTAATTTGCTCAAACTCTTTCCCGTACCACGTTCCGATTTTGGTAACAATCGGTCCCACTCTGGCTCTGATACGCCCAATCGCATGCGGTCGTACTGTTTGACAGCATTATCAATTGCAAGCTGACGGTCCTCTTGGTTCGGAAATGCGAATGACCATACGTCAAGCTCCTTCCAATATTGTTTTCGCAACTCGTGCTTGCCAATAGACTCGTTCAAATCTCCGACCCTATGAAGAGTTTGTATGAAATCATTGCTACCAATCTCCGGTAGCATGTCTCTCAGATCTTGCTCACTCGTGGGGCCAAGAGAAAGCAGATGTATTATAGGCTTGCGGGCAGCCTTGGCCAGTTCGGCTTGTTGTTGTGAGAGGGGTACGGAGGTGGGGCCATTTGATGGGGACCTGACACCAGATAGGGCTGGACTCGACGGCATTGATCGTGTTGTGTCGCTACCAAGGGATCGATTGTTGGATAGAAACTTGTTCTTGTTACTAGCACCCTTTTTCCCAGGGACGGGGAGTCCTGTCTTGATATATTTCGTCCTACTCGGGTCAGCTAAAACTCGAAATCCTCCCAAACATACGACTTACGTATTGCCTGCCTTCCTCGCTGTCTCTGTGGCCAACGACGATTGAAGTTGTGCTAGAGCTGCGTCTGTTCCAGCACTCGAGGTAGCCTTGGGCTTGACCGCAGCAACAGGAGGCTTGAGGGCGGGATTGAACTTCTTGCCGCCGAAGAGACCCATGAATGTAGCGTTGGGTTTGGATTCGACTTTGACAATCTTGGGTTTCTTTGTTCCGACCTCTTGTTTCTTGGAAGTCTTGTCGTAGAAGGCCATTGCATCGGCATCGGAATCGGAACTTCGATAGAGTTCGTGAGTAAATGGGTCGTCGGAGGTGGAAAGGTGCTGGGTTTTCGTTCCATAAGATAGACTCTGGAGGGGAAATAGTTAGGAAGGTGCTTGTATGTATTATCAAGTGGATATAAAGTAATCGTATAGTTGCTGCTGTAGCAAAGTTGAACAATTCACTCAAAAGCACCAAACCTGCCAGACTCTTGGAACAGCCAGAAGTGAATATGAAAGCTTACCGGATGTTCCCCCAACGACAATTGGAGAGGTTTGTCATTCTGAAAACATTTGATCATGTCTTCAATCACGCTATCCGAGAGGGTGAGACCAAAGACCTCGGGGACGACGGAGCCATGCTTGGAAGTAGCATCCGCGGAGCTGCTCAGCGACATGCCGGACTCTGGCACAACGAGGGAAGGCATTCTGAATATTCGTAGGCCGAAGAAAGGTGAGGTTTGCTTCGAACGAAAGAGGTGGGAAATTCGGGGTTGTTCTGGCTCGGTGCCACAGCAATGGGTGGGTGACGTTCAATGCTACCTCGACATAAAGGCGATATCAGAGTCCATTCGTCGGCGGAAGATGGACGAATTCGGAGAGGATGTTAGGTGGTGGTGTTGGTGGTAGAGGGTGATAGATGGTAGGAGGATCAGGTCGAGGAAGATGCAGTTCAAGGCACCGGGTTTGTTCTGCACTCTTCCTTTCTTTGGTGCCGATAATTGGAAGTCGGGCATGAGGGGAGGATTCTTTGTTTGAGAGCGAGGCGTTCAAGGACTCAGCCAGCAGCACCAGCACCAGCGCAGCGCAGCTAGGAAGCACTGCTACACTACTAGGAATAGGCGAAGACCCGTAGTAAGGCCAAAAGGAATGCCCCCAATCAGGCCTGAGCAAGTACCCGGGGTGGCAGGTCTGGATGCGCTGTGATTCGACTAACTGGGTTGCTGGCAGGGCCACCGGGACGCCAGGGCACTGAAGAAGATGGGCGAGACAGGGACTGGGATTATGAATCGAGGTTTGGGTTTGGACGTCCAGAGCGATACGGAAGTACTTTAGATTAGTATATTCGAGTCAGTGGCAGCTAGTTTTGCAGCAATCATTAAGCATTAATCAATCATTCATTCAATTCTATTCTGATAATCAATCACCCCCATCATGATTCACAAAGCAGTAGCAACACAGACAGAGAATTACTGCCAGCGGAGTATTGCTTACTAGTCGGTGGACTGCTCGGTGTGGGACATACAGTAGCACGGTACGGAGGTTCCCACGCATGTCGATTACAAAGAAGCCGTCTTTGAGCTTCTTTACCAGACACCGCATAGGAGAGGTAAGGTAGGTAGCATAGGAGATAGCATTATTATCTATTCTCATTCGGATTATCCTTTGTCGCTCATGTCCGTAGACCCTCCACTCTCTTGCTTACAATACATCATTTCATCTATACACAGCACAGCCCGGAAGAATCCCCAGCTTCGTCCGTTGTTCCGTACCTGTTTGGCCTAAAATGGGTCGCCAGGAACCGCGAGCGATGGATCGTACGGACCGTATTCTGCAACAGCGGGCCTAAGTCGTAAAGTCAAGTGATCCTACTATGGTATGGGCCTGAACTTATAAAGTGTTTGCCGCACCCGAGCAAAATAAATTCCATTCCCCGGATTTCGACCATTTATCCAAATCATGCCGACGATTCATTACTCCTTCCATGCTCGGGCTATTTATTGTTCGCCGGTGACTCCATCAAGTGTTGGAAAACAACCTCGCTGTCGCCCGGCCATTTGTCATTCGGCCCTTGGTTAGGCACAATGGCCGCAACCCCGCCTTCCTATCCATTGATGCCCCATCTGCTGTCTCGAGGCTGCTTGCTTTCCTTCTTCCAGCAAGCTCTTTTGTCCCACGTTCCACGTTCCACTGTGATGAACCGGCTCATCGATCGCGGGCCACGAACCACTAGACAGCCCACTAATTATTCAAGGTCCCGTAGGTATGGGCAGCCCATCGCGGAACGCCTATCCAGAACTCCTAGTTCCATAGTTACAAAGTAGTGTTGTACTAGCGAGTGCCAATCGGGCTGGTCTTGCTTGGTCCTGTGTACAACTAAAACTCTCTCTCTCTCTCTCATCTTACACCAGTTACTTGAAGGGCAAGGCAAGTTTCGAAACAGTTCCTTTAAACCCTAGATACGAGACGCCTCGGATACTTTACCAAAGTACCGAAGTAGGCCTGTCAATCCCAGTCAAAGCGAGAATCCAGCCTCTCTTGTGCAGGCGCCACGCAGATCCATCCATTTTACTTCTGCCAAAGTTTCTTATATCTTTTGGCTAGATTTCACATCTGTAACCCTCGCCACATTTCAATACCACTAAGAACTAGATTACAGAAAAGGTCTGGTATGTTTAGTGCAATAGTATTCTTTCCACATCTCTAGATTCAGCCTCCTTACCATTTCGGTAAAGCCTGACTGCAGAAAGGCCCGAAATATTGATTATTATTATCCCACCAGAGAAGGAATTGGCCGAATAGAGGGGCAGAGAGTCTGATATAAACCGCCTCCAGGTGTCAGCCATGATGAAAATATAAGCCGTATCTGCAATAAAATATGGAATCGCCGAACTCCAAGCCACGGAGGCAAACCACAGCGTAATACATCCTCCGCATTGTCTCCTATCTCCCAAGACCTTTCCAATTTCAACCCTACCCTCACAGTCCTGTTTAACGAGAATATTAAACATTTCCTGATTAGGAATAATGCTGTCCCCTCATATACTACCTAAACCTCCGCTTTCGGCTAAACGGTACATCAGTGATTCAGAATCATCCGAGCTTTATAGCCAACCAAATAGCCTTCACCATCCGATATATTACAACAAGATGATCCTGTATCAGATCCTGAAGATCAGAAACCTTATCTCCTACAATATATATCGTTGAAACCTCTACTCTATAGCAGACACAAGTCTTGACAAATAACTCTGAACACTTTCGCCTCACTACCTCCGTACACTGCATGAAAAGTCATATGAACAAAATGATGAGCCAAGTACTATGGGGGAAGCCAAGCATGTACTTCGTACATGTACCGAAAAACGCATTTATCACACGCATATCCAGTACAGTAATCCTCGTCACCACCGATGCGCCTTGCACGAATATTCGCCGCGGGTTATCCCGCCGGCCCACGAGCAAGAGCGTGACCGTGACCGTGACCGTGATCATACCAGATGAGATGAAGGATCTTCCTCTCCGTTCGAAACCAGGTCTCATATCATCCATCTAGTCCTCAATCTCGCAAACGCGTTTGGATTGTGTGTCTAGGCAGACCAAGCCAAATACCGTACATAAATAAATCTGCCATACCCAAGGTAAGGTGAGGTAGCATGGGATTCAGCAGCTGGTCTGGCTTGGCTGACTGATATCGGTGAGGAGGGGAGGGGAAGAGCAGGTGAGGGGTCCGGAAATCTGTGATGGATGCAGGTCCAAAATACCTCCAACTCCATCTGAAGCCAATCCTTCTGGTTCGATGCAACCACTACATACCTCCCTGACCCCAAATCTCCTTCCGCCCATCTACGGAGTACTCACATCACCAACCCCTCAATTATCAACCTCCGCACGCGGGTTTCCCGCCAACTCATAATAAAAATACCAAGCATCGCATCGCGTCTTTACTTACTCCGTAGGTACCGTACCCACCCCACCCCCATCTCTCGGCCCGTCAACTATAAAAAAGCGCTATTCCCTGTACGCGCCCGCACCCATCCCATCCCATCCCATCCCATCTATCGCCGTCTCTTCCCGAGCTCTCGTGCATTAGGATGAGGGGTCCGGGTCGGGGTCGCCAATCGCCGTCTGTCACTCGCCGGCAGGCAAAAGCAAGCCAGTCCCCATTCCATTCCGTACATCCAGATCTAGAACGCCAGCAATCATAATCCATTTGCTTATTCTGGTTCTTATTGCTATTATTATTCGCTGCGCTGCGCTGAATGAACGCTACAAATCTTCGTACGTCCGCGAGTGAGAAAAGAGAGAGCCAAGAATACAAGTAAAGAGCCAAGAGAAAAGAAAACGCCCCCGCGCCGCGTCATTCGTGCATCGCAAGCAATCCCCTCCAAACTGCACTTAATGTTCTGTATACATATTTACATCGTCTCCGTCGCACGCACGCACGTACAAGACGGCGGTTCTATATCACGATGAGTTGTCTTGTGTCGTCCTCAAGGCAACAGGTATTTCTTACGCAGGGAAATGAGATGTTGCGAAATAGGATCAGAGTATTTCTATTTTTAGAGAATGGTAGGGGTTGGTTGTCATATTTTCCCTCTTTCGAATACGACAATCCGAGCGTCGCTTTATACCCTTTGGATTGGTGAGATGAAGTGCACGGGGTTATCAAGGGCTGCGGATGTTTCATCCCAGTGAGATGTTTACGAAGGCTCGATGCAGATCTCTTCTAACGTCTAGAAATAGCCTTTTCTGCTGAAAGCTATAATGGACTTGTACCTACGTGTACCTAACGTAAGTTTCAAAATTGTCACGAGAAAGAACTACCTTACATCTCAAAGTATGGAGATGAGGTATTTGAAGTTTGAATGTTGATTGATGGGACATCGTTTTTAAGTTCAAGATGCAGGAAAGACCCTGTGGAACTCAGGACATCTAGACGTCATGCATATACCTGCTAGTGCATGTATCACTCACCATCAACGCAATTGCGAGCAGAATAAGTTGAGTCTTTCAATTCTAATCATTCAATCGATAAGTTCCTCGATTACTTTCTATAATACCTCTTCACTCTCACAATGTCGAGCAATTTCGGAAAAGCCCACAAGTCACTCAATGGTGCGCCCTCCCCGCATTCTACAAAGCTTCAGACAGCAGGTACTAACCGCGAATAATAAAGTAATGAAGAAACCGTTGGGTATGTTCTCCAAAAACCCAATGACAGGTTTCTACCGCAACGGTCTCTGCGACGTCGGCAAAGAAGACACCGGAAACCACTCTATAGCCGGTTCGTTCCTCCCTTACCTCTCCCTCTCTCCATCCATTTACATCCCAACTAACGTTCCCACCCCTCAGCAACCCTCACAGACCCCTTCCTAGACTTCAGCGCCAGCCGCGGCAACAACCTCCGCTCCATCGGTCTCAGCGCCGGCTGCAAATGGTGTCTCTGCGCCTCCCGCTGGAAAGAAGCGCTGGATTTCGCCAACAGCAGCTCCGAAAGTGGAGACGTAGCGAAAGCGGACATTGTTCCCAAAGTTCACTTGCACGCCACGCACGAGAGAGCGCTCGATGTGGTGGATATGAAGGATTTGAGAGCCCATGCTGCCGAGTCCGAGGCGGCGAATGCGAGTTCGGTTGCGCAGGATACGGGGGGTGGGAAGAATAGGCTGGGGAGTTTGGGGGTGAAGGAGAGGACGGAGATGGCGGGGAAGGGGGATATGACGAGTAGGGAGTAGGGAAGAAGGATTAGGGTGTAATTGTATGAGAAAGAAAGGTATGCCCTCAAGTTGATTGGAGCCATGCGCATTCGTTTGTTCGGGGTGACAAGTGACGGTTGAATGACATGTCTGACGACTCTGACCTTCAAGTAGGCGTGATATCGAGGGTGTTACAGTCAATAATCGAGGAGTTTTAGGAAAAGGTCGAGTATGAGTACTTTTTTAATGTTAAATTTAGTTTGCCAAGCTGAGAAGATGCAATTCCGAGACGCTTGTTATTTGCTCCTCCAGTTCGTCCCAAACTTGTAATAGTGACTGGGATAAATAGGCAATAATTGAAACTCAATCCAAACTCGTCACCTCCCAAACCAAACAGCCACACATTTTGTTAATAAAATATACACTAACACAAATTAGCATTTCTCTGCAATCATTATTCAGATCCCAAGCAAAGCTACTCAACTAAAGCTCCGCATCTTAATACCCAAATTCGGTATCATGTAACCCTTGCTATTATTAGAACCTTCAAGTACATCGCAGTATCAGACGCGATGCTTCGAATGTAAAGGAATCCAGGAAGGTGAACGAATGATTGCAACCTCTCAGGGGTAGCGAGATTCCGAATTAGGTAAGTGGGGCAGCATCTGACTGCCATTCTGTTCGTACTGCATACTTGATGAAAGACATCTTTGGGTTCATAAACGTATTATTTTTTTTCACTTCTATAGAGAAAAAATTGTAGGGCTCTTTATTCGGCTTCAGAAAGCTTTGCGCGCCTGATGGTACTAATGTAATAACACCACACGACATGGGCCCGGGATGTCAAAGACCTATTATCATTAACAATATGAACATCATTTCTTAGTTTCAAGGTGGATATTTGTCTCTTGTCTAAGACAGCCTTCCTCTATGCTATTATGCTAAATATTTCCTCAAACATTGAAACCAGACGCCGAGGAGGTAAAACAATAAGAGACGCTATAAGAAGTCAACCTTTTCCTGAGTTCATCTAGCCAATACCCAAACAACCTCTTCAATACTCTACCTCACCAAGAACAGCACTCCTGGTAACATCCAACAGTACAGAGTCCCTATTTCTCCTTCTTAATAACTTATTCTAGCAACCAACTCGTTACTCCTCAAATCTTTACCAAATCAACGATCGTGAGCATCTACTCCTGTGGATTTCCACTTAGCGAGATATAATTCCGCCACGGCCACCCACTTCCCGGTAGCCTATTTGAGAATTGGGTCGCCCAAGAATTGTGTCCAGGCGTTGGCAAAACTCATCCGCTAGAAGTAGACATCGAGTTCCGACACTTCGATTTCCAAAACACCGTCTCCTCGGTAAATTTCAAGAGACTATCTTTATATGGACACAGCCCTCTCGAGCTGACAGAAATTCTCCAAAGCATTGCACGACGACGGGACCGCAATCTCTTGAGGTCTCAAAGAGGGGGAATCCAGCGCTTCAGGGATCTAGACTGGAGGTTATCTGAAACTCCTAGCCAGCAACTCGAAGATGAACGGCTCATGCAGAACTACTATAGTATTTTCAGCGACGTATGCTTCTGCGGTTATCTACATAATCTCTGCGCAATCCAATTTGACCCGCAGATATCTGCGGACAGATGGTGAAAATGCATATCCCCACTCGATTCACCTGAGCTCTGACAAGCTATCCCGGACAACTTCGCTAGCTTGACTAATCTGAGGAGTCTTATGACGGCTATAGGATAATCGTGGGATACGGCTTACGAAGTATCTAGGGATCTGCTCTATGAAATGCTGCATGCGTTCTTGGGCATATATGCCTGTGGTGGCTATTATTTTAAATGTCCCACTAGGTTAGCGTGTCAGAACCGTATGAGGGATGCCACTGGAGACCGTGGGCATAGAATAGAATCGCTAGGGGCTGCTCGGGACATGGAAGATGCTGTGATTATTTTCTTGGGCATGAGGCTGGATCTTAATCGTTCTGTGGGTTTTAGGCACGAGGGACCGGCCTAGCTACGTGCGTTCTATTCCGACAGAAACATTAAGGGATTAGCAGTTTAACAGTAACGGGCATAGGGGTGGGATTTGATGCTCCAGATGATTTGGTGGGTAGTAGCGCGAAGGCTATAGAATTTGGGTTGGGGTTTTGCCATTATATATGTTGGATTTGAAGGATATATGTTGTTACCGTTTCATTGTTTGGGGCCACTTTGATAGTTCGCAGCCCTTGGACTTTATTGAACTAAATACGCATAATAGACATTGCTTCTCTAAGTATATTCTAGCTACGCTTTGTCTCTAGTGAGTGACTGGGTGCTTTTGCAGAACATATCTACCTAGAGCCGCGCAGACTCCGCAGAGTATCACAAGAAGTGAGGATTTTAAGACCTCCTTCTCTGCTAAGACTTCATAAATGTACTTCCGGGTACCAAATTGAATGCCTGCCTAGTATTGTAAGCATAATGGTTGCTCGGTGAATAGTCGATGTAATTCACCGCCCTCAAGTAAATCTCGAGTTGTCTTTTATTGACAGCCTCGTCACTTTAAATCTTCCAACCCAAAACACTTGCAGGTCATAATTATACTAGACTGACTATACACCAGATAACTCCTACAATCATCTATGATACAAATACCAACGCTTCAGCATGGCCGCAACAAACCCCACGCAAACCCGCGGGGAGTTCTCGATCTTCCCCACACTACCCTTTGAAATGCGACTCAAGATCTGGAACTCAGCCCTGGAAGAAGAGCTACACCGTCCCGGTCGCATCGTAGAAGTACGATGGATCCAGAAAGCCAAACGATTCATCTCAGACAACCCCCTCCCCGTACTCCTCCGCACTTGTCACGATTCCCGCGTCGAAGCCCAGAAAGCCCTCAAGCTCTTGACACTAGCTATCGAAGTCTCAGACCCCACCGAGCATGTACTCGAGCTCAAGCGCTTGGGATTTAACCTTGTCGATGCGGTGAACCCACCCTTCGTCACGCTGTTCCATACCTATTTCAACTTCAACGTCGACACCTTCTTCCTCAATCCGCATCACTTCCACATGTTCATAGGCGATGACCGATTCAGCCAACCGGCCAAAGTAACCGAATTCCTCCATGCTCTCAATGCCCAACGTCTTGTTGCTGAACAGCTGCATTACCTGGCCTTTGGCGGCGATGGTATTGACGTGGAGGACTTTGGTGCTAGGATGTTCAATATGAAAGCCCTCGAGATGGTCACATTCGTTTTCGATGATAAGTGCTGCACTCGAACCCGTGGCCAGTCCCGCTCGGACGCGCAGCACAACAAACTCATCAAACTCGAGCCATTTGTCTTCCCGGAGATGCCTTCTGTTCGTACCCAGCCAAGGAACGCGGGGAACGCCTTTACGAATCTTGGCATCCACCAGCAGCAACCCCCTATCTTCCCCCCCCCTATCCACGCACCCCCTTTCAACCACCAGGCTCCAGTAACCACATTCCCTAGCGGCGGAGGATTACATCCCTTCCCCATGCAGCAGAACCTCCTCATTAACATGAACCTCGCTATCCAGCAACAGCAACAGCAGCAGCAACAACAGCAGCAGCAGAACCCCCCCATTTTCAACCCCACATTCAACCCACTCCAGCAATTCCACCCCAACCTAACCACCAGCCTAAGTCCCCTCTTCGGGCTCTCAGAAGAAGATAACCACGCATTGAAAGTCCAAGCGCTATGGCATGCGCGCGACGACGATTTGATCACGTATCTTGAAGATAAAGTGGCGGATCGGATGGCGGAAACGGGGGGTCAGGCGAGGGAGGAATGGAGTAATCTGCAGACTTGTGCGGTTACTGCTGTTAGGGAGGAGAGGCCGAAGGTCGTTAGGGGGACAGGTGATGAGGTTGGGGTTGTTAATGCGAGACCGGTGAAAAGATCGCTGTTTGAGGGGTATCAGGTCTTGGTTAATGGGAGACAGCTTAGGAGATGATGATAGGGGGTGAAATGGGGGCGTGGAGATCGGTTGTGTCAAATGGGGGGTTGGGGAGTTTGGTCTTTTTCGTGCAACTGTTCTGTTTCAAGGCGTTTGGTACGTTAGACGGATTCGGTTATAACAATACATGAAGTACCATGATACTTCAAAACTCCTAGTCATTTTCGTAGCTTCTGAGTGATGTTTGTGAGTTTTTATGAACTCAAGACTGCAAAGGTTTCCTGTAAAAATTTAATATAGTCCTAGAAAGGGAAGCACAGTCTCAAACCCCATAACCTAAATCTTCCTAACAACAGCCCTCAACCTCACATACCCTATCCGCTCACCACCCCCCGGCCTCCCACAAACAGTCTTCAGCACCTCCCCCACCTCCCTCTCACACTCCTCCCTCTCCGCCTGATCCTCCACAGCATCAAAAAACTGCTTCCCCATCAACCTAACCCACGCACCCACACCCCCCTGATCAGCCTCCGTAGGTCTATACTCCATCTCCATTCTCTCCACCTTCCACCCCCCCACCGTCTCCTCCAACATCCCCCGCATCCACCGCTCATCGGGAAAGAACCACGGATCGGCCTCCCTCGCCCTGTCAATCCCCACCCGCTTCGCCACTACCGAAATAAGAGCAGCGCGCATCTCGGCCACGTTCCCCAGCCCGCCCATTTCAAACACAAAGATCCCGCCGGGCTTAAGCGCGTTGCGGACGCCTTGGAAGAACGCCTTGCGGTGGGTTTCAGGGCGCAGGATCCAGTGCATTGCGGCGTTGGAGAAGACTTTGTCGAAGCTGGAGGTTTGGCGGGCGGGTGAGTTGATTAGTTGGGTTGCGTCGAGGACTGTTTTTATTAGTGACGGTGCGAGGATTAGAATTTGGTACGGAGATAGAAGTATGTACCTTCGAAAGTGCAGACGTGTGACATCCTAGGGGTTTCGTATGCAGATACGGATTTATTTGCTGTGGCGATCATGGATTCTGAACTGTCGATGCCGTGTATGCAGCCGGTGCCTTTGAAGAAGGTCGGGCTGATTTGGAGGTCGAGGACGCCGTCTGAAATTTGTTAGCATGAGCGTTGTCTATAAAATATAAAATGTATCAAAGAAGACGGTAAAAAGAGATCCATATGTTGGTTTGATAAGAGCAACATAATCACATCTTTGAAAGTTGCAACTTGCACTCCTTCCTTCCTCCAACCCCGATTTCAACACCACGCAACAATCAATCACTTGCAAAATACCCAACGAAACATAATCAAAAACTCACCACCACACCCAACATCCAGAATCACATCATCCTCCTGTACATCAAGCCATTGTAAGACCTTGGTAGCCAACTTTGGTACAAAAGAAGCCGCGTTTTGATATGCCGCTGAATCCCAATGATCTTCTTGTTTTGCCGCCATTTTGTATCAATCAATGAATTTGAGGAGAAGAAAAGTCACAAAACAGTAGATGAACTATGATAATTTGAATGTGAATTGAGATAAGAAGAAGGGCTGTCGTCTTTATTTATAGTAGAAGTGGAAGTGTGCATGTGGGCATATCGGAGGGGTAGATGGATGAATGTACGGGGTTGGCGCGAGGCTACAGGTACTCCTGCCGGTTTCGGAGCCGCACTTTCATCCATCATCCCTACTAGACAAAATGCAATCGTCCTATTTGAAAGGCGTAGGAATGCAGGGGGGGAGTATTGGATGGGAAGGTACAGCTTTGTTGCGTCTCCGATGACGGCAAGAAAGAACCCTGGAGTGAGTCCAACCCCAGCAGCTTCATTTGACACATAGAAAATATCTCCAGAACATAAACGCCATGCTACAACTATGTACACCGCATCGCAGTTGTCCTTTTTACTGAAGTTCCAAAAGCTGATATTTGTCGTCACCCAATGTATCCTCGATCCTCTTCATAATAGCGAGCACCTTTTCCTCTTCCAATCTCTGACCCACAATCTGTACAGCGACCGGAAGGCCATGCATAGCTGTGGCATCATAATGCTTGTAAGCTCCTTGAGCAACACCATTCAAGTCCTTGAGTGAGAAGTTCGCAGGCAGCTGGTCGAGTGATTTGTCCACGTGAGTTATGGGCATGATGCCACATGTGTAATCAAGCTGCTTTTGTATCAGCTTTGCATAATCGCGGAATTGGAGGAGACTTACGAGATTAAATAAGAAAGTATAACCACAGCTACTGACTGCATCCTTCATCCCGTCATGAGGAACTGCTGGTGTGGCATTAGGAGGCGTGATTATGAAATCTACCTTGGCTTCATGCTCCCACCAGTCATGGAATTTCGCCTTGTAGGCTTCTCTCTTTGTTACAAGCTTCCATTGCTCATACGCGGACTTCTCTTTCCAATCTTTGATGAGACCAGCCCAAACATCGTCTCTTCTGACATACTTGACCCACAGATAGTAAGCATACTTGAAAGGACTAGGTAGAGCCATGAGCCAACTCATTTGCTTTGCTCCTGTATCTTCCCATTCTCCAGTTCGGAAGAATGACTTGTAAGTCTTACAGCCATCCGCGTTGAGAAGTTTAGAAGCAATATAGAGGGCCTCGTATGGAGACGGAGGTTCTACATCAACTACTTCATGGCCCTCTTTTTTCAAAGCTGCTACAACTTCGTCCACAGCTCTGGCACAAGCTGGACTAGGGTCAACTACCCCATCGGTACGCAGAACACCTACTCGGAACTTCTTCTTCTCCTCAAACTCCTTCGTAACATCATCTCTCCATGCAATCGGATGTACTGAATGGTCATATGTCCATGGTTTCATACCAATAAGCGACTTTGTGAAGTATGACAGATCTCCCAGAGTCCTTGACATAGGTGAGAATACAGCAGCAATTCCTTCCTGACCTGGCATACTCGTGACCATGCCATTCTTCGGCCACCTCCCCGTAGAACATTTTAGACTGTAAATTCCGGAGAAATGTGCCGGAACCCTGACACTCCTAGAACTAGGGTTAGTGAATCGTGTCTTACTAATCCCGAGACAATTACCCAGCAACGTCAGAACCAATTCCGATTCTCCCACCACCAGCAGCCATCAAAGCACTTTCTCCACCCGTTGATCCACCGGGAGAGTACTTGTTATTATGAGGATTTGTACACCTCCCCCAAACATCATTCGTCGATTCAAAACTCAGCAGCGTAACCGGCAGATTCGTCTTAACATACGGCACCGCCCCAGCATCTTTCAATAATCTCACCATAGTCCCATCCCTAGCCCCCTTGTTTCCAACATTACTACTATATCCAACAGACGTATCAAACCCCCCAACCACTACCGAGTCCTTGAGCGAGATGGGAATTCCTGCCAGAGGCCCTTTCATATTTATACTCCCATCAGTAGTCCAGCCTTCTGCGGCACCAATCATAACCTCTGTCACGCAATTCGTCTTCTCGTGTGCTTTGAGAGCGGCTTTGCCGTAGGCGCGTAAGATGTCAATGGGATGTGTGACTTGTTTGTGTACATCTTGCACGAGTTCTTCAATTGGTTTAGAGAGGATATGTCGTTCTGGAGATGTGAAAGGGCCATGATAGCTAGCGAGAGCTTGTATTCGTTGTGTCCTTTCTGTCTGCTTGAAGTTACTGGGACGGGATTAGTGTTGATAAGAGGGGAACGCGGGGAAGATGGAGTGGAGCTTACCAGTCCCGCTTGTGCTGGAAATAATCAAGAAGAAAGACCATCTTGGCAGTCCGAGTTTATTCAGATATCGTGAGGACAGTGTATTATTGTAGGTATTTGAAAGGAGAGGAACAAATGGAGATGGGATGAAGATGATTGTATAGTTCTTATGCTGGCTGGGCTGGATTCCACGATATCCGGTTGTACCTTCTTCATCTGGATCCCCCACCTTGGAAGCTTCTACAGGATTGAATCACGTGATAGAGGGGCAGCTTGATTAACCAAGCTCACAATCTCACCTCCCACTCCGGAATGATGGATCGACCAAGTAACCCCTCCCCTCCCGTTCTAATATAACATGGCTTCCGGCACAACCACCCCCTCTTCTCAAACGCCCACGACTCCCAGCAATCAGGTTCGTTATGTGGTAGAACATGAATTCGAGTCCATGAGAGGCCACTACGGCGATACACCACCAGCAGTCAACTCCATGGACTCAAACTCAGACCGTCTCCTCATCTGCACAGCCTGCGGCACGCAGTATGACACCGAAGACCGCGAACTCTTAACGCGGTGTCGCATCTGTGACGACCCACGCCAGTTCGTGCCGCCGGCCGGCCAAGCCTTCACCACCTTGTCGGAACTAAAGAGGCAAGGCTGCAAAAACAAATGGAAGGTTATTGATGAGGACGACCGCTTCTGGAGTATTTGGACCGAGCCCAAGGTAGCTATTGGGCAGAGATGTATTTTGATCAAAACGCCGTTTGGCAATGTGCTTTGGGATTGCATCACGTTTCTTGACGAGGAGACAAAGGAGTCTATTAATAGTCTTGGGGGCCTTGCAGCTATCGTTATAAGCCACCCGCACTATTATACCACGCATCTGGAGTGGGCAGATGCTTTTGACTGTCCGGTGTATTTAAGTTGGGAGGACAAGCAGTGGCTTAACCGCCTTGATCGACTCGGCAAGGCCAGGACGTTTATCGAGGGCACGGAAGAGGAGATTGAGGTTAGGGGAGAGAAGACGGGTGTTAAGGCTTTGAAGCTCGGTGGACATTTCCCTGGGAGTTTGGTATGTTTGGCGTACAAAAAGTTACTCGTAGCGGACACCCTCGTCACCGCACCGGCTGGACTGGGTGATTGGAGTAAGGGTCCTGATGGAGGAAAGGGAGGCAGGCCACCTGGGATGACTTCGTATTCCTTCATGTGGAGTATTCCCAACATGATTCCTCTATCAGCTGAAGAGATTGTTGGGATGTGGAGTGTTTTGCAGAAGCATGCATTTTCATCGACGCATGGAGCATTTGTGGGGACAGAAATAAGAGATAAATATGGTGGAAGTAAGGATGGCGTTAAAAGAAGGGTATTGGATTCCATGAAGACACAAGTTTGGAGGATGGGCTGGAGAGACCACAAATTCTTACGAGAAACATGACATGTAAGATACTGTTAATGACGACAATGTGAAAAGAATTGAAGAGCAATCTTCCCTCAACTATTCTTGGTGTTTGGCGAGGGCATACCAATTCATCGACTTCGATTCAGCAATGGCAATCTTCTACATCACAACAGATTGAAGGACCTGACAGTCGAAATATGTGACACTCATCCCTGAACCGTGTTGATATTCCAGACACACACAAGTAAACTAGAGATACATGTCCCGATACCTGCCCCAAGACAGGGGTACGGCAACCATGACAAACGTAAAATATATGCCAGCGCAAATATACAGACCATATGCAAGAACCCTAGCCAAGATCAAGATGATCCACGCGTATATACCCTAATGTGACCTGCCCTCGAGCTAACGTAACTCCTTCCCAAATGCAGACTTTACGTCAAGTACTCCACCCATCCACCCTTGTACCCTCATAACGATTGCGGTCTTTCCCAAATAGGCAAGTCCCAGGACGTCGTTTTTTGATTCGTTGTATTCGTCACCGGCTGAATGCATCAGGCTAATGTCCTTCTTAAAACGGCGACACAAATTTTTGTGTCGCGAACCCAGTCCTTTTCCATTGGATCGAGCCGAGTCCGCTGGAAACCGAAATGTCCTGAAAATCATGTACCCGTGTTTCTATGTTTTGTAGCATTTCATTGCGTCGTTAGTTATCGTGGTCGTTTCAGGGCACTGCCCATATTACTATCATCATAATCCCAAGTAGCGTGTCTCTTCAAACCACCCTCATACACACTGGCAACAGACTCTTGCCACATACTCGGGCTGACAAAAGATGGAATTGCGGCCCCAGAGTATTGTTGTGGGGGAATGACCGTCTGAGTGCCTGGTAGACTGGCGTTCGAGTGAGTGTGAATTTCAGGTAATGTTGGAATTTCCTGGGCACCTGATACGGAAAGTTTTAGAGGGGTCTGTTGTGGAGGAGGAGCGGAGGTTTGAGGCGTACCAAAAGTGGTATTCCACTGGCTGTAATCTGGTTAGCAATGTGCAAGTCAAAGTGGAAAGGATGGCGAAAAGCTTACTCGAAGATTCTAGCGGGATTCCAACTGCCTGGATCGGGCATTTGAACCCCACTTGTTGCTGGCTGCGGCTGTGGCGCTCGTTGCGCGGCCATCATGACCAGAGACTGCGCGGCTGGAGAGTCACTCTTCGTGTCCGCAACACCTCCAGCTGAAATAGGGGGTGTGATGGGGTGGTTTGTATAACTGACGTGCTGTTGTGGTTGGACATGCTGATGCTCCACATTCTGGTCTATGGAACCGTGATGTCCTCCTGCTTGACGATACTGGGCGTTTGCCCGCGGAGGACTCATGTTCGGGCCTGGACTGCCATAAGGAAAGCTTGGCTTTAGCACAAAAGGTTTTCTGGTATCAGCAGAAAAGGCCTCTCGTAATGCATCAATTTGCTGTTGCATATCCGGCATTGGCCAGGAGCTTGTGCATTTTTCTAAAATTCTCATATGCCGAGTGAAGTATTCACGGGCGTCTGTATTGAGTTCAGGATCGGGGGACGTAAGCGCGACCTATCACTGTTTAGTCACGAATCAATGCAAAAAGGATTCTACATACCAAATGGAGAACTGTGCAAGTCAGAACGCAATAGATGGTGAAATTAACACCTCTTTGCATGCATAAAAGGCCAGTCAGCCCAAAAGACTGCAAGATAGCCTCTTGCACGCGGCACAAGAGTTTCGCTGACGAATAGCATATCATCATGTGGTGTTTCCATCCTCCATGCATATCCGTTGGCTCCATGAATGTAAGTTGTGGTCGGTGTAACATAATGATGCTGAGGTAATAATAGGAGTGAATGTTTCCAATGTAGTGAGATGGCAACCACGGAGGAGAACCGTCCGGAGGAAATGTAATCTGTAAATCTGGGGGAAGATCGTTCATCCAGGCGTCAAAAGAGGGATTTAGTTGTACAAAGTCAGGATCAATACCCCATTCCTTCTTCTTTTTGATTCTCGAATAGACGTTGTTCATCCTCCTGACATTGCGAACGACTCTTGTGAAATAAGTGAAATTGCGGGAAATGTGGTATTCGGAGTCATCAAGCCCTGATGCTGGTCTGGGTATACTAAGATCCAAAGAATCTGCATCGACGGATAGATCTGTACGTCCTGTTATTCGTTAGATAGAGCCCCTAGAAACCAAGGTACAAACTGACCTTGGGGCGAGCCGACCATCAGTTCACAGATGAAAATGGTCTGCCAGATTCGAGTCTTGGTAACGCAATCGGCAAGATCAGAACCACACGGTTTACCAGCCTTGTGCTCTTCATAGTGCTCATCTAAGCCCAAATCCTTGGCCATTTGTACACATTGAACAACAGTCATCCATGAGCGGTAGTAGTAGCCCCGTTTTGGCGCTGATTCTCTTGCCTTCAGAACAATTAGGGTCGCTTGGAGAGTGCTAAGACGTGGGACATCCATGAAGGAATCGGCGTGTTCTGGAGTATCGTTAGTATTAGTATATAAAACCCATATCTGATTCTCACTTGATGCAAGTGCTAGCCATTGGTGTCCTTGCGCTGGCTCATCTGCAAGTCTTCCAGCTATTGCGAATATAGCTTCTAGAATAAGCGGCGAAATAGCTTCTCGGTTGGTATGCCATTGATGATAGAACAGAGCTTTGTTCAGTACCGGTACGTAGGGATGAACATTTACAAAATATATCTCGAAGTAGTGTAATACAGTCTCCTCGTCTGGCATCAATTCCGGTGGTATCCTCACTTTGAGATCTGGTCCGGGTACCGAGACTGGCAAGACGTCTTTGTACTCATCTAGATCCTCAAACACCGGCTCCTCGATCAATGTCTTATTTTTGTTCTTGCTATTCAGGTACGGGGCTATTAAAAGTTAGTGATCAGCATATCGACTAGGTGCACAACAATCCTTACCCGTCCCAGCCTCGTTCATCCTGAGCTCTCCCAATAAATCACTCAAACCCTGTTGCCCATACTGGTCCTGCTCGTATGTTTCCGGTGATTCTGGATGTGAACCTTGCAGAGGTGGTGTTGGAAAGACATTTTGTGGAGTGTATTGCTGATGTTGGTCGATTATGCTTACGGGGGTTTGCATGTTGTTGTTATAATGCATACTCGGTTGACTTTGTGCTGAAGATGGCGCGCCATAAGGTACATTCTGATAGACACCCACAGGTTCAGCCGAGTATGGCAGTTGTTGCGTATATATTGGAGGAATGTTCTTATGCGGGCTAGTTAGTTGGTGTTGTTGCTGCATAGACACCTGCTGATGGTAGTCATCGTCGCCATTCCCCCCGCCTTCGTACACAATCCTATCCGCTTCAAAGGCCTGCCCATCTAATGGAAAATCGCGATCGTAATTGACAGTCGGGGGTACGCAATGTAGCTTCAGGCGGATACATGCTGAACATGGCCATGTATTGGTAGTCGCCGCGTCGCACTTGATCTTTCGCCTTCTGCACCCTTCACATGCGCGCATCACTATGCAAAGTCAGTACCCAAACATTCAAGGCTGAATTCTGACTTACCCTTTAGCCGTTTATGACGGTTGTGCTCGTCGACAAAGACATAGTCTAAGCATAGATTAGAATCATTGTAAATGAGGGGTCAAAAGTTGGAAGGTAAGGAGCCGCACTCTTTTGGTTTTCTCTTTGCCCAAAGTTGTTAGGCGCAAATGAGAAACTCTGCATCTGTGAGCTTTGAGGGAGGAGTCTCCGATTTCCAGGATCACCAGCCATTGTATGCGATAGATGGGCTTTGCGCCGACGTTGTCAAGTTGTCAACCAGTTGCACGATCTGTGACGCAATGGACTATTTTTTGCAGACAGCAGCTAGTCCTCTGATCGAGACCTAATAACCCGACTGTATAAAGAAACAAACAGTGGGCGACTGAAGTTGATGACGGATATGCCCAATTTTAATGGTTCCGGTAAGGTTCCGAGGGCTTCACCTTGTGGTTATAATACACCCTAGAAACATTAGCAAGGCCACGAGTCCTGGACTAATCAAGATCAAAAGCGTTTAGACTTCTAAAAAGGGTTCATATGGCGATCAGGGCCTACCTATATTTCGGGCGGTTGTACTGGTTTTGTACCAGTTCGCATTGGGGTACACGGGAGTGAGGAAAATGTGTGAAGTCAAAGCTACCGCCACAGCTTACCCGCACAAATGGGAGAGTGATTGCTCCTGAAGTTTGCAGTCATGCAACAGCGTCTCGAGGTAGAGCTATGCCAAATGTCGGACGGCAGGAAAGCGCAACGGGCGCGGAAGGGAAGGGAAGGGAAGAAAGTCAGGAACGCGCTTCTGTAATGCTTCGAAGGCTTCGAGTAGCAGACGTCCCCGTGGTCTGGTTATGGTACGGTACGGTACAACGTGGGCCGCGAAGAGTCCCAAGTACCCGCTAGGCAGGCCGCTGTAAGAAGAAGGGAGGGATTACGGAGTTACGGGCGGCGTCTGGGGGTCTCAAGTAACGGTATCGTCTTCCCTGTCACCTATGAACCAGGATGGTGGTCAAGGTTATATTTTGCCCCTCTTTTGAAATGCGGGTACCCATCAAAATGCAGTGCCAGATTGTCCTGTAGTGGTAGTGGGTCTGCTTTGGCCCCCTGGCACCTGGGCCCTGAATCCACGGAACTTTGCGAACGACCAAATGCAAGCTGCAGCGTGGGTGGCATTCACGTGCAATATGTTCGACCCTTGGCTGGCAGTGAGAGCGCTTAGATGCCGAGGAGGAAGCGGCAGGTCAGATGAGGCAAGGACGTGGAGGGGGGTGGTTAGATCCCGCTGGCAAAACAGATGGCAAATTGAGGTTTGTACTGTACAATGGCTTCCCTACACTTGGACTTTGGAATTGAGTAACGTGGGCACGGAATATAGCCGCTGGAGATCTGATGCTATTTCGAGTTGTTTGACAGTAGTGACGATCATCTGAAGAAGCTCTGTTGACAGACAAGCCAGGGCAGAAGCCAGTCTCAAATTCTCAATGGTGCGATCCAGGTGCGGGTGCTATAGGGATCGCTATGATCGCTATGCGATGGAGGCTGAAACGCAACAGGAACTGATCGACAATGTCGTATTCGGAGTGGTTATAATATGAAATTCGTATAAGAGAATTACGTATCATGTTGTTGTGGAGTTGGTGACGGACGGGAAGATCTGGGGGTCGTCGCATGTCCTAAACCGTCCACTAAATGCTAGCCGTGCCCGCTGTCAATGCTAACGTAGAAGTACAAGTTAGGTAGATAAATGGTCCAGTCTGGTAATTAACTGGTAGGTAGGTGGGGATTGCCCCGCAATATATGATGTATATTGGGTAAGTACTGTTGTAGTACATTATGCAGAAGTACCTGGCTGAGCTACTGTAGGACTTGCTGTAGAGTATACAGATTAAGTACTTTGCATTAGCTGCAGTTGCTGACGATCTCCCCCATTTAGTCTTTCTGAAATTCTGAATGTCTTCTCTCGAAAGCGTCGGGACGACCATGTTTGAACTCTGTACCAAGTACTCCTCCGTACCTACTGTAGAACAAGATGGCACACAGGCTGGGCTGGGGAACCTCGGCCGTGCTAAACGTCCTAACCGATCTAGCGGCCATCAATTAACGGTTCTTTGCATCATCCACAGTCTACCTACTCTCGTTTGGCTTCTAACCTTACCTAAGGTAGCTTTGGTGTGATGCATTCCGTCCGCCCAGACTCCACTCCACTCCACTCCGCCCAGTCCCATTCCCAGTACCGAGCTGGAAGAGAAGTCAGAATTTCAGAAACCTTTTTATCCAGCCACATGGCTTTAGCTCAATTGCGTTTGCAGCAATGTGTTTTGCTTTGATGTTCTGCCGCTCTCGTCCCCAAAACCCTTGATATGGCATATTCAACCAAATGCCCCTTGAAAATTGACGCACATGCCTACGCATACGCACGTTGTTGCCATGCAAGGCGGCGCATACTCTGAATCCTTTGATGAAATTTCCAGCATCATCCACGCGCGCTTCACGGGCCAGACGGTACTGTACAGGGGCGCTAGCGTGGGAGGGAGAACATTGCCCATTGTTCCATGCATGGTGGACGCCTAGGGCTTTTTATGGAGTATTGCGGCTGCATGCGGCAACTGTACTGTAGTATTGTACCTGAGCTGAATCAAAGATGCATCTTGCATGAATTTTCTGAAATACCTATATACCGACATTATAGTATGTGCAAGGAGGCCAAGAATCGCAATTGTAACCGGCTCCTACTTTCCATATCTGTTTGCAAATGGAAATATATCCGGAACATTCTTTTTAGGCACGGGAGGGCTGTGGGCCTTTATTGCGTATTGCAATCCGTTTGATGCGTCTTGCAACCCGTTTTGATACCGTTGAATGATTGCTGTCCATAGCTAGACAGGGTCTAATGCAGACCGATATGGCCCTGGCTATTCGAGAACATGATGTCCGAGATGAGATGCAAACCTTATCTTGACCTTATAGGCTTATTGTAGTTTTTTATGAGCTAGGAGGCTAAGAGGCAACGCAACAACAGGTCTAGACTTTAGCAAGTTGCCTATTCAAGCCTAGGCTGAGATTCAGCTATAGTGTTTCAAGAAATTATGAAGCATAATTGGGGGAGATGACGACTATCTACATCTACATATGCATGGAATTTGCGCAAGGCAAGTATTCAAGTCATCATATGCTTCAAAGTATGCATCGATCGAGTTGAGCGTCGTTTTGTAAAACTGGAAAAAGGCACAGAATGGGAAGGTATTATTGGGCTGATAGACACTTCCAACCTGCTTCCAATCAAGTCATTGTTTCATAAATCTAAAACTCGTTGATTATTGTGACCGACCAAAGACGATCGAGAACTTACGAATAGGTTTAAATTGTATCTGCACGTGACCAAGGCTGTAGTCTTGCTCTTGCTTTTCTTGCCTTGTCTTATCGATAACCTTACCTTATCGCTATAAGATTTTCTACTTCGAAGTAGTTTGCAAGAACCTTACCCACCAACCCCACCCCTCCTTTGCCACCACAATATTACGGAGGTAGTCTTTCACGAGCCCATATCCGCACTGATCCGCACTGAGCACGTCTTAGAAGTATTGACGCACTGCGACAACCCTGAACCTGCCTTTCCACCCCGGGACACGATTGCTTCTTCAAGATGGGTTCTGTCGCGCTCGACAACGCCAACCCTACAATCTTGAATGTATCTGAACTTCCATCGCATAGACAGCGGCGGAGACAGAATGATGGATCTTCCAACAAGGATGGCATCCGCGACCTCTTGATGAGCAAGCCCAGTTACTCGTTGGACCCGTTTTACATGTCGGACTTCTCAGACACAGACTCGGATGATTCCAGCGTAGAGCCTATTGACGTCCATGAGATATACGGTCAGTCCTAGAGTGTTTATTTCTGGCTTTCAGCCTTCAGATTCCAGACTCTTTGCTTTTCATGCCTTACACCTGCTCGGCAACGAGATTCTTGATATTCTGGTTCAAGTATGGAACTGTTTACGAACTGCGGAGGCTACAGATGTATATATAGATTATTCGTTTCAGCCATGTTTTCTATTTGTACTGTTTTTATTTACTTCTCGAATCTTGCCTCAATCCTCGTCCTAGATGGGGATCCAGCAACTGATGTTTCATCTTGTAGACCTTATCGCCCCCATCTCTGATCCCGAACACCCTCTTTCTCTGGCATCTTTAGGAGTAGTCAAACTCGAAGATGTCCACCTCACTTCGCCTTTAGACCATTCGAATCCCTCTGCTCTTTCACGGGTACTGGTAGAACTCACCCCCACGGTTACGCACTGTTCACTAGCAACTGTCATTGGGCTTGGTGTACGCGTGCGTCTGGAACAGGCTCTACCTCCTAGTTACCGGGTCGAGGTCAAGATTAAGAAGGATACACACAGTCAGGCGGACGATGTCAATAAGCAATTGGCAGACAAAGAACGTGTTGCGGCAGCACTTGAGAACGCGAATCTGATAGGGCTATTGAGGAAGATGATGAAGCCATGTATGGAGGAATGAAACGATTATGTGCATACCCTGAGCCTGTCATGCACGCACGTTCCCTTTGCTGTACATAGCTTGCCGTGATTCACAAAGTCATTTAAATTACCATGCTTCTGGCAGCATGGTGTTCCGAGTTTGTACAGTAAGCGCGCGTATAAACCCCCACAAAATGTCCTCCGTACTATAGAATATTACACGTACAGTATTGGCAATCACGTGTCTGGGAGTTGTGGCATTATTCAACATCCTAGCTCTTACCTTACGGAACTTGTCAAACCCTAGATCCTTGAGGGAGATTGCAGGCGTTCGGTCCCAGCCATCAGGCCATGCGCCTCCATGCGCCCATGTGGACCCTCCCCACCTCCCACCCGGCTTCTTCAAGTCTTCGAGTCGTCTTCGAACGGTCTCGAGCAGCATGCAAGTAAAGTCACAATTCTTGGCATCGTAACTTACCTACTCGAGTATCTATCCTCGCCGTCCTCGCCGTCATCCTCGCCGTCCTAGTTGGCTACATCCGCAGTCTACCCCTGAGACTTTTTATCTCTAAACAAGCAATGATACACGACAGAGCCAATAAAGGCTAAATACACAGTACCCAGAAACCTTACCGTCCATACCAGATCCCAAACCCCTTGAGGCTTGCGCACGGTACCGGCAGACGGCCCATGCCACCCTCCCACGCCCAGAGGTCTGATCTTTCGATCCATCTATTTTCCACATCTCTTCCCAAAACAGTCACCGCATCATTTTTAGGGACCCCTCGGTGATTGAAATTCCAACTCTTTCTTGCTTAAACTCTTACGGAGTACAAGTATGACGCGGCCCCCTCTCCCCAACTTCTAGAATGATAAAAGAGCCAGACACCCCCCCCGTCTATACTGCATCCAATAAGGCATTTCTCCAGCGCATTCGCATTCCAGCGAACCATCGACCGCCAAAAGATAGACACACCGTTACAACTGCAAGGTCCAAGTTACTCTGCCAGGACAAGATATATGGCACTAGAGTACCTACCGGTATAATACTACCTGCTTCACAAGATAAGGATAAAACACAACACGTCAAGTTCGAATTAACCACAGCAAAACCAGCAACTCAACAGTTGAAGTCCCATCCATCCCACATGTAAAACACCAGCCATCAGAGCAGCCAGAAGCAGACCAGCGTCGGTTAGGGAATTAGAGAGAGAGAGAAACGTTACAAGCATGTGATAGGTGGAAAAATGGTGGAATCTATAATTGCGGAACTATAGGTAGACGTAAGTCACATAATTACCGGTAATTCGCATTACGGTCCGTACATTATACACCGGTATGTCGTATAGCAGAAAAAAAAACACCTCATTATTCAGCTTGAGTAAGCTTTGTGCACATGCACACACGCACGGCACGCGGAGTGCAAACGTTAATTTCGGCGACGAATACTGTAATTTATTTAATCTCAAAGGAGTATTGATTGCGGGAAGCACGAGCGCGGTGCCCTCCCAGCCCAGGTTGCTGGGAATTGGCAAATCCTGGAGACGGAGACGTGTGATGGGCTTTGGCTTGGCTGGACTGTGCTGTGCAGTGCTTGCTTGCTTGCAGCTTAGGGTACTGGTACGGGAATACCCGATCAATGCAATCATGCGGCGGGTCGATTAGAAATTGTCCAAATTTCAAAAAGCTTCGTTACTCGTATAAGCCTTGTCTTCATTGCGTAATCATCTTGACCACGAAGGAAGCTTGCAAATAAAGCTCGAATTAACCTTTTTTTATATTTTTTTAAAAAGGGTCTAAGCCTCTGAGGCTTACAATACAGCAGCCTATTCTTATTGTCTCGCTATACTACAGATCTCGTACTCAAAACGCCTTTTGGAGATCTCCAGGAATTGAGATCATGCCGTTAACTCCTCCAAATAATGGATTGCTCTATTCATATGCTTTGTTCATCCATCTAACAAACCACTTTCCTTCAAACTGGCGAACAGTTCTGGCTCGAGGAATTTCGCAACGCTGACATCCTCGCTCAAGCCCTTTCTCCTCCTAGTCTTCAAAACAAAGTCCCTTGCCGTAGCCTGGGCACTGGCCGGTTCTAGTGGCCGCAGTATAACATCTTTATCGAGGGGATCTCCAGGTACAATGCTCCATCGATCGAACACCAGGCTGAGGGTTGCCTGACCCTGGGTATGAATTCGCAAGTCGGTTTCGAATCCAAAAGAGTCAATAACCGGTATAAGCCCACTGACACGGTACAATGGTGTGCCGGCAATTGGACCGTCGGATAAGACGTGACCTCTTCGCTTGGCCAAGACAGTATATAGTGTTGTGACCGAGTCGGCAGGTCCCGTCATGGAGCAGGAGTAAACAGGTTCCATCAAACGTGGGGACGCCATGAGGAACGATGAATAACAAGCGCGTCGGGATGTGGGGATGATCTGGCCGCCGCCCCGGAAAATCGCTTCAGGAGCCAATGTAACGTCCATTATTTTGAACTTGCTGTTGCGGATAGCTACAAGGATGGTTAACATTCGGACCGGTATCAACCAATGAGACGAAAGCGGGAAGGGAAGGAACTACGCTTTTGTTCTCGTGTCATGTTCGACATCGACGATGTGAGAGAGTGGGGTATCTGGTAACTTACGCTCTTCACACAAGGGGCCTTCTCTGGTTGCCCAACTAAAACCTTGACGAATTGTGTCTCTGACACTCATTAGGAGATGTCTATCTACCTGTTGGGTGTCAGCATAAAAGGACCGATTGTACGTAATGCAGCATGGGGAAAACTCACTTCAGATGGCAGAGTGTCGTTTTGAAGAATATTCGGTCCCAAGTCGTCGGGACCAAAGGCCCAAATGCTTCTGGAAGCCAATAGATCCCACCCGTAATGTTCTTCGAAAAACTTGCCAATGACTCGATTCGGGCTTTTAATGCTGATTTTTCCACTTTCAATGTCTTCCGCAATCCCCTGGTCCAAAGGCTCCGCAACCATAGTAATCTTGTTCTTCTTATTCGGCGTTTGAGCATAGCATTTTATAGCCGAGGTCTCGACAACCGTTTCGCAGAACCGTGTGACGGCATCCGATACTTTGATCTCCATCTCGGCGTATAGCCGACGCAAGTCATGCAGAACGCAATCCATGTATAGCTCTCCCGTCCCGAGAATGACGTGTTCCCCGGATTCTTCGACTTTAGTGGTTATCAGGGGGTAGCTCTTGTTGATTTTGCGTAGGCCATCCAACATCTTTGGAAGTTCTGAGGGGTTGATTGGTTCGACCGCAACTTTGAAGACCGACTCGGTGAAATGCGTAATAGGTTTGAAGATGTACGCATCTTCTTCATCAGGCAGAATAGGTGGTACTAACGTTGCTGACTTGACAATGGAATTGTCAACTCCCCCCAAAAGAACCCAGTTACCCGCAGGAACACCGTCCGTAGGGATATTGTAACGGGATTCAGCAATCCACACGTCAGAGATAGTTGCAAGACTCATATCTTCCTCGTCATCGATGGAATAGCCTTCGCCGAGAACTCGCACCTGAGTTCCTGGTCGAGCAGTACCGCTCATTACTCGTCCGAAAGAGTTGAATCCAGTGGCATCACTGGTGTTAAATAGTTTCGAGATCTGGATAATCAGAGGTCCGTCTTGATCGCACTTTTCAATTGCCTTGGCCACGCTTGTATCAAGGGGCCCGGTGTAGTAACGTTCGAGTTTAGCCTTAGCAGAGTCAACAGGTGATGGGATGTGTTCCACAACCATGTCAACGAATCCATTAGAAGGCCCGAAAAATTGTTCGCAGACCAGCTTCAAGAGAACCTTGGCGTCTGTCTTGAATTGAGTTGGCTTGAGAGTTATACCCAGAGTTGCAAGAGTCTCCTTTAAGTCCTCGGGGCTCTCACTAATTGTATGTGAATACAATTTGTAGATCGGCTCTAGTACAAAGTGTACAAATGCGCGCTTAGAATGCTCCTCAATGCCTTTCCGCGTGAACGATCGTTTCCTGGGGTTGAAGAACACATCACCCCACAGACGTCGCGCAAATTCATGAGCATTGATTCCAGGGGTTCCTTTCTTCGTTGGAGGATAGCTGTCTGCGTACATCTTGGCAAACGATTGCAGAGTAAAACACCAGCCCATAATGCTGCTTGCAAAGAGAACGTTGCCTTTTTCGGGGCTGAGCCGCCTCTTCTCGCCTTGTCCCGGAAGGACACTTTCAATCACTGTGTTAACTTCTTCAACAACATGCTTGAGCTTGAAATAGGCATCGGAGGGAGGAAGCTTGAGTTCCAGAATCAATCGATCCATTTTGTTTACCACAAGGGTAAGGGGTAGACCTTCCAGTACTGCGTGCTTGATTATTTGTTCCGTATTGACTTGGACACCTTCCACGACATCAACAACGAGCACAACACCGTCCACCAGTCGAAGTGATGATGCGACCTCATCAACAAAATTGACGTGGCCAGGGGTGTCGAGTATATTGACCAAATGCGACTTTCCATGTGTACTTTGGAGGACCAAACTCATTGGGGCGGATTTTATCGACAATCCTCGCTCCCGCTCTTGAATGTGAACATCCGTATATCGCAACTGGTCGTCCCTCTTCCTGCCCGTCCTCTTCTCAAGTCGATTGGTAATATCGTGAGTTTCCAGTACCAACATATCCATTAATGCTGTCTTGCCATGATGAAGATGACCTGCAAACGCAATATTCCTGATCTGATCGGGGAAATTCATAAGGTCCATCATGAAACTCCGGTCGAAGTGTACTGGTGGGAGGTCTGCTTCTTGAATCGTAAACTTCTTCTGCTCGACGGGTGCGATGATAGGTTGTGATAAAGGCTGCGCATCTTCTTCCTGTACCATAGTTTCAACATCTTCTCCATATACCTGCTGCGCCGTCGGATAGTACTGCTTGTCCTCGTGAAGGACTTCAGCGTTGGAGGGTCCTTCATCTATAAACCGACTTGTTAGTAATGCCAAACCAGCCGGGGCTCCATCCACATACCATCGATCTCCATAAGCTCCTGGCCAGTAGTCTCGGGAGCTTCTTCTGGGTATTCATCGTAGACATAGGCCCCCGCATCGATACCATGTTGGCTGTCGTCCTCTGATTCTTCAGCTTCACCGATGAAGTTACCAAATCTAGACAGGATTAGCACTGGATTAGTTTAGAGCAATCGGGGGGATCTTTACTCATCATAAAGATCATCCATGGTGGGCAAATAGTTTGAGAGAGTCTTTATAGAGTATGGTGGAAAATGCGACTCTGCTCACGATTATCAACTATCGCGACGGAAAGCTTCAAAAAAGTTCGCGAAGCTCTAGGCGGATAGTCACGTGCTACTCGATTTCAGCCCCGCACCCACAGCCTCGCTATGTACCTAGGTATTTAACACTGTTTATATGAGCTTCTATAGCAAAACCTGCGTAATTAGTTGAATGGATTACATGGTTCGTGTTGAACCTGGAAAATGCCAAACCTGATATCGGTCTCCGGTCGTTTCTCAAATAGGAAACGCCGAACGAGGGTCTTTTGTGTTCCTGAACTAAAAAGGAGGGGCGGTGTACGGAGCAAAACGTTGAGCTTCAATCAAAGGATCTGGTAGATTACTAAACTCCCCGATCTTAACTCTCAGCGTCCTTCTTTCCATTCTCAGAATATAAAAGTTCAAGAAATCATAATCTTGCCCCCTACATTCACTATGGCATCCGTCCCCCCCGTCTACATTGTCTCTGCCGTGCGAACGCCGGTCGGATCCTTCCTGGGGTGAGTTATTTTCTGCCAAGCTAATGGAGGGGAAATATTGACAACAACAGTTCCCTCTCAAGTTTGAGCGCAACTCAATTGGGTGGTCTTGCTATCAAGGGTATGTTGCCACATGCTCCTAATCAATCCGACTGACTGACGAAACTCGTAGCTGCTGTGGAACGAGTCCCTGAAATCAAGCCCGAGCAGGTTGATGAGGTCTTCTTTGGCAATGTCTTGTCTGCAAAGTAAGGACTATTCCTTGTCCATATAACCTCATGCTGACTAGAATAGCCTGGGACAAAATCCCGCCCGTCAGGCCGCACTTGCTGGAGGTCTACCAGAAGCCACTATTGCTACCACAGTCAACAAAGTATGCGCCTCGGGACTCAAAGCAATCATCCTCGGAGCTCAGACTATCATGACTGGTAATGCCGAGATTGTCGTTGCCGGAGGTGCAGAATCTATGTCCAACGTTCCTCATTACCTTCCCACCCTTCGAACTGGAGCGAAATACGGCGATCAAACAATAGTCGATGGTGTTTTGAAGGATGGCTTGACTGATTCTTATGGCAAGAAGGAGCATATGGGTCTGGCAGGAGAAGAATGTGCTCAAGAGCACAGCATAACGAGGGAACAACAAGATGAATACGCCATCAAATCATACCAGAAAGCTCAAGCAGCTACCGAGGCCGGTTTATTCAAGACCGAGATCGTTCCAGTTGAAGTCAGCGGAGGCCGAGGCAAGCCAAATGTCAAGGTTGAGAAAGATGATGAAGTGAAGAACTTGAACATCGACAAGCTCAAGGCTATGCGACCAGCTTTCCAGCCTAACGGCGGTACTGTCACTGCACCAAATGCTGCTCCTATCAACGATGGTGCCTCTGCATTAGTTCTTGTTTCAGAGGCCAAGTTGAAGGAACTTGGTCTTAAGCCCTTGGCCAAGATCCTCGGATGGGGAGATGCTGCACAAAAGCCCAGCAAGTTTACCACTGCTCCAGCATTAGCCATCCCTAAAGCTATGAAGCACGCGAAGATCGACGCATCAAGCGTTGATTACTATGAGATCAATGAGGCTTTCTCTGTCGTTGCACTTGCAAATATGAAACTCCTTGGTTTAGATGAAGCAAAGGTCAATGTTCATGGAGGATCTGTTGCTATTGGACACCCTCTTGGCTGCTCAGGAGCAAGAATTGTCACTACTTTGATCAATGTTCTACGCGAGAAGAACGGCAAGATTGGTGTTGCTGGAATCTGCAATGGTGGTGGTGGAGCCTCTGCTTTGGTAATTGAATCTTTGCAGTAGATCATCGGCCTCAGCACTTTTTGGCTTTTAGAAGAATTCCGTAAAAATATGAAGCAGCTATGGATACCATTGGGGACTCAACTTCTCGCAATGTGAAAAAAAATAGAGTAACTTGAAAACTGCATCAGGTCGATAATGGTAGACTCGATATGATAGGTTTCTTGTGCCAGATCCTCTTAATTCCGGTCCTCTTGAAATATCAATTTAAAAGCCTCCTTGGTCTTAATTTGAATACATGCGCCATGAAGTAAATATTTACCAAAAGGGAAATTCCCGGACTATCAGCCTTGTATGTGCGATCAGCCTCGCCTTATCGGATGCCAGTGAAATTTTAATCGTCTGGTTGGACTAAATGGCCTAGCACGCCTTACTAGCTCTTCGTATCTACACTCAGGTCTGGTGCACCGATAATCCAGTTTTGCATCGATAATTTAGCTTTTCTTTTGCATAGTAATTAAAAGCGGGTCTGCATTATATCTTCCCAGCTTCACATTTAAAATTGAATCCGTCTGATCCCAATAAATTATGATATAGGAATAAATTCTACAGGAGAAGAACATATTTTTTAGATTTTTATATAGTGTTATATAAAATAAACTGAATTATCCGGGCACCAGACCTGAGTGGTAACGAAGGGTCTGGTGGGGCGTGCTAAGCCCATTTAGTTCCCACTAGACGATTAGCTATCAAATTGCGGGAAGAACAAAAAAAGTCAAGACGGCAGCACCGCTCTTCAACCGACTTGCCTTGTGTATACATTATGTTAATGTCGCCCTCGAGAGGATTTTAGACTGTCTGACAAAAGTAAAGATGGTCCAAAAGGCATTGTACATCCCCCGCAACTCCCATAAGAACCATTCAAAATATTAATCTAGTTTAGGGATTCGCGCATCGCTGCGCTGATTCACAATGGCATTCAAGAGAAGAAGAGAAGCTTTATCATAGTGGTAGGAGACCGGGCGAAGGATGCTATTGTGTATCTTCATCACATCAAGTCAACAAAGGACATGAAGCAGAATAAATCGGTTCTATGGGCCTACAAGAATAAGCTGCTTGGGTTTACGAGGTGAGAAACGATGGCAGATATATATGCTAAAGCTAATTTGTGCTACAAAGTCACCGAAAGAAGCGCGAGAACAAGATCAAGAAGGATATAAAACGTGGCATACGAGAAGCAAATACCGAGGACCCTTTCGAGCTCTTCGTTTCTCTGCACGACATTCGATATGTATACTACAAGGAGACGGAAAAGATTCTGGGGAATACATACGGAATGTGCATATTACAGGACTTCGAAGCCATTACTCCAAACCTACTTGCCAGAACAATTGAAACGGTCGAAGGAGGTGGTCTTGTTGTGTTGCTCCTGAAAGGCATGAACAGCTTGAAGCAGTTATACACTTTGTCTATGGACGTCCACTCGAGATACCGAACAGAAGCTCACGATGATGTCACTGCAAGATTTAACGAGCGCTTTATCCTATCCCTTGGCAAGTGCGAATCATGTCTGGTCATAGATGATGAGATGAATGTATTGCCAATTTCTGGAGGAAAGAATGTTACCGCACTTCCTCCTCCAGATCGCGATGAACCGAAGTCTGAGGCACAGGAAGAACTAGACAATATGAAGGAAGCACTAGAGGACACACAACCAGTTGGATCATTAGTCACTTTAGCGAAGACTGTCGACCAAGCAAAAGCTTTACTCACTTTTGTGGATGCTATTGCCGAGAAGACTTTAAGGAGTACGGTCACACTGACAGCAGCTCGTGGCCGGGGAAAATCTGCTGCTTTGGGTGTGGCTGTAGCTGCAGCAGTAGCTCACGGGTACAGCAATATCTTCATCACATCGCCAAGTCCAGAGAATCTGAAGACCCTGTTTGAGTTTATCTTCAAGGGTTTTGATGCTCTGAATTACATGGACCACGTGGATTATTCTATCATTCAGTCTACCAATCCTGATTTCAACAAGGCAATTGTGCGGGTCAATATCCATCGCCAACATAGGCAGACCATTCAGTATATTAGACCCCAAGATGCACATGTCTTAGGACAGGCCGAACTTCTGGTTATAGATGAGGCGGCTGCAATCCCTTTACCTCTTGTCAGAAAGCTGATGGGCCCTTATCTGGTGTTTATGGCTTCCACAATCAATGGATACGAAGGTACAGGAAGATCACTATCCCTCAAGTTGATCAAACAACTGCGGGAGCAATCTAGAGGAACCTCCAAACCCAACGGGGCTGGCGATGCCAACGTTGATCGAGCCACTGGGAAAGCCTCCAAAACCGACGACAGCTTTTCAGGAGGTCGTTCTCTGCGGGAAATTACACTCTCAGAACCGATTCGATATGCGAAGGGTGATGGTGTAGAGAAATGGCTGAACACAGTACTCTGTTTAGATGCCACTCTCCCGCGGTCAAGACTGAATACTCTTCAAGGCTGCCCCGATCCATCCCAATGTCAGTTACTCAACGTCAACCGCGACACTCTCTTCTCATTTCACGAAGTATCGGAAAAATTCCTCCAGCAAATGATTGCACTTTATGTAGCAAGTCATTACAAGAACACCCCCGATGATCTACAATTGATGAGTGATGCTCCTGCGCATCAGCTTTTTGTGCTCGTACCACCAATCCCTGAAGACAGCAAGCACTTGCCCGAACCGTTATGTGTGATTCAAGTTGCGCTTGAAGGTAAAATCAGCAAAGCGAGCGTACTGAACAGCTTGAGCAGGGGAAAGAGGGCGGCTGGTGATCTTATTCCTTGGATTGTCAGTCAGCAGTTCCAGGATGAAGATTTTGCTGGACTCTCTGGTGCTCGTGTTGTGCGCATAGCAACAAACCCCGATTACATCTCAATGGGTTACGGAAGCAAGGCTCTCGAGCTATTGAACGATTTCTACGAGGGCAAATTCGCCGACCTTTCAGAAGATTCCAATGGCTCTGGTCAAGAAACGATTACTCGGGTCACAGATGCTGAACTTGCGAACGCCTCTCTTCTTGACGATGATATCAAGGTTAGAGATATTCGAAAGATGCCACCTCTGTTTTCAAAGCTTTCAGAACGTCGCCCAGAACACCTAGATTACGTTGGTGTCAGTTATGGTCTCACGAAGCCACTACACAAATTTTGGAAACGAGCCTCCTTCTCTCCAGTGTACCTCAGACAAACTCCAAATGAGCTGACTGGTGAACACACATGCGTAATGATCCGTCCACTTGATAACAGCGACGACAAGTCATGGCTTGGGGCTTTCTCTCGAGACTTCCATCGCCGATTCTTGTCTCTACTCTCGTACCAGTTCCGCGAATTCCCACCCGGTCTTGCCCTCAGTATCGATGAGTCTGCGAACATGGGAGCAAGACTTGACACAGAACATCAACCACAGCCTCTCACTAAAGTCGAGCTTGACGCTTTACTCTCTCCCTTTGACCTCAAACGACTAGAGTCATATGCAAATAACATGCTTGACTACCACGTTGTGCTAGATCTTGTCCCAAAACTAGCCAATCTTTACTTCACTGGGCGACTGAAACCAGACATCAAACTCACTGCGATCCAGCAGTCTATTCTCCTAGCCGTTGGATTGCAGTGCACAGATCTATCTGCAGTTGAGGTTGAGGGAATTTCGCTTGAAAATTCACAATTACTTGCTATGTTCATCAAGATCATGCGCAAGATGAGCTCGCACTTTGCCGCTCTCGTATCCGGTGCGATCGAAGCAGAGATGCCACGACGAGACATCGGTGTCAGCAGGGAAGACGCAAGCGGTGCTCACGATGATGAAGTGGTCGACACCCAATTCATGCCTCTAGAAAGAGACTTGGAAGACGAGCTTGAGGAGGGTGGTGATGAAGCATTGAAAGGATTGAGAGAGAAGCAAAGAGAGCTGATTGATTCTCTGCCTTTGGACCAGTATGAAATCGAGGAAGGGGCGCCAGGCTGGGCAGCTGCAGAGAAACAAGTCCTTACAGCTACCAAGGGGGGGCAAAAGAATCCGGTAGTCAGTGTAAAGAGTAGTAAGTCAAAGAGGAAGGCGGATGAGACGGCGGCGGAGATTTATGCAAAGGAGATGGGAGAAAAGTCGACTAAAAAGGCGAAGAAATCTAAAAAGGGGCGTTCATAGGGTAAACAATATCAATGTCGGGGTCTTAAAATGCATGAAACTTCACCAAATTTAATTATTAGTGCTGTGTGGGTAGATTTTGTAAATTGTATATACTGAACCTTTTGAGCTTAAAGAGCCAATCAAAAGGCTTGCATGACATGCTAGTATGTCGCAAGATTGTATCCAGCTCGAGTGGCTTGAGAAGACTCAAGGAATGACTCAAAACTTCATTCAGCAATACTTTAATCCACAAATGGTGTTTTGATCAGAACCATATACTTCAACTTTCAGCCGCTCACACCTTTGCCTACAAGACGAAAATTCTGCTAGCTATTTTAGCAACTGAGTTCCCAATTCCGATCTATTCTTCGGAGATATACAACTATCATGACAGAGGCACAAACAACAGATCAATGGTGGGCAGCATTCCCTGCACCTCGAGCGAAATGCGCGGAAGTCAGTGCAGATGAGGTTATGAAGATGTTTGATGATATGGATATCAAACCAGAACCTGCAGAATTTCTACTTGTAGATGTGAGAAGGACTGATTGGGAGGTACAATTCCCAACCCTGCATACAAATCAAAGCACATTTAACTAATTCGTTATAAAGGGCGGAACCATCAAGACTTCTCTTAATCTCCCAGCCCAGAGTTTCTACCAGACTCGCAAGACATTGCTGGATCTTTGTGATAGGGCGGGGATCAAGCAGTTGATTTTCTACTGTGGTACGTAACTTTTCCAAACCTAAAAATAGCATCTCATCATGGACAGGCTCTTCAAATGGACGAGGTCCTCGTTGTGCCAATTGGATGCAAGACTACATCGATGACATCTCCAAATTCGGTCGCAAGACACCTCTCAAAGTTTTGGTCCTGAAGGGTGGAATCAAAGGTTGGGTTAAAGACTTCGAGGGCTCAATGATGGATGGATATGAAGAAAAATATTGGGAGCAGTTCAAGTAGCGGTTGTGATGGAGACGGATATAAATTTCCCATTTGCTTTTCCATGCGAGATGGTATTTGCTGCCTAGAAACGCCTTGATTTCCACAAACATCCAGAAGCAACTTTTGGAACCTTGCCTTCCATCTCTCAGTGATCATTTGCGCCTTATGTGTGTACCGAGTTCATCCTCTGTCTTCTCTGCCACCGCCTATTCTCTCCAATGCCTCGAGCATAACGACTGAGTTTCCTCGAATGACCTATTGCAGTATTAGCTTATAAATTCCAATTACCCTAAAGTCGAAGACAACTAACCACCATGCCCAATCTGACCTTCTCTCCACCATCCTTCTCCTCAACCGCATCATCCAGCACAATATTTAGGAAAACCTACTCCTAATTAGCACCCCTCCAAGCTCTCGGGGCAGGAAAAAAACATCATATCCTCTCAAGACCCCAATAACCTTCCGGCTTCCATTCAACTGCACAAACAACCTTTTGTCGAGGTACTGCAGGCGTGGGTCAGTCCATTTATCTTTCTGTTTGGACTTACCGTCGCGGTCTTCGAGGCTGGGTTGCTGTCGCATGCTTCCATTCCCGCGATTTTGGCGACGGTTGTAGGGGTGGAATGGAGCTTTACGTACCTTCTTTAGCTCTGGCTGAGCTTGAGGCATCTTGACTGGATTTTTTTGGAGGTTTCGGCGAGTGGGTGGAGGGGGAGCTGAGCTGTAGTGGGATCTTTTGGGAATCTTGCGCGCTAGGTTGAGTCACGTGCTGATATGATTGTCGCAGCAGGAATTTGTTCTAGTCTTCTTTACTTCTCAGCTTCTGAGAGAAGGGATCCCTCATTTGTGATCTCGGCGCTATCAATAAAGATGAAGTCTGCATTTGGATCAAAGCGGAAAGCCCGGAAAATCCAGGTGGATGAAGAGGAAGACGGGGAGGCAAGTGGAAGTCAGGCAACTGAAAATACTGGTAAGTCTCCTGAAGATACAGCTACGAACCTGGCTGATAGTGAAAAGCCAGCTGACGGAGTAATTATAGCCCCTACCGAATCTTCTACCCCCTCGAATCCAGTCAAGAAAGGCTTCAAGAAATCCTCGTTGCGACAGAGCATTGCGTTTGACGATCTACAACAAGACGAGAACGAGGGAGACAAGGCACCGGTGAACAAACCTACCATAGGGCGATCAAGCTCACTGATCAAGAAGAAAAAGAAGGCAGCGTCCTCGCGGCTTTCTTTTGGGCCAGGCGAGATCATTTCTGGAGATGCTGCGGAAGCGCTGGAAGACGACGAGACGTTCACGCCTAAGAAGCCAACATTGGGGCGCAGGGTTATCGAGGGCAATGCATTCCGGAAGAGTCTACCAATACCCATACGAAATAATGAAGATGACGAGGAACGGCCAACTTATAGCAAGGATTACTTAAATGAGCTGAAGAGTTCTACACCTACTACTCCGAAAGATTTACAGGCAATACAAGCTACTGCTGAGGATGAAGAGGGTCTGGATGCGTCAGAGCTGGACGGAGCTATGGTTGTGGAGACTTCTGGGCCTGCACATATACCAACGGAAGCCGAAATTAGAGAAAAGAAGGAGCGAAGGGCACGGTTAGCTCACGAGAAAGACTTTATATCATTTAACGACGACGATGGAGATGATCAACGGCAGCTCTCACTTTTACCACGGAAGAAGGAGAAAGAAACTCGATTGGTGAGGGAAGATGAGGATCTAGGTGAAGGTTTCGAAGAGTTCGTGGATGATGGACGGATCTCACTGGGCAAAAAGCAAGAAAGAGAGGCTAGGAAGCGTCAACGCAAAGAGATGGCTGATATGATCAAACTAGCGGAGAATAACTCGGATGATGATTCAGACGACTCCGAAGCTGAGCGAAGAGCAGAGTATGAAGCTGCTCAAACACGTGCAGGCATGGATGGTCTTCACAAGCACGATGATGATGCAGAAGCTGTCGCCACTACTCAAGTCCCGTCTAAGATCACTCCTTTACCAGCTTTATCCGAATGTTTAGAGATATTACAAGCAACTTTGAGCACCATGCAGCAGGAATTGGCGCAGAAGCATAAGAAAGTGGCGGATTTGGAGAAGGAGAAACTTGAGATTGTTGCAAGGGAAGGGGAAGTTCAAGACTTGTTAAAGCAGTCTGGGGAGAGATTTGCAGCGTTGAAAGCAGACTCTAATGGCGCTGTTGCCAATCCACAAGAGTTGGTCGATGGTGTACAAAATGGCATGATGCCAGGCCTGGTCGCAGATAGGGGATTGGAGAGTTTTGGCAACACTCCGACTATTAGACCAGGTGTTGAGGATGTGGGTTAGATTATAGATAATAGGGCCATATTTCCAGACAGTTTGAGTTCGACCTGGACTCAGAATACTTTATATTTATCATCTGTCGTCCTTAGCAGCGTGATGTTTCTGCTCTTGTTCTCGTATAAAACGTAGTTGACCCTTGATGATCAAAGCATTTCCAAAGAGGAATCTATAGTCTGTAGATTCGTATATCATTATAAATTCCACTTCTACCTCAGGCGCAAATAAATCTATACTACTAACCAGATTACCAAGAAATTGCAGGTGCAAAGGCGTGAAAATGCTCGACATACTACTGTATCGAAGCCGGTCAATACTTCATGTAGAGCCAGCGTATCAAACGCTCGGAACCTTTATGGAAGCTCAGCAATATGCAAGGTCCTTAGATAACCTTCCTGTATAAGAAAGTCAAGGTTGTCTTGGGTTAGAAGCAAGACCAAATCTGGGTAACGCAGCGTCAACGCCGTGAGATAAAGTCCTCTCAGTGTATAAAAAGAGTGGCGAAGACAAATGAAACATACGAGACGTACGAGAGACACGAGTTTAAGTGCCTTTATTCCAACAAACAAGCAGAAACAAACGAGCCGTAGTGCCTTTATTACAAGAGTTCCCAAGTCCCCATTCTACATCCAGAAATGGTTTGTAAGAAGGAAGGGAAGGTTAGAATCGCGCGACTTCGGAGTTTTGAGGGCGGTGAAGTGACTCATGGCCGGCAAAAAGAAATACTGTAAAATGTCTCGCTGATCACTATAAACCCCTCAATTGCACTTTCAATTGGAAATATACACATTCAGAACCATTTCCCATCATGTCTGGAACCATTCTACATCTGCGTTCCGAGTGTAAGTTTTCAATGCCATGATGTTCCGCAGGCTGCTAATGCGTACCTCAGTGGGCAAGGCTCTCGAACATCGTTCCGCCCTCACCCCAACCACTGCCAAAGCTCTGATAGATGCTGGATATACCGTCAATGTCGAGCGCAGTTCTGAGAGGATCTTTGATGACAGCGAATTCGAGAAGATTGGAGCTACATTGGTCCCAGAAAACACATGGCGTGAGGCTCCTACAGACCATATTATCATTGGATTGAAGGAGCTGCCAGTTGAAGAATGTATGTATCTTGCTCATTCATTACAGTGGAACACCTGCTGATGGTCCATTAGTCCCCCTCAAGCATGTGCATGTCCAATTCGCCCATTGCTACAAACAACAAGGCGGATGGGAAACGGTCCTATCTCGATTCCCCCGCGGCGGTGGAACCCTACTCGACCTCGAATTCTTGACCGACGATAAAGGCAGACGTGTTGCAGCCTTCGGATACCACGCCGGATTTTCAGGCGCGGCATTGGCTTTGCAGACATGGGCATGGCAACTCACACACCCCGCATCGGAACCCTTCCCAAGTGTTTCTAGCTACCCTAACGAAGATGCATTGATTGTCGATGTCAAGAAGGCAATCGCGGCAGGAAAAGAGAAGAGCGGAAAGGATCCAAGGGTTCTAGTCATTGGTGCATTGGGAAGATGTGGTGGTGGAGCTGTTGATCTCTGCTTGCGAGCTGGTGTGCCAACTGAAAATGTGTTAAAGTGGGATATGGCAGAGACGGCTAAAGGAGGACCATTCCCCGAGATTGTGGAGAGCGATATCTTTGTCAACTGCATATACCTCATGTCCAAGATCCCAAACTTCGTCGATATGGAAAGCCTCGATACCCCAAACCGCAAGCTCTCAGTCATCTGCGATGTTAGCGCCGATACCACCAACCCGAATAACCCAATCCCAGTATATACTGTTGCCACAACATTTACGGACCCGACTGTGCCAGTTGAGGTCAAGGGAGAGCCAAGATTAGGTGTGATTAGTATCGATCATCTGCCCAGTTTGCTACCTAGGGAGGCAAGCGAGGCTTTCAGTAAGGATTTGCTGCCAAGTCTTCTGCACCTGAATGAGTGGAAGACAACTCCAGTATGGTCCAAGGCAGAGAAGTTGTTCCAGGAGAAGGTTGCTACGTTGCCAGAAGGCTCACTGTCATGAAATGACATTTAAGCAAAACTAGATGATAGGCGCGAGCAAAACTAGAAGAATTACAAAAGTTCTCACTTCTCCTCGTCCACTGTAGAACCACCGAAGAGATTAGATGTCCAAATTTTGATTTGACTAGCAATAGAGTTAAGTTATAGCTGCATATTGGATCCACCTAGTCATGTCATAAGCGAAATTTTGGGTTGAAAAAAATGGTAAAAAATACTGGAGCAGAGAGGACTCGAACCCCTGACTTCTTCCACTTTCTTACAATCCAAGAATTGCTAAGGAAGCACGCTACCGCTGCGTCACAGCCCCTTGTGCTATTTGTCATGAGCTTATCCCAGTATATATAACAGTCAAAGAAAACCTATATGACTCCCGGTTATCACGTGACAGTCAGTGAAATTTGTTTGTCCTATTATATTTTTCCACAATGTGATAAGAGGACGTTTTTTAGGGTTTGTGCAGTTTATAATTTTATAGTATATAGATTTTTCGTGAAAAAAAAGTTAAAGAGTCGATCCACTCATCTACCTGACATGTCTCAAATCCATGCATGAATCTTCTCGCTTGACTCTATTCCCACTTCCTTCCCCTCCCTCCACCCTCTCATAAAATTACCAAAGATATCTTGCTTAACCATGGCAAACTCCAAGTAATATCTCATTCCACACATATAACATAGAGCATAAGCTGATAAATCCTTAGATATGAATACGTGAAAGCTTTCGAGCAACCGGACCTTCTTCTGCCCAACACATGGATTGTGGTGCGCATTGATGGGCGAGGCTTCCATAAGTATGTCGCTTTTTCCTCCTCTCTTGCCAATCTACATTTCGTATGAATACTTACGGATTTACAGGTTTTCATCCAAATATGCATTCGAGAAACCCAACGACCGCAGAGCACTCGATCTCATGAATGCAGCTGCCAAGGCTGTGATGAGCGAGTTGCCGGATATTGTCATTGCGTATGGAATTAGCGACGAGTACAGGTAATCCCATCTCTCATCATAAGTCTTGTATGTGTATAACGACGTGTTTCTAGTTTTGTATTTCATAAATCCTGCATGCTGTTTGAGAGACGGGAAAGGTATGACTCCTTGCTCTCTTCCCCAATGCATGGGGGCCAGTTTCTAATGCAAGACCAGCAAACTTGTCACAACAATCGTATCGACCTTCACGGCTCATTTCGTTCTCCTATGGAATTTGTACTTCCCCGAACTACCCCTCTCGCCTCCCCTGCCGAGTTTTGACGGCAGGGCTGTGCTGTATCCCAGTGTGCAGAATTTGAGAGATTACATGAGCTGGAGACAGGTTGATTGTATGTTTCTGGCACTTGCTTGCCTTCGGGGCTAGTGAACTAATCGGACCAGGTCATATCAACAATCTTTACAATACTACGTTTTGGGCGTTGATTCAGATGGGTGGACTAGATGCTAAGGAGGCCGAAAAAGAACTCGCGGTTAGCTGCAATATCTTTGGATAATTTATGTTCGAATATTGACAGAATCTCAGGGCTCTGCGGCTGCTGATAAGCATGAGACTCTATTCTCGAGGTTCAAGATCAATTACAACAATGAACCGGACATGTACAAGAAAGGAAGTGTGGTGTTTCGAGATGTAAGTCATTGGGCCCTTTGCTCTGGAGTTTGGCTAAATATGAGCAGTATGAGCTAGTTGAACCAGGCTCAGTATCTGAAGTAGTAGACGAGGACTTTGCGAAGACAATCGAGCAGCTGGAATTGTCAAAATCGCAGGAGGAAAAGGATAGGAAGAGAAGAGCTAAGGCGATCATCACGATACAGCATGTGGACATCATCAAGGATGAGTTTTGGGAAAGGAGACCATGGCTTTTGTCGAATAAACCCGGAAAGATACCCAAGGAACCATGAGATAGACGAATGCATGATTTATTCAACATGCTATATAAACCCCAGATCATCGAGGTGATTAAATGCTCCCAGAACTCCAAACTCGCATACAAACATAATCGAGCATATTTCGCTCAGTCTTTCCTTCTCTTCTTCTTCTTTGCTTTCTCGGAAGATACTTCAACTGAGTTCCGAGCTGCCTCTTTTGTGAGCTTCTTCAGTCGTCTTCGTTCCCGTCGCTCCTCTTTCGTCTCGACCCCATTTACAATATCTTCCTTAATCTCCTCAACCTTAACAATTGCCGGTATTGACTCCTTTGCCCTCGCAGCACGCTTCGCAGCTTTTCTCTCTCTCCTCTCTCCTTTCGTCTCCAACCCATCATTTTTCCTCCGCTTCCTTGCCCTCTCCTTATCCCCAACCTGAATATCCGGCGTGCTCGTCCCACTACTCTCCGGCGTACTCTCCTTCCCAAGCGTTCCAGTCAAACACTCACCCCTCACAAAACTCGAATACAATCCCTTCTTCCCAACAAACCTCCCACCACCCTTCGCAACCATATCCAATCCGCCACTCGTAACCGTCTGCACAACCGTACCCTGTTTCGAAGTATCAAGTCCCTTCAACGAATTGTCAAAGGCGTTCAGCCACCACATATCGCTGGTATTGTGCTGTTTCTTTCCGACGCCAAGGACATTATCTTTGCGGGATACGAGGAGAGGTCGTGAGAGACCTGTTTTGTCGTTTGTGGGGTGAAGAGAGTGGCCTGTCCCGCGCCAACCTTGGGAGGTTAGGAGTGCGTGGGCGTCCATTGTGTGTTCTGGCGATGGACGTCGTGGTGGATGTTCGTACTGTAGAGAGAGGGGGGGTTTTATTTTCTTATCGTGGCTGGCGTGGATAGAAATTGAGAAATTCTGTACAATCTTAGCGTGGTTCATTTGTTGATTAGTCAGCGGGGCCCTTGACCTCACTTCACTCCTCCCTTTCTTCCTTCACAGTAATTGACCAGAAACAACTCTCTCTTTTGCTTACAACTCCTTCCTCATTCCCAACATGGCTGCAGAGATATCTTCCATCCACCATCCTGTCAATTTGTAACCGGTAGCTGGTAGCACTAATAGATCTCTTGTCCTCTTAATGTTTCCTGGACCATACTCGACCTTCTCTATTATGGAACACCCGACAGTGGATGCCTTCGGTCTTCTTGGAGATTATGAACGCATGACGGATGGCCATCTAGAAGATGCATGAGACCATCCCACCCCGTGATTAAAGCATACCTGGTCGGAAATGCAAAAGATAAGGGGGACTGATAGTGCTTTACCGTATGAAATTGTATTGCTTTCTATTGCAAGTACTGAACTTCAAGTTCTGTCCCTTGATTTAATTTGCTTTGCTGCATTTCGCTCTGCCTCGTTTGACATCTGCCTACCATGTCTGCCATTTTGTTCCCACCTAATCAAGTTTGGTCAAGTTTGAAACCTTAGTAGTTACGGAAGATTTTTTCATTTCATCTAATTTTTATTAAGCCTCTGAAAACTTGTCATTACCATCCTCGTTTTTTTAATAGCAAAGAAAACTGCTTCATACCCGAACCGAAAGAAAATGTGCACAGCACATGTCTGACTACAATCAGATATCTACCCATAACCTCCCAGCGACCCAATCTACAAAACGAAGTTAATATATCCTATGCCAGCCAATTCTGGAACGAAGGCCAATGCTGTCAGACCTTCTGCACCACGGGCATGTGGTGTACAATTCTACGCCGCTCTCACTTTTTGGAGAACAAACGGGAATTGAAAACACAACTCGGTTTTCGGTTGTTTGTGATAACGTCGGCGGGTGCGCAGCATGCAAACTTATAGATCGCGCCACTTTTCATACGCCATTTGATAGTTCCCAATCACGGTGTATGCCATGCCGATCTTGGTTTGATTGCCCGGGTTGATGTGTTCTTCGACTTTTTCGATCAAAACCTAGGGCCATTAGCACATAATCATCAAACTTTCAAAGATCTCTTACCCTAATGTCCTCTTCGACCGCAGCCATAAGAGGGGCCATCTCGTTCTTCATCTTCTTGGATTTGGATACAACGCACTTCTCCCAAGCCATCTTTCCCAAGGCTTGGCCAGTTTTTTTGAGCTGCGATTTGAGCTTGTAATTTATTAGCATTAATTCATCGTTTTTGTGGCTGGATACTCACTTCAATATAGCACATGTCAACCCTATCCGGGCCGAGATGGCGGAATAGAGAGGTATAGGGGTCAGTCTGGTAGCTGTTCGAGTTGACTGTATCGACTATCGTCTTATATCCGCGTTGAGTACGCTCATGGAATTCTCCCACCATTTCCAGCAGCTCCTGCTTGAAGGAATTTGAGCTCATCACGCCCTTCATCTTATCGACGGCCTTTACAGGGGCTTCCCCGACAATTCTCCGAACCAGCTCGTCAACTTTCTCGGCCTGAAGTCTGATATCGGCGAAAACGCCGAGGACTGGAGAAGCCATGATTGTGATGGAAGGTCCTCTCTCCAAGCGGTGACGGAATTCAGCCTCGGTCAACAGCTTGGCCTTCGGGTTTGCTGCCATTACGGAGCTTTGCGAGGCTGGGGTCAGATATTGATGGCAGTCCTCTTCCATCTTTTGTTGCTCTTCTTGCTCACCTCGCAATTCACAAGTGGTGGCATCGTTAGCTACACGATCAACTAGTCGTTGGGATTGGAATCTTTCGCCACGGGGCGGGAAGTTCGGATCCCAGCAGTCATATGGCTTTGCCCGAACAATTGGTTTTGTTGAAGACTGTAATTCGGAGCTACTAAAACCACTATCATGCATTTGGGCTGCCTTTTTGAGCTGGTGCGGCGAATTGAGGCACTTGTATATTCTACGTGGCTCGTCGACTGATTTGTTATTGCTCAAGGTTGGGTACTGACCCAGCCTCGGAATGCTTTCGCAGGGCTCGCTACGGCCCTGTTGGCGCGAACGTTGCTGTTGAGGATAGGCTCGTTGGTAAGGGTTCTGAGCGTGTCTAGGTCCAGCGTTGGTGTTTGCGACGGTTTGATATTGTGGTCGTGGTCTATGGTACTCCACCTCCCCCTCTCGTACATTTGCGGCTATGCGGTCGTCTTGCCCAGCCGTTCTATACGAGAGTGGTTTCGCAATATGATTCCGCTCACGAGCAGAAGCATATGAATCCTGGTAGGACCCATACGATCCTTTGGAATTGTCTTGCATGCGGGGGGGTCTTCCATATGGTATTAGTGCCGCGGTCTCCTTGTATAATTCAAGGGACTCGGTCTCGGTCTGGTCGGTACTGGAAGACTGCCGAGTCACCATGACAGGCGAGGTAGGTGGAGCTTTCAGTTTCGGGTAACGCTCTTCATATGATTTTTGTTGCCCGTCGATGCTACACATAGCGAATCCCTTCGCAAAGGATGCTTCAGAAGCAGATTGCATCTCATGTTCCTCCTCTTCGCGAGAACGCTCGAAGGGTTCCACCTTACTGACAGGCTTGGAAGAATGAATGGCAGAAGGAAGCTCGCCGTTATGGAACATTGAGATGGATAATTTTGGGTCTGAAATCGATGTCGACGCGTTTGGCGGAAGCGGAAAACAGTAGGTAGCCAATTTGGGGTCGTTCATCTGGCGGAAATACATGGTTCTTAAGGGGTTGGTTGATTGAGGGATCAATTGGGTATTTCCTCTCGTGCGACGAGTTGAATCAAGGATGTCAGTGACCTTGGCAACTTGCTGAAGCAGAGTCTGCGATAGATGGATAGCGTTTCGGGAAGAAGAGCTTCTTTCTGACGCTGACGAAGAAGAGGGAGAGGGAGCCAGTAAACGCTTTGGGGTCGTTATTTGAAAACACGTCGAGAAAGGGGTTTCGTGGTACAAGACGATGAGGGGACTCTGTGGTACAGGACGAGGAAGGGGGGGTTTTCAACGTGAGATATGTGACCGTTAGAAGAGGGCGATGCTGTTCGATTGCGAAAGGAGCTGTCGGAAGGGTTGAGGTTGAGAGGGTTGGACAGCAGTCGTCGCACTTTTGAGGGGCTCTATTTTTATTTGACACAGCGACAAGACAAGGACAAGTTCGAAAGCTTCAAAGCTCTTTTATCGAAGTCTCTGCGAGTGTTGAGTTCCAGATGCTAACTTGGTACAGGAAAAGGCTGCTTGAAAGAGGGGCCTGAAAGTTGGAAAGACAAGAGGGAGGGGCAGGCTGGGGATTTTTGGATTTTCCAAATTCTGAAGGCGTGCCCTGGTTGTTGACACTAGCGTCAATGTCCTGCTTCTGGTTATAAGCTGTTCCCGACTGCTAAGTGAATGCGAGTCGGTCTTCTATAGCTGATGAAAAACGTGACCAGTTGGTGAACCCAGCTTTGAACAGGAGTACCCAGGGAAGGATTTACAAGTTAATAGTTGATTGAGATGGGCTCTTGAAGAGAGGCGTCCGCATTCAAGGGGTATATATCTCAACTTGTAGCCTCTCGCACGCCTAGCAACTTTTTATAGATTCGCTAACCACTTAGTTTATACCTTCCTTTGCTTCCTCGGGACCTCTATATTATCTATCAATATAATAGGAGAAAATAGCAAATAAACCAGGGAGCAAATGAACCAGGGAGCGAATGACGAATTGTTCAAGCCATAGAGGAATATTCTTCTCTCTCGTGTCTAGGAGGTAAACATGGCTATTACTAGAGCGAGTCCGACCTTTGAGTGGGGAAATGATAGGAATAGAACCAAATCTTTTGCTAGCTGCAAGATTTGGCAGCTGAAGAAACCTCTAGATCATTCTCCTTGTATGTCCTCTGGATACGTTCATCATGAAAAGAAAACAAACGTACGCGGGCAGTTGAAGTAACTAGTGTAAAATACAAATGTAAATCGGACATACTACTGGCCTCTCTGCTATGGCCAACTTCATGTCAGTGAGCTATAGAGTATATTAGGAGAACGCAGTTCTAGTCGCTTGATGTCTCATTCTTCGTGAGATTTTATACGCAGTAAAATCGCTGGAATTAGGACAGAGAAACGACTCATGAATAATGCATTCAGAATCGTTGCATTGCATCAGTGCTTGCTCGATGTGACTACAATTATGTTGATTTGTCTCTTTCCAGAGCTTTGGGGGCCGTTTTTAGCACGCACGCCACAAGCAGTTCTACAGATTGACTGTTTCCCATGCTCACCAACAGCCTTTACAAGAAACCGGCCAGCTCTCCTTGATTCGTACTCGTAGTCTGCTGGCTGTTCTAGTTATACGCCATGGTAATATCGCTAAGCGCCTGAGACTATCAAGGGGTGGCTGAATTAATTGTTGCTAGGGCAGGAACGACCCGTCACCACGCTAATGGCATGCCTGCGGAGTAAAAACCCCTCGTCACTCACTCAACAGAACAATCCATCACCATACTCGAGTACTACAGCTACAATGCGCCAAAACAGGTGCTTCAAGGAACCAATGTATGCCGTGAAATGTGCGAAAACGCGCTGCAGCAAAGGCTTGGGGTCCTGGAGATAGCGACTGCGGTGTACTGCCACAGCGGCGGGTTTTATGGCCCCCAACTCTAGGAACATGCGAAAGGTCATTTCTACGATTCTATCGACCAAGAGGAAAAGAGGGAGCAGCGCAAAAAAGAACACTGCCGGCAAGCCAATAGGCTACATCATCGAGGCCACGGATTGTTTTGCTGCTTCGGTGGCTTGTTATAGACACTGGATGGTTGGGTCTGCCCTGAATGGTCCATGGAGGATATACTCGGAATTATTTTTCCTCGGGAACCTCAGGTCCTGGTCATCTTTCTATTTAGGACAATGGGTATTGCTGGGTGGTTCCTACTCCTTACGGACATTCTTTTGGAAGAAATACCCCCCGTGGATGTATGCGCTCGCGGAAGGTCCGACGGAGGGAGGTAAGCCATTCCGTCCCATCCC